TATCATCAACACTTAATCAAAATGGAAGGTTTAAATAACACAAAAATGTCTAAGTAACTGAATGAAAGGTGCATTATTGTCCATAATAGACAATTATAAAAGAACTGCATATTTTCCTTTTTTCTGTTTTGATAGGAATGTGGTATTGGAGTTTTGTCAAGTATGTCATTTTAACTGCAACTCGAAAAAACATTTTTTGGACCATTTCAACTAAAACAATGGAGAAATTCTTCCGTAAATACTGGTAGACTGCAGGTTTGGATGTATACAAAGTATATCTTGTCATTTAAAAAATTATTAAAGAAATAGGAAAAATGCATATAAGATTAATGGGGATATAAAACAGCAAAAATTTGGCCATGAAACCAATATAAATTATTCTGAGATCAAACAGGAAATAGTAAGAATACTGTATACACATATATATACTGCACACATATGTACCATATACTTACTGTATATACACATATATACTATACACACGTTATACACACATATATACTGCACATTTACTGTATATACACATATATACTATACACACGTCACACACATATACACTGCACACTTACTGTATATACACATATATACTATACACACGTTATACACACATATATACTGCACATTTACTGTATATACACATATATACTATACACACGTCACACACATATACACTGCACACTTACTGTATATACACATATATACTATACACACATATGTCACACACATATACTGTACACATATATATACTGCACACTTACTGTATATACTGTACACACATGTATGTCACACATATAGTGTACACACATATAACTACATTTGCTGTATGTACACATATATACTATACACGCCTATGTCACACACATATATACTATACACATATATACTGCACACTTAATGTATATACACATATATGCCATACACATGTTATACACACATATACTGCATACACATACTGTACACTTACTGTATATACACATGATATACATACATATGTACTACACACACATGTACTGTACACACATACTGCGTGCATACATATATACTGTGTACATGCATATACTGTACACATGCATTTATGCTGCACACATGCATAAATACTGCACACATACACATATATACTGCACATGCACATATATAATGTACACATACTGTACATACATACACGTGTCTATACATACAGTATACATATACATGCAGTAGTACATGCACACATATATACTGTATAAACATACTGTACACACATACTGTATACGCATATCTACTGCATGCACACACACATATATATACTGTATACAGATATACTGCACAGATAACTACTGCATGCATACATATGTACTGTATACACACATACTGCACACATATATATACTGTACACACTCATACTGTACACACATATATCTACTACATGTACACACACAATACTGTACACACACATCTACTGCATGCAAATATATATACTGTACACACATGCAAATATACTGCACACATACTGTACACACAAACTTTAAATACACATATGTATATACTGTACACACACATACACTGTGCACACACATATTCATTACTGTTCCCTGGAGAAGATTCTGGAAAGTATCTTTCTGTTGTTTAAGCCACCCAGTCTGTGGCATTTTGTTACGATAGCCCAAGTAAAGCAATAGAAAGTACATCAGGAAGGTAATTACTAAAAATAATGTGTAATTGTCCCCAGTGTGTTTGTTGTAGTGATCAGCTTTTAAGAATTTGCAATTTCCTGTGATTTCTTTCCTCATTCTGAATAAATTTTTACTTTTGTACCTATTTTTTAATATTCTTTTTCTTTTTTTCTGAGAGTCTCACTCTGTGGCCCAGACTGGAGTGCAGTGGTGTGATCACACCGCACTGCAGCTTTGAACTCCGGGGCTCGAAAGAGCCTCCCACCTCAGCATTCCCAAGTAGCCAGGACTACAGGCACGTGCCACCATGCCCAGCTACTTTTTTAAAGGCCTTTTGTAAGACAGATTCTCACTATGCTGCCAAGGCTGGTCTTAAACTCCTGGCCTCAAGCAATCCTCCTGCTTCAGATTCCCAAAGATTGGGATTGCAGGCATGAATCACCACACCCAGCCTCTTTTTCTTAAAGAGGGCCCCCAAAAGCCAAATCTCCAGGCCCCACCAACCTGGCTCTGCCCCTGCCAATAGCCATCCCCGCATTTCTTGCTGCTCTATTGATACCTTAAGCACATTCTGCCCATGCATCTGCCTTATGATTATTAAACGATCTGTTTGTGGTCTGGACGGCCACTAGACTGCACTTTGTGGATGGGGCTTCTTAGCAATATCTGAAGATATAAGGGTGAGCGCAATGCCTAACATGTGTATTAGATGCTCAAGAAATATTTACTGAAAAAATGGATAAAGGAATAAATGGATGCAGGAGTGAATGCTGAGAAATGGACACATCATGTGTCCCCCAGTCTCTACTGACATCCCCATCATTTTCACAGTTCAGCTTACAAACAATTCACACTGTTGGAGTCAACTGGGAAAAAATATCCTTAAGAATCTTCCAGCTCCTTGTCGGGCACAGTGGCTCACGCCTGTAATCCCAGCACTTTGGGAGGCCGAGGTGGGGGTATCATGAGATCAGGAGATGGAGAGCATCCTGGCCAACACGGTGAAACCCCATCTCTACTAAAAAAATATATATTTTAAAATTAGCCAGGCATGGTGGCACGCGCCTATAGTCCCAGCTACTCAGGAGGCCAAGGCGGGGGAATCGCTTGAACCCAGGAGGAGGAGGTCGCAGTGAGCCAAGATCTCGCCACTGGACTCCAGTCTGGCAACAGCGCAAGACTCCATCTCAAAAAAAAAAAAAAAAAAGAATCTTTCAGTTCCTGAGCCCTAAAAACAACCTCAAGCAAGGGCAATCACATAAACCACAACCACCAAAACACAAAACCAATGAATAAATAAACAAGGCAGAAACTGCTCTTCTCTACCTAATACCCACCCCCACGGCTTCACCGAAAAATATCCTTGCTATTTTGGTACTGTGCTTGGATGCGTATGTAGATACACACGACTTATCTCATTGAGTACATGTTTGGGTGGATAACGTGAGAGTATGAAATACAATACTCAGCAACCCTGTCAAACACAGACTGTTTCCTGAAATGACAAGACATTTAGTCTGAGATGTATCTTGCACAGAGTCCAAAATATTTTCGGTGAAACTGCAGCTCTGAATGATAATGAAAAAGACTTGTGTAAAGAATTTGTAAACCGTACTCACTCGAGCATTTCTTCTCGTTCCATATTTCTAATTCTGTCTTTTATCTGTCAGGGGAAAAAAATTAGACAGCTAGCTAGCTAGCTAGGCAGATGGAAGGAAAGGGATTGCCTTGGTGTAATTCACCACGTATTTCTTTATAGGCAGCCGTTGTTTCCACTGGAACTTCTTCAAGTCGAACTTGCTTTGTTCTTACCAAGAACATAAAAAGCAACTTCTTTTCTATTATTTGAGGTGTTGGAGTTGCTTGTGCTCAGAAACCTTTCCCACAGTTGCCACTTTTTTTTTAGATGCAGTCTCACTCTTGTTGCCCAGGCTGGAGAGCAATGGCGAGATCTCAGCTCACTGCAGCCTTTGCCTCCCAGGTTTAAGCAATTCTCCTGCCTCAGCCTCCTGAGTAGCTGGGATTCCAGGCACCCATACCTGGCTAATTTTTGTATTTTTAGTAGAGGTGGGGTTTCACCATGTTGACCAGGCTGGTCTCGATCTCCTGACCTCGGGTGATCCTCCCATCTTGGCCTCCCAAAGTGCCTGGATTACAGGCATGAGCCACTGCACCCGGCCTACTTCTTACTTCCTATTTGTTTCTTAGTTGGTGTACTGGAAACTTTATCCTATCCCAAATACCATGCTGTTTCTTAATATTTTTTGAATGACAGACTTTCTTGAGAATCTAGCTATTTTCTTTCCAGAAAAATAAAAGCACAAAACAAACACAACATTTTGCCCTGCAATTTGGAGGCCTTCCCAGACCCCTTAATGCTATCCAAGGAGTCTCTTCCAGTGATTCCAGGTAAAGAACTGCCACTCGTGGGCAATCTCATAAAAAAGTAAAGCTGAGCTGGCAGTGTGGTGCCTATGTGAGATGTTGATATGGTTTGGCCATCTCCACGCAAATCGCATCTTCAGCTGTAGCTCCCGTAATGTCCCATGTGTTGTGGGAGGAACCCAGTAGAAGATAATTTAATCATGGGGGCAGTTTCCCCCATATTGTTTTCATGGTAGAGAATTAGTCTCAGGAGATCTGATGGTTTTATGAGGGAAACCGCTTTCACTTGGATCTCATTTTCCTCTCTTGTCTGCCACCACGGAAGATGTGTCTTTTGCCTTCCACCATGATTGTGAGGCCTCTCCAGCCACGTGGAACTGTGAGTCCACCAAAATTCTTTTTCTTTATAAATTACCCAGTCTTGGGTATGTCTTTATCAGCAGCATGAAAATGGACTAATACAGATGTAAAGTCTCCCAGATATTTCACAATATACCCCAAACTTTAAGGCAAAATTGTTAAGTGAAAAGAAATTGTTAAAGAGAGAAAAGAATATTTAGAATTCTGATTCTCAATACTAGTGGCTTTGATTGCTGAATTCTGATTGAGTCCACATTATAGGGGAAGATCTGGTAAAATCGTTATGGGTAAAAAAATTCCTTTTACATACAGCATTTTAGCAACACCCCTTTTCAAACTAGTTGAAGAGTTTCATTTAAAGAATTTCTCCGGGGGCCAAAGTGGCTCCTGCCGGAGGTCGTGGCACTTGTGAAGGCGAGGTCATGAGTTCAAGGCTAACCTAAGCAACCTTATAAGCTCAAACTGATTGGCAAAAAAAAAAAAAAAAAAAAAAAAGAATTTCTCTATGAATAACATCATCGTAAAGTTAAAGTGTAAAGTAAGTGGATAAATACATCTCATTTAAAAGCAAATTTATACTAAGACCACCAAAATGCAAATCTATTAAAAATAGACCTTGTCTTTAATGTTTATTTCACATTATCTAAGTACATCCAGTTATGCAAATTTACATTTTTATTTCACATCCTTGTATTTCTGATATACATATATCAGGACAAAGAACACATTTGAAACACTCAGCCTGTAAAACTCTCTTGGGGGAAACAAGATTCTCTTGCTAATTTTTGTATTTTTAGTAGAGGTGGGGTTTCACCATGTTGACCAGGCTGGTCTCGATCTCTGCTGTCTTATTCTTCTGCACATGTACATATAAAATTCTAAGTAATTGGAGTGGAAATAACAACTGATAGAAGAGAAAACTAACTACATTTTTATGCCATTTGAGGCTATTTGTACCTGATTTTTCAAATGGTCTTTACTTGCTGAGTTACAATTTATTAGGTAACACATCTTTGGGGGCACCTTAAAATAAGCCAAGAAGCCTCATTGTTTCTAGAGTGCTTAAAAACCACAGGAAGCTGACATCAGCTATGCATCACTAATGCTTAGATTTTGGTGCTGTAGTGCTGTGTATTTACCTAAGATACTTTAAAAGGTAGTAATCAGCATTATTATTCCTCTTTTGTGAAAACATCTTGCCAGGCTAGAAAACAAGCAATAATTTCTTCAATTAGGCAAAGAAAAAAAGGACAGACCAGTAAAATTCAGTGCTCATTTTAAAGGAAACGATCACATCAAACTAAACATTTTAAATTTCAGTTACAATTTTATCAAATTCAAGCATCTCAGAATCACATTGAGATACTAAATGAGCGCGTGTTCATTCTGTTCAATGTTGCCCACGAGATCTTTCATATCACTAGTTCCTGGGCTTGACTGACTGTTAAAATACAGAGTGTTTTCAAAGGCGCCCTCTTGAGGTAGCTGCACACGTCTTTTCTTGTAAAAGAAATAGGCAGCGAGGCCCGCACCCATTAAAACCAGGAGGATCACAATGACTACTCCGGCCACGTTGGAAGACGGTTTAGAAGGGTCTATCTTTCTTGGGTCAGCTACAAATAAATAAAATCATTAGGGAAAAGGTGGAAGAAGGCAGAGGGTTGAATGCTATGCAGAACTTTGCTTGTTGGAAAACTAAAATGTATAAATATTCTTTTAAGTGACATTTGTCAAACAGAAATGAAAGACGTGAAAACAAGAGTCCCTATGGTAGAGAGGATTATTCAGAATGTTAAAACAATGATTCAGTTGCAAAAACAATCCATCTATGTAGCAGTGGGCTAGCTAATCAATGTTTTACTATCTATCTATATATATACACCTTATGTCAAAATAATTTAAGGCTGCTTACAAACACAGTATAAAAAGATAAATAGATTAGTAATGATAATGATGATGATAACTAAAAGAAAATGAAAAAATGAACAGAAAGAGAAAATAAGAATAGCGGAAACTTGAGCTCACAGATATAATTACTAAGCAAACGGCACTCATGCCGTTAATAAGGTTACAAGCAAGCCATAAATCTCACTTTCAGTTTTTTTTCAAGCAGCCAATAAAATGAGTGAAATGGGATGTTACCTACTTCAAATAGTCTATAAAAATTAAAACAAAAAAAAATTAGTAAGAAAAGAAAAAAACCAAGGCCGGGCGTGGTGGCTCAAGCCTGTAATCCCAGCACTTTGGGAGGCCGAGACGGGTGGATCACGAGGTCAAGAGATCAAGACCATCCTGGTCAACATGGTGAAACCCCATCTCTACTAAAAGTATAAAAAATCAGCTGGGCATGGTGGCGCGTGCCTGTAATCCCAGCTACTCAGGAGGCTGAGGCAGGAGAACAGCCTGAACCCAGGAGACGGAGGTTGCAGTGAGCCGAGATCCCGCCATTGCACTCCAGCCTGGGTAACAAGAGCGAAACTCCGTCTCAAAAAAAAAAAGAAAAAGAAAAAAAACCCATGGAGATTCTTGAGAGAAATTTCTCCCATGGGTTCAAGGCATTTGTTTGTAACTGAACAACAACAACAAAAATGCCTTCAGTAACTGCTTACAGTAAAAACAGCAAGCTGACTTCAATGCCTCTTTTTCTAAGGTATTATTCAAAGTAGGTTGATGACAAAGGATAGTTAAACAAATTCTACTGAATGAGCGGGGCAGCTGGAAGGGATTATTATGCCTTTTAAAACAAACAGTATGAATGTATTACTAACATAGATCTCAAAATTTTGCAATAGTCTTACCTTTTGTTGAAAGTAATTCATGAGTAGGTCTGGCATCAATAACTGAAAAAAATTAAATATTTATTAAAAACCCAGAATAACTGCACGTCAATAGCAAATATTATTTGGTTCACAAATACATGGAATCCTCCACATTTGGTCCATGTTGATACAATATATGATATTATGTGATAGAGATAAAAATACAGGTAGAAAAGAAGATACGTATCTTGATCTGTTTATCTACCTACCTACATATCATCTGTCTGTCTGTCTCAGCTAACGCAGCCTCCTATGGCTATATGGTGACCTTGACTACATTAGAAGATCTGGAAATGTGATTCCCCAAGTTGCATTTCAGCAACTGATACTCACCCTTTAAATCTACTCAATCTATCCATAAGTAAAACATTAGAGGTTAGGAGTTTTGAAATTAGCCCACTGAAGCCTAAGATGTTATAAACCATTCGAATGAAAACTGAAATAAGACTCCAGCCAGGTGTAGTGGCTCATTTCTGTAATCGCAGCACTTTGGGAGGCCGAGGTGGGTGGATTACCTGAGGCCAGGAGTTCAAGACCAGCCTGGTCAATATGGTGAAACCCCATCTCTACTAAAAATACAAAACTTAGCAGGGCATGGTGGCACATGCCTGCAATCCCAGCTACTTGAGGGGCTGAGGCAGGAGAAGCACTTGAACCCGGGAGGCGGAGGTTGCAGTGGGCCAAGATCACGCAACTGCACTCCAGCCTGGGCAACAGCATGAGACTCTGTCTCAAAAAAAAAAAAAAAGACTGCAACATTGCACCAGAGGGTGTGGTGTCTTAGAACAGTTAAAGAAGGCTAACAACTTGCCAAATTCTAAAACATTAACGTCTACCTCGTCTCTACTAAAAATGCAAAAATTAGCTGGGTGTGGTGGTGCCTGCCTATAATCCCAGCTACTCAGGAGGCTGAGGCAGGAGGATCGCTTGAACCCAGGAGGTGGAGGTTGCAGTGAGACAAGATAGTGCCACTGCACTCCATCCTGGCGACAGAGTGAGACTCCATATTTAATAAATAAATAAATAAATCTATTATCTAATCAGTAATTTCCTGGGATGGATATTAGGTGACATGGCATGAAAACAAAATATTTTTAAATTCCAGATAGAGACACCTTGTGAGCATTCAACACCATCAATTCCCGGATCCCGTTGCTTTCATGCTCTCGAATTCCATCTTAAAAGAAGACTGAATTAAGCTGACATGACTCATTCCACAATCAATTCTGGTCACCCTCCAGAACCCTGCCCTCGTCTGGTTTGGGCTGGTACTGGCTTTACCACCTTTTCCCTCATGCAATAAGGCTTTGTAGATGGGCTCCCCCGACAGTTTGCAGCTTGGCAAATCCTTCAGATATCCCATTACAAATGCATCAATAAGCGAAAATCCTTACAACAACTAAGCAGACCGGGAGTGGCTCTTGCTCGTGCAGAGCTGCAGACAGTAATGGACTACAATGGCAGAATGGATTTTTCACGCATAAAAGGAGAAAGCTTACAATGGCCTCATAATCACATTATGATTCCATACCTGGTATCGGACTATTTGAAAGAAATGGCGGCCAGTGATATGCACTATGCAACAAACTTCTTACTTACTTTTTGGTCTTTTACAAATGAATCCCTTGTAGGAAGAACAGTGAGCGTTACTCCAAAACCCAGAAGATGCCTGTAAAACTACACAGTCATTCCGTTCATTGGAGGGATCTCCTGTGTTCCAGTTGACAAAGGAAACTGGACTGTTATTTATCCACAGCCACGTTCCTGGTCATTGAATAAAACCAGTAAACACACAATTAAATATAAACGGTCTTAAAATAAGTTAAGCCTATTTGTGCAAAATTTCTAAGCATATTTTTTTATACTAGAATCAATAGTCATTTATAATTAGACTTAACAGGCAAGAATATACTGACTAATTGCTCCAGGGAAGGGGGCCACAAATAGGTTTACTCTATAGCTTTAGTTGAAATGTATTTCTAATTAGTACAGATATTTATAGTTATCCTTCCTTAGCGATTTTTCACCCAGCCCCACAAAAACAGAGAAAATGCTTTTTAAAGCTTCTTAAATTATCTTAGCTACAAAAGATATTTCTAATTAGCAACTTTGAGGATAGCATGATATGAAAGTCATTTTAAGCTTCGGTTCTTAAATAAAAATATGAGTTTGAATTTTCAAATTCTTCATGAATTAATCATTTTTTAAGGCAACATATTTTGGAAATGAAACCTTGTTTTACATACAACATTTTAGAATATTTGTGATTCAATAAGCATGCTGCAAAAATTACCTTGAATATTTCTGAACATTCCTATCCAAAAATCGGTTTTACTTTTAAGTGGCTCAACCCGATATGACAGAAAACTGGCTTCTGCAGCACTTTCGATGGAAGCCAGAGAGGAACCTGAAAAGCGTAAAAGGGTAAATATGATAGCTGCACATTTAAGTAGCTGAAAATATTTTTGTAAACGGCATCGCTATTAAGAGCAACAAGAATCAACCTAACATCTCCACTTAAGGGGAAGAATTTCAAAGCGCAGATGTTTGTCTGCTCAGAATTTTAGTTTTCCTTCTGAAATGTGTCTTTAAGCATCATCAGTATCATTGGAGCACAAGCACTGAACTAGTTCCTGCAGGATATTCAGAGATTAGCAGGGTGTAGACTATGTCTTAAGAAAGTTACGGTTCAGTGGGCAGTAATAAGAGTACGAAGAGGCCGGGCTCGGAGGATCCTAGCACTTTGGGAGGCCGAGGCGGGTAGATCACCTGAGGTCAGGAGTTCAAGACCAGCTTGCCCAACATGGTGAAACCCCATTTCTACTAAAATACAAAACTTAGCTGGGCACGATGGTGGGTGCCTGTAATCCCAGCTACTTGGGAGGCTGAGACAGGAGAATCTGTTGAACCCAGGAGATAGTGGTTGCAGTGAGCTGAGATCCTGCCACTGCACTCCAGCCTGGGTGGCTGAGTGAGACTCTATCTCAAAAAAAAGAAAAAAAGAAACAAAGAAATATTATAGAAGAGAAATTGAGTACAATATGCTATGGACATGTCAAATATGCCTTCTTGGTGAAGCAGCTAAAAGGGAGGATAAAGGAAACAGAATTTAAGTAGAGAGAACAGGATTTCAAGTAAAAAGGATAAAAAATAATTCCAGGAAAAAGATGTAATAAGAGGAAAGATAAAAAGAAAGGGAGGCATAGAACATCTTCAGGAACAGAGACGTTGGCTAGAGTGTAGCACCAACCTGGTCCATTGGCAAAAAAAAAAAAAAAAAAAGACATGGGTTACGTCTCATTGCAGAAGGCAGGAGACTGGTATGAAGGGCAATGTGGTGATAAAGAACACTAAGGTGTTTTCAGGCAGCTGAATAATGCAATAATAACCCATCTCCTTGCTTTGGCTGTTCTACATACATCAGCTGGATTCTCCACTTAAGAATGGCCTAATATTAGTTACTATTGGAATCCATCTGTTAGGAATAAGACCATTCCAAGCAAGGAGATAAAACAGGAAGAACAGTTAGTTGGCTATGGAAGTGACCACCCACATTAGATTGTCAGTACTAAATTTTAGAGTAAAAATCTCTAATTTTAAATAACATATATATGTGTGTGTATATGTGTGTGTGTATATATATATATATATTTATTATTATTATTATTATTATTATTTGAGACAGACTCTCACTCTGTCACCAGGCTGGAGTGCAGTGGCGTGATCTTGGCTCACTGCAGCCTCTACCTCCTGGATTCAAGCAATTCTCCTGCCTCAGCCTCCCAAGTAGCTGGTGCTACGGGAACATATCACCATGCCTGGCTGATTTTTTTTGTATTTTTTAGTAGAGACAGGGTTTCACTATGTTGGCCAGGATGGTCTTGATCTTCTGACCTTGTGGTCTGCCCACCTCAGCCTCCCAAAGTACTGGGATTATAGGCGTAAGCCACTGCACCCGGCTAACTAATATCTTTTAAGCATTTCATGCCGAACCTTTTGCACTGGAATTTACGAGCTTTATCCCATTAAATTTTTACAATCACTTCATTAAATACCTACCATTATTGCCCCATTTTACAGATAAGGAAACTAAAGCACAGAAGATAAGTAATTTGCCAAGATCCTAACACTAGCAGAGGGCAGAATAATGATATGATACAGATTTTCTGAACCTTGAGGGTCCACACCTAACTACATGCCTATATCCCGTATTACTGAGATCTGTATTATTGTCTTGTGTTCACTGCATGACTACATAATCCATGTTAAATATATTTCCCAAGCAGCCATTTCAAAATGATTGTGACTCCTATTTTGAGAAGGAGAACGACAAGCATTCATTTAATTTACCAGAAAACAGTCATCTAAAATGGGAAACAAAGTTTCTACATATTCACTGTAATTTTTTTTCAAAAAAATACTTAGGAAGAAACATTTTTTAATTACAAAAGTTCAAAGAAGGCATCAGGTGGCATCATCAGAAATGCAGAATAAGTTCTTCTGAAAAAAATGTTTTTCTATAAAACCAATCAGAACACTGGAAAACTCTGAATCCACTGTTTTGGAATGCTGAAAATTAATTGAAAGCTTGCAATAATCCAAGAAGCACTTATGCAAGAAAAATGATTGAGTCTTGGTAATAATAGTGAGTTTTATTGTGTTTTATTGTGTTTTGATTTGTCCTAATCCCTTTGGCTTCTTCCTAGTTTTGCGGTAGCTATAAAAACCAACAGGCCCACAACCACAGTAAAAACCAGCAGCCTATAAGGCATAGGAGGCTAAAATGGGCTTGGAGCTATTTCCCAGCCCCGTTCTCAGAGAATCTCCATTACTTGACCTGTCTGTCTTACAGTTCCCTAGAAAACCCACCTTGCAAAGCTTGTCTTTATTTGACCTTATTCAGAGCTCAGTTAGTGCAAACAGACTTTTCCCTTCAAGTGTTTGTAAAAAACTATCAGCAGCAATTGTCTAACATTGTAACCATCTAAAGCAGTGATAATCATCGGGGCAAACAACAAGCTAATTGAACAACTCAAAATAAAATGCTGGAGAAGGAGATGTTCATAGGAGACTTTAAAAATCAATGACAAATTCAGCCAGGTGTGGTGTCTCGCACCGTAATCCCAGCAGTTTGGGAGGCTGAGGCGGGCAGATCACGAGGTCAGGAGTTGGAGACTAGCCTGACCAATATGGTGAAACCCCATCTCTGCTAAAAACACAAAAAAATTAGCTAGACATGGTGGCTCGCACCTGTAATCCCAGCTACTCAGGGGCTGAGATAGCAGAATCGCTTGAACCTGAAGGTGGAGGTTGCAGTGAGCTGAGATCACACCACTGCACTCCAGCCTGGCAACAGAGCAAGACTCTATCTCAAAAAAAAAAAAAAAAAAAAAAAAAGCATTGACAAATTCTGGGGAATCTAGAAGGCTAGAGAAATGCATGGAAGTGTGTCCATGCCCAAGGCTATGTGCATGTCTGAGAAAGACCTGAGAAGGTCCTAAGTTCTCACATATGGCTGACCTTGAAGCACTACACAAGCAGGAAGTGAAAGCTAAGGCAGTTTGTTACTGCTTGGACAAACATTAAGGCACATCCCAACAAAGAGATAGATCCTCTGCAAAATCTAGGAGACTTAGTTAGTTATAGGCACTTAAAGCAATGTGCACCTACCACATGTAGCTCTACATGTCTACACATCACAGTAAAACTATTAAAAGACAGAGCGTCTTGAAATCTGTGAAAGAGAAGGGTCTCATGTACAGGCATCTTAACACTAATTTCTCATCAGAAACCATGGAGTCCAGAAAGTAGTCAGTTTACATACTGAAAAAGATGAAAGAAAATGACTGTCAAGCAGGAATTTTCTATTTAACAAAGCATCCTACAAAAATGAAGAAAAATGTCAGACATTTCTAAACAAAATGGAAAGAGATTATCACTATAAGAAATACTGAAGAAAATACTTCTGGTGGAAATAAAAGGACCCAGTAACTCAAGTCAACACAGAGAAATAAAGAGCATCAGTAAAGGAAACATCAGTAAAGGAAAATAGTTTAAATGTACTTTTTATGTATAACTCTTCTTTATCTTTTCTAATTTAAAGATAACTGCATAAAACAATACTTGGAAATTTGTGCTTATGGGTATGCAATGGATAAAGTTGTTTTTGTCTGCCAACAACAGCACAAAGGAAGGCAGAGGGAATAAAGCTACTTAATAGCAAAGTTTTTGTACACTAGTAAAATTAAATGTATATTGATATGAACTAGATTTTTGTAATTAACATGTTAGCTGTAATCCCTAGGGCAACCAATAAGAAAATAATCAAACAATATATAGTAAAAGAAACAACAAGAAAGTTTAAATGGAGGCTGACTGCAGTGGCTCATGCCTGTAATCCCTGCAATTCAGGAGGCCAAGTAAGGCGATCACCTGAGGTCAGGAGTTTGAGACCAGCCTGACCAATGTGGTGAAACCCTGTCTCTACTAAAAATACAAAAATTAGCCAAACATGGTGACACGTGCCTGTAGTCCCAGCTACTTGGGAGGCTGAGACAGGAGAATTGCTTGAGCCTGGGAGGTGGAGATTGCAGTGAACCAGGATCGCACAGGTGCATTCCAGTCTGGGCAACAGAGTGAGACTCGGTCTCAAAATAAAACAAAAAGAAAATTTAAATGGTACACAAGAAATTCTGTACTTAATACAAAAGAAGGCAGTAATTGAGGTATAAGGGAACCATAAGACACATACAAAAGAAATGGCAAAATGGCAGATATAAATCCTACCTATCTGTAATTACATTAAATTTAAATGGAGTAAACACTCCAAAAAACAGAGATTGGCGGAATGAAAATTAATCAGAAAGATCCAACTATATGCTATCTAAAAAAGACACCTGAGATTCAAAGACGCATATAGGTGAAAAGTAAAGGCATGGAAAGATATGCTAGCAAAGAATAGCCAAAAAAAGAGCTGGAGGGGCCACACAAATATTAGATAAAATAGACTTTTCAATAAAAATTATTACTAGAGACAATAAGGATATTTCATCGTGAAATAATTTTTAATACATCAGGAAGATGTAATAAGTATAGACACATATGTACCTAACAACAGGGCCCCAAAGTACATGAATCAAAAACTGACAAAGCAAACTTCATCTAACTCAGAGTTTAAAGTCAAAAGTCAAGGTTGAATTTTGAAAGAACCTGGAGGAAAAGAGGCTATAACCTGTGCATACCACTGTTGCATGAAGAACTCTTGAGTCAGGGCATTAAAAACATGAAGTAAAAACAATTCAGTAAAATATTTAATGGGAATTAACTACATGGCTTTCAAATGTACCCTAAAAATAAATTTTATTTGACGTTTTTTACTTCGGGGGAAAAAATCATTCTTCTTTATAGTGTCTGTTTAAGTTTTGTTTAATTTATCATCACAAAGACAATAACTAGATCAAAATAATTCTCTGTTAACGATAAAACAAAATGATTCCTGGACACTTATAAAACTTACGTGTATCAGTGATAAGGAATGAGAACAGCACTTGGAATAACTGAGAATGAGAATCCTAACCATTTAGGCCATGAAGTCTGAAAGGAAGAAAGCTACGTTCAGCAAATTGCTCTTTTCTTCCTGAATCCTCCAAAATTTGAGGCTACAAACTTGGAGATTACATTTGGGAAGCATGATATTGGCCACTCAGTTAGAAAATAAATCATTAAAAACATAAACAGTATTTTTACATTCTTTGTATATTCGATACATAGTGTCATTCATGTCTATGGACCCCAGAATAGATGATTATGGAGTTTTCCTTCAGGAAATGTGGCACTCACCCATTCGAAGACAATCCAGAGAAGCTTGGCCCCAGTTCCTTGTATATGAGGACTCAATATAGTAACAGTGACCATGGAAAGGAATCCATGCTGTGTGATCTGACTCTGGACATCTGCCAGGCAGTTGTGGGGGTTCAGTAGCAGGGACTTCTGTTAATAAAAACACATTTTAAATAAAGGAAAACCTGAAGCTTCTGTAGTATGTAGCATAATGTATTAGCAGCTACAAATATTGATCTTTATATTTAAAAACCTTCCAATAGTTATCATTTGGATCACCATTCTTATTATTGGATTTCCTTTATCTATGTTTACACTTTAAATATATTTCAGTAGAATGTGCTATGATATAGTGGCAGCCCATTACATTCAGAGTTAAGACTATAGATCTATAGATAACTGCAAAGGTCAATTTTTTAAAAGTCACCACAAAGTAATTTACAAAGTGACTTCCCTTTTTTAAGTCAGTTTTCCTTTTCTGGGATACTAATCCTACAATCTTTTCTTGCTATTAATAGCACCTGGGATATAACTAAATGCTATATTTAGAATTCTAGGATGGTGTCCATCATTGACTCTGATGAATCTACATGTATTCTGACAAAATTCCTTTGATATAGATGTGTGGTCAACACCAAAAGTAACCAGAATTTCCTGGGGAATCTGTCATAGATTCTGAGGAAAACCTCAATAATAAACATTCAGAGATTTATTAAGGAGCAAACAAACTCCAGAAATAAAGAAAATGTTTATCTCCATTGTTTTGATCAATGTATATTGGTTTATAGTCAAGACAGTCTTTTGTTAGGTGAGAAAGTATGTTGTATATTATTCTTAGCTATCCAAGACAGTAACAGTAATGTTACTGTTTTTTTTGTTTGTTTGTTTTTTGAGACGGAGTTTAGCTGTTGCTACCCAGACTGGAGTGCAATGGCACGATCTTGGCTCACCGCAACTTCTGCCTTCTGGGTTCAAGCAATTCTCCTGCCTCAGCCTCCTGAGTAGCTGGGACTACAGGCGTGCACCACCATGCCCAGCTAATTTTTGTATTTTTAGTAGGGACAGGGTTTCACCTTGTTGACCAGGATGGTCTCCATCTCTTGACCGCGTGATCCACCCGCCTTGGCCTCCCAAAGTGCTGGGATTATAGGCGTGAGCCACCGCGCCTGGCCACATTACTGTTTAATAATATCAACAGTGGTATGCTGTAGCTTATTCAGAGAATTTCAGGTCCCCTGATTGCTTTTATATATTCAATTACCATCTGATTTTTTGCAGAGAAAGTAAAAACTTTCATTGCAATGTGCTGTCTTCCAGTAGCTGTCAAGATCCAGATAAACACATGCTGATTTCAATTTGGGCTCATCAGCAGCCCAGTTAGTGTACCTCACCCTCCACTTATCAATCCAAGTATATTTATTATCGGTCTGCAACAACAAAAACAAGCATTAACATGCAGCATTGCTTCATTTAGAAAATACCAAAAGAACCAAGCCAAGAATAAAGAGTATATTTAAGACTGTGATTTGACATAGAACCCAGAACATTTGAGAATAAAAAGAACACTATAAATAATTTCTGTCAAGTTAAATTTGGTAAATGCAGCCTTTCTTAATAACAGTTATTTCTTAGAGATCCACAGGAATACATCCTTGGAAGTTATTTCAAAAAAACACTAACAAAAAAATCTATCTCTTCTTCCATAAAACTCTCTTAGTTTGTGGGTTTTCAGGGCAAAGAGAAGTTTTATCTTCATAACAAAACATTTCCTATATTATTGCTGAAATTATAATAAAAATTAAGTAATTTTTATTATATTCATGGACCACCGAAAGAAATACTACTCTCTCCATATCTTCTCATTATTCTGCTATTGAAACAACTTCAGTGGTAAATAACATAGAAGGTCACATGAGTAAGGAACAGAGGAGCCTTGGTCTCTTGATTTCTAGTGAGGTGGTCTTTCAGCTGCATAAACCATGAGGTCATTTTGTAAAAAGCCAATCGCTTTAGTCTACTTGCACAGTCAATTTCTTATTAAGTTTAGTAAACAAATTTATGCTCACATACAAAATACTGATAAACATCAAAAATAGTATTTATCAATAATATCCTTTTAACAATCTAATAGAGATTTTACGGATATTGTCTAAGAACAGATGATATATAACATTAATCAGAGGTAGCTGAATTTTTTTAAGATTCCAGCAATTATCACCCTTTTGACTGCATTATTTAATTTGCCAAGCCAGTTGCCAAATATTCAGGGACAAAAGTTAGAAGTATGTGTTATCTCAAATTCGAATTTTGTAGTATTATGCCATGTTTCACCAAATAATGCTTGGATAATCATTAACTCTATAGACATAAGGAAGATAACAATACCGCTGTAGTCCTAAAAATTGCTGCAATGAAAAACTATTTAATCTTTCTAAAAGTAAGAGCTTACTTTAAACTCATAAGAGAATTGTGGACATGTCTGTGAGAAAACAAATAACTTATCAAATGACTTAATCATAAAAACATAGTCAACAGGGATATAAAAATGTCTTGCTCAAGTTTAATCATAGAAATCATTCTGGAACTACTTACTTTTAAATATACACTTCCCTACTTAGGAAATACTCATCGTATAAATTGTAAACTTCTGTCTCTGCCTCATGGCCTTGGAAGCTCTGTAACATCTGACACTCACCTGCTCTCCAGTTTATCTCCATTTTTTTCCTCTTCTTGATATTCCTTCTCTATGTTCTACCATCCTAGACTTTATCTAGAAACTCTGAGGAACCTTCTTGGTCCTCCCCACTGGCCCAACTGGTTCCTTTTCTCTCTTCTCGTGACACTTTCTATATGCCTCTCTTTGACACTTCTATCTTAATTGCTGACTGACATATCTATTTCTTCTACTGGGGAGCTTGCTGGTTGGCTGGCTAGAAGAATTAATACAGGGAAGAGAGACAGAAGACCAGACATCAGAGGAGACTCATTTTAGGACTATTTTGGCAACTCTATCCCCATTCTTAGCTTTGTGCCTCATCCCTAGTCTTTGCCAACTTTAGTCTATAATGGAATACTAGGAACTGACTGCAGTGAAATATTTCTCACACACGATGGGAGCTCTACAACCTCAGGACCTACAACAAGTCTACAATGTCTTGCCACAGCAAATAAAAAGTGTCCCCATCACTGTCAACTATGTCTTAACAAGCTTTCTTAATTCTCATACCATAGTTATAATCATGACCTTGGAAGGAATTTGTGAATAAACTTGAGATTCAGAATACAATGTGCACAGTCTAATGCAATAAGAGAGTTAACATTCATCAGATAATCCTTAGTTTGATTTCTGGCACATATCACCAGGTTGCCAGATCCTTAAAGGCAGCATATCCCTCAAAGACTGGATCTTGTTCTAGTTAGTATCACTCACATTGCCTAGCACAGTCTCTCACACGTAACGGGTATTCAATAGAACTACCAGGAAGAGAATCATGTCCAACCATAATTCACTGATCATGTCAAGTTGCACGCATTTCCAGCATCTTACCAAGTTACTGTTCAGGGCGATCCACACACGTTCATCAGATTTTTCCATCTGCAGCCATGCAAATGCATGACTGTAGGGATCCAGAATGCTAGCTAAAAGGGAATTGTGATGCCTGCAGTATGTCTCTGCTTCATGCCATTGTAATTTTTGTCTCATGATCGAATAGCTGCTTTTGCCATATTTAATAAAGCCATCTGTTGAAGTGGTTGCTGGAGGATTAGTCAAGGATGGGTCTAGATAAACAGATTATTTTCGTTAGCATTATCAATAAACAATAATTGAGCACTATCAGAAATGACAATTATATCTCATCAATCATAAAAATAAGCAAAATAGCATAACTCCAAACATTCAGCTGTTAGACACATTTATATAAGCCATTTCACGCTAGAAAACATACCATTATTTTTTCATAAGTATGCCTGACCAAATTAAATTAATTCCAAAGTATATTTAGAATATTAGGGCAAATATATGATCAAGTTTCTAAACTAACAAACAAAACGTATTACAAATTCAATGCAATCTAGATGAAAGAAATGGCATAGTTTCATCGCAGAAATTAAAGAACATCGATTATTGTGTCATTGCTGATCTTTATTTTTCCATATAGGTTAAATATCAAGGTCAAGAAAAGTCTTTCTCTTCCCTCCCCCTTTGTTCTACTTGATCCATGAGTTTGTATCTGTTTGACTTCATTAGTGAGCAATCCGCCTTCAGGTGACTGGTTTAGGTTCTAGAATAAAGCCACACACAAGTCCCTGGCTCATTTAAGCTTGATCTCAAGATCAAGCTTTACTCTTGATGATTTTCTATGCCTTTCACTTAGAGGGAAAGCCTCCCATATCTTATCCAAACTGACCCAGTGGTTGGAGCCCCTCAAGCCAAATCACTTCAGCTTTCTGATCTTTCCTCCACAATCTCCTAGCATGCATTTCTAATCACTGCATTGTGCCCCCTTTACTCTGAGCCACTTCATGTCAAGACCCCCAAAAGAGATTGTTTCTGCCTGTCTTGGGATGCCCTAGAAGTCACCAAATCACAGCCAGAGGATGAAACCTAATCTGTTATCTGTCTTTGCATCCTATAAGCTACAAAGGTGTTTAAATAGTTGGGTATGGAGGAGAATCAAAGAAGAAAAATATTTTATGACATGTGAACATTACATGAAATTTAAATCTGTGTCCATAAATAAAGTCTTACTGGAACACAGCCATATTCATTTGCTTATGTATTGCCTATGACCGTCTGTGATCACAGAAGAGTTGAGTATTTGCAGTAGAAACTGTATGCCCGTAAACCCTAAAATATTTGCAATCTGGTTCTTTACTCTGGTCTAGGGATCTATATATCCTTGCCTACCTGTATGTACCTTGGCCAATTCTCCAGCATGTTCTACTTTATGCCTACAAGACCTGCCATCTGCCTTGTCCTGCACTACAGAAGTGCCAACATTTTTTTTAATCAAGGTCTTTTGTTCTGTTGCCCAGGCTAGTCTTGAACTCCTGGTGTCAAGCAACTCTCCTGCCTCAGCCTCTCAAAATGCTAGAATTAAAGGTACAGGCCACTACACCTGGTGATAATTTATAGTTCATAAAAGTTTATGTGCTACCTTTTTTCACTTCAATGCTGTGAATCATTCCTTAAGTCATTAAAAATTTGCAAATGATTTCTATTTGCGGCAAAATATTCTGTCATGTATGTGTATAAGGAATAGAAAGAGAAGATTTTAAATAAGTGTGTGAATCACCATTCACTCCTGGAAGGAGTGTTCCCTCTTGGCCCAAAGAACAGAGGCAAAGATGGCAGGCTTTGGTATTACTGGTGATCTAAGATTCTGGTGCTATAGAGGGTAATATTGAGAAAAATGACACGCACTGGGATGGCTTTTGGATTAAGAGAAGGCTAGGATTTCTGGAGTACTTCTCAACCTCTGAAAATATCTTAGATGATTTTCAGTCATTATTATGAACTGACATTAGTTCCCTGATTTCCCAAATAGCATAGAAAAATTCATTAGGTCCGGGAGAATAATTACCTTCCAACTCACACCCATCCTTTAAGAACTGTATTCAGGATAACAGCAACCCTCCCCACCTTCAACTCTCTTGTCTAATCTATTTTTAAATTTCTGACCCCTTTTGTGTAGCTATGAGGTAGGAGGCAGGACTCCCTCCAGGCCAGATTGAAGACTAACTGAAACTTCTCCCTACGGCACATCCACCAATGCCGTGACAGTTTACCATTGCCATGGCAGTCCCCAGAAGTTACTATTTCTTTTCCAAAACTTTCTGAATAACCCACCCCTTCATTTGCATGTAATTAAAAGTGGGTATAAATATGAGTGCAGAATTGCCCCTGAGCTGCTTCTCCAGGCTCACTGTCTATCATAAACTCTGATCCACCAGGAGCAGTATGTCTGCTGCTGCTGTGAACTGTCACTTTAATAAAAGTTATTAACACCACAAACATGCCCTTAAATTCCTTTCTGTGTGAAGCCAAGAACCCTCCCAGGCTAAGCCCCAAGTTTGGGGCTCACCTGCCCTGTCAGCAAGGCATTTTTATTCTAGTTTCTCTAGAAACTAAAATGTATGCAAACACCATCTTAATTGACAGTAAATATCTGCATATTGCATTATTTTCATTTAACCATATTGTGGCTTCCTAAGATGAAAAAAGAAACTCAGATCATATATCCACATATTTAAGGCACACAAGATATAGAACAAATAATGAGGCATACATGATGCTTTACACCAAAAGTTCTCAAATTACATGAATTAAATGGAAGCATTCCTATTCTGACATTTAAAAAAAGGTACAGGTAAGCAAATACCCTAAGTTTCTAATAGAAAGTTTTAGTGACAGGTTTAGTCTGCCCAAAACTACAAAACTATCTGGTAAGAAAAAAAAAAAAAGAAAGAAAAAGAAAGCAGACTCATGAATCAAGTATAGAAAATATCACCCTTTTTGTCTGTCACAGGTTTCCAGGGATTAAAGCAACAATCAAACCTGTTGCTATGCAAGGGAATGATCATGTATTTTATTTTACTTGTTTGTTTTTGCTTTTATTTTTATTTTTGTGAGATGGGGTCTCACTCTGTCACCCAGGCTAAAGTGAGTAGCATGATCATAGCTCATTGCAGCCTCAGCCTTTCAGACTCAAGTGATCTCTCACCTCAGCCTCCCATGTAGCTGGGACTACAGGCACAAGTCACCACACCTGCAGTCCCACCTACAATAGTAAAATAATTTTGTTAAAATACGAAATAATTTTTGAGTTTTTTGTAGAAATGGAATTTCACTATATTACCCAAGCTGGTCTCAAACTCCTGGGCTCAAGCAATCCGCCTGCCTCAGTCTTCAAAAGTGCTGGCATTACAGGCATGAACCACAGTGCCCAGTTATGATTATATATTTTAAAGTACATTTAAAAACACAGCTCTTCATCAGGACAAATAGTTAATGCATGTGGGGCTAGGTGATGGGTTGATAGGTGCAGCAAACCACCCTGGCACATGTATACCTGTATAACAAACCTGCACATTCCATACATGTATCCCAGAACCAAATAAAATTTTAAAATTAAAAAGTGAAGTCAGGCACAGTGGCTTATACCTATAATCCCAGCACTTTGGGAGGCTGAGGCAGGCAGATCACTTGAGGTCAGGAGTTCGAGACCAGCCTGGGCAACATGGAAAACCCCAGCTCTAAAAGAAACACAAAAATTATCTAGGCATAGTGGTGCATGCCTGTAATTCCAGCTACTCAGAAGACTGAAGCAGGAGAATTGCTTGACTTGGGAGGTGGAAGTGGCAGTGAGCTGAGATCACGCCACTGCACTTCAGCCTGGGTGACAGAGCAAGAGTCTGTCTTAAAATAAATAAGTAAATAAATAACTGAAAACAAAACCCAGCTCTTTCAGGAAGGTGATGTTTGGTAGAACTTACCAGGAGGTATCTGGCATATGTAGCCTCGTTTTTTATCACAGTTATCATCCATCCATTTTCCTGCTTCATTCGATGGACCTCCAATAATAACAACACAGTCAACCTTCATATTTGTAGAGAAAGAAAGAGAAAACATTCATGAATCTATGACTATTGAAATCAATTCATTAATAAGCAAAAAAACCTCTCATTATTTCTAATTTCCAAATGTTAAAATTGACCTAATTTAAAATATGCTTAATCCTTCATTACTTTCTACCCAACTGTACCTACTATGCATATTCTCCACATTTGAACTCTTACTATACGGATTGAAAACCCCACAGATCTGGATAAACCTTGGAGATAGGCCCAAGAAACTTTGCTATCAGACCTTTTGTTAATCACTATCAAAACTTAGAACCCAAAGGGACTAAGAGAACATAGTATCCTCTCCATACAAATTACCAGTATCCAAACCCCAAAGTAGGCACCATATTTTTAAAGGAAAATGAGTACAATCTATATACTTCATTGCTAAACTGATTTGTAAAAGTATTATTATAGATTCAGAGTATGGCTGGTATGGCTAGAAAGTTTCACATCTTATTTATAATCTTACAGGAGAGTATGCCAGGGCTGGAACAATACTATATTTGTTTGGTTGTGAATGTGTGTGCCATTCCAAATCCTTCTCAGTATTTTTTTTTTCTGAAATGCCATTATTTCCATTCTAATCCTCATATCTGGTCCTGTTGGAGTAGAGGTGAGAGAAACCATGCTGCCTGCCCCATTTCAATATACACTCTGTACTTTAATTTAAAATGTGGTCTCTTGCTCATTTAAAATAAGAGGCCAGGCACAGTGGCTCACACCTGTAATCCAAGCACTTTGAGAGGCCTAGCTGAGAAGATCGCTTGAGCCTGGGAATTCAAAACCAGCCTGGGCAACAAGGGAGACCCTGACTCTACAAAAAATAAACACAATTAGCTGGGCATGGTGGTGCATAACTGTGGTCTCAGCTACTCAGGAAGCTGAGGTGAGAGGATCACTTGAGCCTGGAAGGTTGAGGCCACAGTGAACTATGATCATATGATCATACCAATGCCCTCCAGCCTTGCTGAGAGAACAAGACTTTGGGAAGGAAGGAAGGAAGGAAGGAAGGAAGGAAGGAAGGAAGGAAGGAAGGAAGGAAGGAAGGGAGGGAGGGAGGGAGGGAGGGAGGGAGGAGGGAGGGAGGGAGGGAGGGAGGGAGGGAGGGAGGGAGGGGCTGAGAGAAGCCAGGAAGGAAGGAAGGAAGGAAGGAAGGAAGGAAGGAAGGAAGGAAGGGAGGGAGGGAGGGAGGGAGGGAGGGAGGGAGGGAGGGAGGGAGGGAGGGAGGGAGGGGCTGAGAGAAGCCAGAAATAAAGACAGGAGACATGGTCAAATCATTCTGCATTTGTGATGGAGCCCCCAAATTTCATTGTGTTTATTTCCACAATTATCTTCTATTTATGGTGACTATATCAATTTTCTACCTTCTCCTAATAAGTTTTCTTTTGAAGTAAATTTAAGCAAAAAAATGAGTAGCCTTAAAGAAAATGTTGAAGATTTTAAGTTTCTAGTTTGATATGTAAGAAGCTTGGAAGTTGTCACTCCCATCCACAATGCAAGAAAAAGGCTAGAAAAGTTGAAAATCAACAACTCCTTGTAAATGCACTGGAAAATGGAGGTCATGAGACCAACAGCTGTCCCCCAAATTGGAGACACAGACAAGTGGATATAGGGAATCAGAACTGACCAGAGCAGAAGCCCAGGAGTAGCAAACGGGAATCAGTATTGAGGTAGGAGATACTAAATGTCATTGACACATTGCTGGAGATTCAATATGGATAAGTTTGAAAAGTAAAGACTCTTGGCAGAGGAGTGCATGGGGAAGGCAGTCTTAGGGAGATTTCGGAGTTTAGCGAGTTTCTTCCAGGAGCCCTACCATATTCTTACAGTGAAGATTGGAGAAAAGTCTCCTCTTGCTTCCAACGGGGGAGGTGGGAAAAGAGCCATTTTTAAATACAACACAGCTTTCTGTTTTTAATAAGATCAGCCTTCAAGAACAAGAATTTTACCAGTGCCTAACCAACTGTGGTTTCACCACACAGTAACTAAACTAGGAGAAAAGAAGGACCCAACTCCAGCCTCTCTAGCTTTCCTGTCTCATCCAAAAGGAAAAAGCAACAAAACAAAACTGAGAAGCACTTTTGAAGGTCACAGCACAGATTCCCTAAAAGCCAGAACCCCCATCATAGGATTATGAAACACTTCCCCTCCCCAATATTTTACCACCATATCCTTGGGGTTCCTGTATGATAACAAGCAGATACAGCTGAAGAAGTGTACCTCTCTGACATTATTTAAATCTTTAGGAGAACCCAGAGTCAACAGGAGAGACAGAAACAAGGACACCAGAGATTTTCACTTCTGACACCTAAAGTGACAGCAAACAGCAAACACGCCCTAACTCTTAGCTAAATAAACATAAACCTCACACTAAATGTCTATTTACCTCTGTTCTCTTTATTCACTACATCAGCAGCACCTAAAACTTTGGCACCAGGGACCAGTTTCATGGAAGACAATCTTTCCACAGACTGGGGCAGAGGGTGGTTTCAAGATGATTCGAGCGCATTGTTTATTGAGCACTTTACTGCCATTATTATTACTACACTGTAATATGTAGTATAATAATATTACAACTCACCATCATGTAGAATCAGTGGGAGCCCTGAGCTTGTTTTCCTGCAACTAGATGGTCCCATCTGGGGGCAATGAGAGATGGTAACAGATCATCAGGCGTTAGATTCTCATAAGGAGTGCACAACCTAGATCCCTGACAAGCACAGTTCACAGTAGGGTACACGATTCTATGAGAATCTAATGCCACTACTGATCTGACAGGAGGTGGAGCTCAGGCAGTAATCCAAGCACTGGTGAGTGGCTGGAAATACAGATAAAGCTTCACTCACTTGCTTGCTGCTCATCTCCTGCTGTGAGGCTCAGTTCCTAACAGGTACCTGTCCGTGGCCCAGGGGCTATAGACCCCTGCACTACAATATATACCCAGCTTTCAACATAAAAATATAAGGCCCACTAAAATATTAACACACACACATACACACACACACAGTTTGAAGTGAACGGCAAGCATAATAAGCAGACTCAGATGTGACAAAGGTAGTGGAATTATCAAAATTTTAAACAACTATGAATAATATGCTAAAGACCCTAATGTAAAGCATGGACAACAAGCAAGACTGGGTAGGTAACAAAATCAGAGAGATGAAAATGCTAAGAAAGAATCAAAAGGAAATTCTAGAAATCAAAACCACCTTAACAGAAATGAAGACTATGATAGGTCCATCAATAGACTGGATATGGCCAAGGAAACAAGAAAGAAAGGAGCAGAGGTAGTATTTGAAGCAATAATGACTTAGAATTTCCCAAAATTAATGACTGACAGCAAATCACAGATCCAGGAAGCTCAGAGAACATCAGACAGGATAAATACAAACACGACTTCTAGATACACCATACTCAACTACAGAAAATCAAAGATAAAGAGAAAATCTTGAAAGATGCCAGAGGCAGGGAAAATCATCTATCTATAAAGAAGCAAGAATAGTAATCTTGGATTTCTTTCCAGAAACCAGGTAAGCAAGAAGATAGTGGAATACAATATTTAGCGTGCTGAAAGAAAAAACCCACCAACCCAGAATTCTGTCTCCAGTGAAATTTTCCTTAAAAAGTGAAAAGAAAACAAAGCCTTTCTCAGACAAACAAACATTGAGAAAATTTGTTGCCAATAAACTTAGCTTGAAAGAAATGTTAAAAGGAAAAATGAAGGAAAATGATATATGTCCGAAACTCAGGTCTATCTAAATAAATGAAGAGCATCAGAAAAGGAATAAATGAAAGAAAAATAGAATTTTTCATTTTCTTTGTTCTTAATTGATCCAACAGATACCAGTTTGCTTAAAATAATAATAGCAACAATGTATTTGGTGATAACAGCTTACGGATAAGTGAAATGAATTACAGTAATGTTACATGGGAGAAGAGGAAGGAATGGAGCATGCTTTCTTATGACATGCTATTGGAAAAAAGACTTGGATTAGCTGTAAATGTATACTGCGAACTCAAGAGCAACCACTAAAGAAAGTTTGTTTTTTGTTTTGGTTTTAGGCCGAGAAAAGTGGCTCATGCCTGTAATCCCAGTACTTTGAGAGGCTAAGATGGGAGGATTGCTTGAGCTCAAAAGTTCAAGAATAGCCTGGGTAACATAGAAAGACCTCCATCTTTATTTATAATAAAAATAAAATTATGGCCAGGCGCGGTGGCTCACATCTATAATCCCAGCACTTTGGGAGGATGAGGTGGGTGGATCACAAGGTCAAGAGATCGAGACCATCCTGGTCAACATGGTGAAACCCCGTCTCTACTAAAAATATAAAAATTAGCTGGGCCTGGTGGCACGCACCTGTAGACCCAGCTACTTGGGAGGCTGAGGCAGGAGAATTGCTTGAACCCAGGAGGCAGAGGTTGCGGTGAGCCAAGATCACGCCATTGCACTCCAGCCTGGGTAACAAGAGTGAAACTCCATCTCAAAAAAAAAAATTAAATTAAATTAAAAGGTTTTCTTAAAGTATAATTGGCATGCTAAGAGTGGAAAACAAATAAAATCATACAAAATACTGAAGTAAAACCAGAGAAGCCAAGAAAGAGTGGTAGACAAAAAAATGAAATACAGAATAAAAACAGCAAACAATAATAAATATGATAGTTGTTAATCCAGCTATATCAACAATCATTTTAAATATTAATGGTCTAAATACGCAAATTAAAATACAGAGACTCATGTATTGATACAAGAGATTCACTTTAAATATGAAGATACACATAAGTTAAAAGAGAAGAAAAATGGAGAAAGATATGCTATACTAACAATAATCAAAAGAAAGCTGGACCGACTATATTAATTTCAGACATAGCAGACATTCAGCCTAGCAGGGCAAGGAAAGTTACCAGAGGTAAAGAGGAACCTGACATAATGATCTAGCAGACAATTCTCATCAAAATACGTAAGGTGAAACTTGATAGAACTGCAAAGAGAAATAGATAAATCCACAATTCGAATTGGAGACTTCAATACTTTTCTATCAAAAAAAGCATATTCACAGGGAAAAAAATCAGTAAGAACATAGTTAAACTGGACAGCACCATCAATCAACCAGATCTCAACATCTGAAACTCCTTCATCCAGTAACAGTAGAATATATATTCTTCTCAAGTTCACGGGAAACATTCACCAAGAGAAATGACATTCTGGGCCATAAAACACACCTTAACAAATTTACGGGAATAGAAAACAGATAAACTATTCTCCAAGGCCACAATGGAATTAAACTAGAAATCAGTAACGGAAAATTCCGAACTACCTAGAAATTAAAGAAAATGTTATGTCAATAATAATAAACTAATAATGATACACAAAGACAATCAAAAAAAGGTGACTGCAGTTTTTCTGAATAAAAGTACTTAAGAGAATTGTCACTGTGAAGTCAACACATTTTTAACCCATCCCTTGAGCTACAGTGAATCACAGCCTACACTCCTGCCACAGACATCTTGTCAACCTCCCGTGTCTTCATCCCATGAGCTACAACTATCAGGCAACCTGAAACTTACATTTCAAAAGTTCTCCACTCATCCCTATTTCCTTTCTTAGCTATTTTAAAGCCCCATTATCCTGGCTTAGAGTCTCTGATACAGAAAACCTGTTGCAATCCAAGCAGATTTGCACCACAAAACACATATTAAAAGTCCTCTCCATTCTCTTTTTCTAACTATATTTAATCCTTTCCATTTTAAAGTCCTGAAGTTGGTTTTTAAAAAGCGGCGCCAGATGCAGTGGCTCATGCCAGTAATCCCAGCCCTTTGGGAGGCTGAGGTGGGTGGATCATGAGGTCAGGCATTCGAGACCATTCTGGCCACCATAGTGAAACACCGTTTCTACTAAAAATACAAAAAGTTAGCTGGGTGTGGTGGTGTGTGCCTGTAATCCCAGCTACTCGGTAGGCTAAGGCAGGAGAATCACATGAACCTGGGAGGCAAAGGTTGCAGTGAGCCAAGATAGCGCCACTGCACTCCAGTCCTGGTGACAATATGAGACTCCATTAATCAATCAATCAATCAATGGATTATGTGTGTTTTGATTCCATCTTTGTGAAATATAAACTTCATCTGTTTATATACACTATGAATAAGTCTGGGAGAAAAGTCAACAAAAAATTAGCGTGTTTTTTTCTGAACAGTTGAGATTACAGATTTTGTTTGTTGGTTTGTTTTTATTGTTTCTACCTTTCTTTATCCTCTAAAAACAACACATATATATGTAATAATAAATCTTTTCCGTTTATATGAAATTCACCTCTCATCCATTAAAGCTGTCTAAGCAAATGCTGTCTTGCTCCATTCTACTTTAACTTTTTCAATAAGTCTTCAGCCCTCATTGATGTCATGAAATCAAAGAATTTTTCCAAAATTCTTTTCCAAAAAAAGAAAATTATTTACCCACCACTAGTTATTTTTTTTCTAGGTAAAAGCAAGTTTATCAGAGAAGTAAAGACACAAAAGAATGGCTACTCCACAGACAGAGCAACCCCAGGGGCTGCTGACTGGCTCCATCACCAAAATGTATTTACCTGGCAAATAGCTACCAAAATATTAATTGTCATAAAAATGTTGAGCAGATCATTTTTCTACTCAGACCTTTTTTGTTGCTTATTTGAAAAAGTCCAAACTCCATCATAGTGCGTCTAAATCTCTCTAAATTCTGCTTTCCACCTTTTGAAGCTTACCTCTGAAACTTCTTTTTCTGCATAAAACTCCCGCTGCATTCAAAGCCACTTACTCTATTTGCCCAAACACATCTTGCATCTCTTGCTTGAAGACTTTGCCCACCTTGACCATCTAACACGGCCTTTCTCATCCTTTTGCTAAGATCCCCTAATAATTATGTTTTAAAATTCTTGAAACAAAGACCCAGCTGGGTATGGTGGCTCATGACCCAGCATTTTGGGAGGCTGAGGCATGTGGATCACTTGAGGTTAAGAGTTGGAGACAATGCTGGCCAATATGGTAAAACCCTATCTCTATAAAAATGCAAAAAGTAGTTGGCATGGTGGCAGGCACCTGTAATCCCAGCTACTACAGAGGCTGAGGCAGGAGAATCTTTGAACCCAGGAGATGGAGGTTGCAGTGAGCTGAGATTGTGCCACTGCACTCCAGCCTGGGCAGGAGAGCAAGAGACTCCATCTCAACAACAACAAAAACAAAAAAGAAACAAAAACCCATAGTTGATTCTTTTTTATAGTTCTTCCCTCTACCATGACATGCAAAGACAGTGTCTAGCACATAAGGCACCATAGATGTGTACTCACTGATCAAATCACCCCATCCCATAATGAGTTTCTTTCCTCTTAGCTACTATAATGCTTATATCTGATCCTGTCATTAGACATGCTCGTTTCTTTCCTATCTTCCTTCTTATATAAGACTTGTGGTCTAATTTAAGCATACCCGCTTTTAAGGTAAAAACAAAATCTTCCATTTATTTCTTCATGCTTTTTACAATCCCCAACGTGGTGTTTGATGTTGATAAGTTGACTGTTCAATTATATAAGAATAAAAGTAGTAAGATAAAGAAGGAATCTATCTCCCAGGTTAATGTACAAAAGCATTTGGCACATAATAAGCTGTGTACAAATGTTAGCTCATGAAAATGATGATGATGATGTGATCTTTAGAAGCAATAGCAGTTTCCAGGGCTATACCCCAAATACTACGATAGCTGCACGGGATAAGGGGAAGAAAGTTGGAACTCTACGTTGAAGTGTTCCTTCTGACTGCAAGTTAGGCTCAGAATGGAACTGGGTTTCCCGATCCCTCACTATCACCACTTCCCCAAGCCAAAGATTTTTTAACTGAATTTATACCCTTTCCCTCAAAGTCAGCTCAGTCTGAAACAGGTAAAATCTGCAAGCATGGACCAGATCAAGAAGTATTCTGGTAGATTCTTTCATAGAAAAGTAATCAATAAGATGATAACCCTATGCAAGCTGATGGTGTGTAGAGAGGTGACCTGAAACTGATACTTACATCTTCATAAGAAAGACTGCTTCTTCTCCCACCAGGGTAACCTTTTCCCCAGTTTGTGTAGTGAACTCCTCGCCCATCTGTCCAAAGGAACATGTGTTCTGAATTGACATCATTCAGCCCAGTCCAGGCACTGAAAGTGGAATCCTTCATATGATAGGTAAGAAACGCTGAAAGAAAATTTGATGAAATAATTTTAAACTTTGAGAGTTAATACCCAAAATATGGACAATATTCAAGATATATTAATTTCAAAATACTGAGCATGTGATTTGTCATTATTATTATTTAAAAACACTTACCATGAAAACAAAGACATTCTAATATCAGCATTGTGTTATCACTTGAGCTTTGAACTTGAAAAATTTCTCACAATAAAAGTCTAGGTTTTATCTAGGCCATTGAAGACACTTGTGCAAGTTGTACCCTGCCCGAGGGCTCCATTCTGTGTACCGCTATCTGGGTTGTGGCTGCCTACAACCACAATCTTTCCTAATTCATAAAAAGTCACCGTATGGGTTAGTGACTCTCCTGACTCTGTAAATAAAATAATCTGATTTATATAATAACTATGGGACAGAGGACTCTTAACTCAGACAAGTTCTGAAAAAATAAAAACTGTCAAAACAAGAATCATCAAGCTGTTGATGTGGTTTGGCTCTGTGTCCCCACCCAAATCTCACATGGAATTGTAATAATCCCTATGTATTAAGGGTGGGACCAGGTGAAGGTAAATGAATCACGAGGGAGGTTTCTCCCATGCTGTTCTAATGATAGTGAATGAGTTCTTACAAGAGCTGATGGTTTTATAAGGGGCTTTTCCTGCTTTACTTTGCACTTCTCTCTCCTACTGCCATGTGAAGAAGGACGTGTTTGCTTCCTCTTCCACCATGACTGTAAATTTCCTGAAGCCTCCCAAGACATGTGGAAGTATGAGTCAATTAAATCTTTCCTTTATAAATTACCCATTCTCCAGAAGCTCTTTATAGTAGCGTGAGAACAGACTAACGCAGCTGTCAAGTTATCAGTATCTCAGATTGCCAAACCAAAAGAGTTTTCCAGTTAAGATTCCTCCTGGGCAGGTTGGGGAGCAATCCCTGGAGATCAGTTGGCCCTCTGCTCAGCGTGCTTGGACCAAGGGGACCATCCTGATGCTAAAGTGCTCACATCAGGGGCTGGGCATGGTGGCTCATGCCTGTAATCCCAGTGCTTTTAGAAGCAGAGACAGGAAGATTGCTTGAGGCCAGGAGTTCAAGATCAGCCTGGGCAACTTGATGACACCCTGTCTCTACAAAGAAATACAAAAATTGATGAATCATGGTGGCATTCACCTGTAGCCCCAGCTTCTCAAATGGCTGAGGCAGGAGGATCACTTGAGCCCTGGAGGTTGAGGCTGCAGACAGCCATGGTTGTGCCACTGTACTCCAGACTGGGTGACAGAGGGAGACCCCATCTCTACACAAATCAATCAATAATAAAGTGTTTGCATTACGAGAAAATATGGCTTCTTGTTTCTTTATCAATTCTGTGGCCAAGAGGATGGTGGCAAACATCAAGGAGACATAAAAGGTTGAATTGTATGTATGCCCCTCCCCTTCCCTCAGCTCACCTCCAGGCCTCCCATGGAAGCTGCCATCTGGGGCCAACACCACCACCTGAGCCATTAACTCCTAGATGGACAAGTACCTACTCTACTCAACAACAATTTGCAAACATTTACACTTAAACACGTCTCCTGAATGTAAATAGGAAATGGAATGACTAAGTACTCAGGGTTACTAATAGAAAATGCAAAATAGAAATCTGCAGAGATAGAATTATCTGTGTATTCATGAACAAACAATTTCATGTAAGAGCCATTGCTATACACTTACTCTTTCTGCAGAGTAGAAGAGGTAGCTACCATCTCACTCAGAGACCTCTGTTTCTCTCAATTAAATAAGGATTTAAAAAAAATTCTTCCAACATTTTTCAGAAAAGAAGAAGAACATGGGTACAGCCAGCTACGGTGGCTCACACCTGTAATTCAGTAATTCGGGAGGCCAAGGTGAGAGGATCACTTGAGGTTAGAAGTTTAAGGCCAGCCTAGGCAACATATCAAGACCCTCTCTCTACAAAAAAATTTAAAAATTAGCCAGGTAATTTGAGTCCCAGCTACTCAAGAGGCTGGAACCGGATTACTTGAGCCCAGGAGTTGAAGGCTGCAGTGACCTATAATTGGATCACTGCTCGTCAGCCTGGGTGACCAGGTGAGACCCTGTCTCTAAAAAGAAAAGGGCATGGAAAGAAAAGCACACTGCTATGTGTGTTCCTACGCAACTGTCTTGCATGCTCTGCTCATGTACCCCAAAACCTAAAATCCAATAAAAATTTAAAAAAAAAAAAAAAAAAGGGCATGGATAGATATTTACTTTGGTTTGATTTTGTTTTCTAAATAAGATCATAACTTTTGCCCTATCCCCAGCTTGAAATAAAACGTGGAAAAGCTCTACCTGCCAAGATTCAGCACTTTTTTCCTGCCAAGAACCACAATAAGAATTCAACGACGTGTGTCTGTTTTGCCAGGAATAATGTTATTTTATCTGAAAATTGTTTCCTTCTGCACATCTCTACTATCCAGTTTCAATTTCATTATGCCAGGAATCAGCACTTTGTGGTTAAGAGAGGAAATCAATTACTGTGTTTCTCTGTGGGGTAGCTGAGCCCAAAATGGGGTAGGCCAGTTGGAGAAACGTAAATGTTACGTTCTTATACTGTGTGCTTTGGTCTGACCCTTTTCTTTCAGTGCCTGACAAATTGCTCAGCTTGTCAAATGTTCTCAGTGAAAGCTTGGTTGATTTATTGTACAACATGTTCTAAGAGAGCACATGGCGGCATTCAGAAAGCCAAATAAACTTTTGAGAGAGCACCCTACATGATTCTAAAGTCTTTCTTATTTCCTTTGTTTTTCTTATATTTTCCTTCTCATGTCATTTTTGAAATACATGATTCTAGAAGTCAGATAATCTAAGAACCAAAAGAGAAACTACAGAATATTCAGTCTATATGTCTCCTACCATGTCCTTATAAAGTTATATATACAACTAACAACTGTTGAGCATCTTCTATGCTATATAACAGCCAACATACAGGACAATCTAGCATCGACTTGAGTATTTTCCAGTATAAGAATTTTCAAAGCCCTTTAGAAACTCCACCTTCCTCATAAATCCATCTATACAATCGATTCTGTAACAATGCACCCCTAATTTTGAGCCTGAATCTATTTCCCTGTGACCGTCACTCATTGGCTCCAGGCCTTCCATCTGAGGCGACACAGGGTGATCCTTTAAAGTCCACATCCTCTTTTCCAAGCTGTAAAACCTGAGGGTCTTTCAACCCTGACTCATTTGCAGTGATTTCCAAACTCTATCAGTTTAGTCTGAATCTCCTGCAGTTGGTCAACACCTCCTTAAAGGGGGAGTCACAATTTAACCTAATACCTATTTCTGTGGAGGCATCCACAGAAAGATCATGTAGAAATGGTGGGTACATTTCTTTTCATGACAATATCATGATATTTACCATCTGCTCTATGGATATGGTGACTATTCTCCTTCATAGTTCTGGTTTATTTTCATGTTTTATCAAAAACTGTTTTGAAGACAGGTATGGTGGCTCACACGTGTAATCCTAACACTTTGGGAGGCTGAGGTGGGGGTTTAAGACCAGCCTGGGCAACATAGTGAGACTCTGTCTTAAACAACAACAACAACATTAAAAAAAAATTAGCCAAGCATTGTGGCCCAGGCCTGTCCCAGCTACTCAGAAGACTGAAGCAACGGTATTGCTTGAGCTTAGGAGTTCAAGACTGCAGTGAGCTATAATCACACCACTGCACTCCAGCCTGGGCAACAAAGTGAGAAATTGCCTCAAAAAAAAAAATCAAAATTTTTTCAAAGTTCATATTTAAAATAGAAGTTTTGCTGTGTTACAAGTTGTGTGATCAAGTGACTAGAAGAGCAATAAATGGGAAAGCAGCAATTTTTCATCTTAATTCTTAACTTCTCTTCTTTGATTCTTTGGGTGCAAACTGATTTGGTAGAAAGCTGGACATGCGTGGGCTTGATTCCCAGCTCTACTGCTTAATAGGCAAGCTCCTTCACTCAAAGGTCTCTACACACCATTTCCCCATTCACAAAATGGGTTCATAATACTGCTTCTGAGAGTTGTGATGACTTTATATAAGGACTTCATATAAAATAAACAGCCCAATATGGGCTGTAATTGAGTAAAATAGCTTCAATAAGCATTTGATTTTTCCCCACTTTCTTAGCTTTTACACTGGAAAACAAAAAAGTCATTTACTGTCAGCAATATTTTACCATTTTGCAGTCAAAATTCCGTATTTAAATGCATCACTGACTGCAAAATGGCCTACATACCTTGCTCTTTTTCATTTTGTATGGAGGCAAGATTCCCCCCAAAGCCTATACAAGCTTTTCGTGCCTCTTGCCAATTTTTTCTTTCTTCTTTAACAAATCCAAAGATTTTGAAACACTGAGATGAAAGGAGGAGGGGAGAAAAACCATAGGGGTTAATTAAAGACGATAAACTTTGCTCTACAAAAAGCAAAATTATTCATGAAGATGACAGCTAAATCAGAATTTTCTCACAACCAACTGGAGATTTTTAAAATTGTTAGTTTTATGATCCACCCCCTTTCTTTGCAAAGTTTTACCCTTCCTTGGGATAAGGGGTGCATGGATGCAAATAATATCTCAAGCATGCTCTCAGTTTCCATAGAGCGTTTGTCACGCGAATCTTCACCTAGCCTTGCCAAAAATTTTCTAAACTGATGAGGTTAGCAAAACTTAGCTTTGAGCTGAAAGATCTGCATCACTCTCCATGCTGATCAGTACCAAGATTGCGACTGATTCTCCTAGTACCTTGTTGTTGTAGAAATTCCAATCTTCCTTGCATCCCGACGGGACCGAAGGTATGGTAGGCGTGACTGTGGCATTGATGCTACTGTTATGTCGCTGGCAAATGAAGGCATTTGGATAGCCACAGTTAATGTCATTCCAAAACCCTGGCAAAGAAAAAAATAGTTCGATTTACATGTTTATGTTTAAAAGCATTATTTTTAAAAATATATTTGTATTCTACAAAAATTCTCAAAAATTATTTAGACTGTAATCAAACTTTATTTTTACATGTGACTAGAGGTATCCATGCAATATCCTTTTGTTCTTTTACTTAAAGTAATAATAGCTCTACTTTACAGAGAGCATTCTAGGAAACAAGCATGGTCTTGATATTGAAGATGTATTATCTAAATGCTAATAGCTAATATTAATAATCTAACAATAGCTAAGCTTTGCATACACCAAGCATCTGCATAGTATTTTCGATGTGTGATTTCATTTTACCTTCTTAATAATCTACAGATTCTGTCATTATTCCCATTTTGCAGAATAATAAAGAGCTACAGAGAAATAAAGGAGATAGGTGAACAAATTCCGGATTATTTTTTTCAAATTAGAACGTGAAAAAATGGTTTCTAATTTGGGAGGAATTGAGGAGATTAATTATGTCATTTACTAATGTAAATATGAAGCCTCCATTCTTCTTATAAATTGAACTGTTATGCTGCTAAAATTAGAATTATCCTTTATTCTATCTTTTTATCTTGCCTAAAGGAAGCACGTACCTTTAGTCTAGGGATGTGGCAAATGACACCACACCACAAAGCAAACTCAAGATGCAATACTTGCCTACCTGAATTTGAATACATGGTCACACAGTTTTCATCCTCGTTTGCAAAATTGGGTTCACCTGTGGCCCAAGACACATAATCCACTTTGCTTCCATCCATCCAACTGGAAAAGAAAATTCAGGCATTTTGCAATGATCCAATCATTAGAATAATTGGATACAGTCCAGGTGCAGGTGGCTCACGCCTGTAATCTCAGCACTTTGGGAGGCCAAGGTGAACAGATCACCTGAGCCCAGTAGTTCGAGACTAGCCTGTCCAACATGGTGAAACCCCTTCTGTACTAAAAATGCAAAACAAAAAAAAAATTAGCCTGGTGTGGTGGTGGACTCCTGTAATTCTGGCTACTGGAGAGGCGGAGGCTGGAAAATCACTTGAACCAGGAGGCAGAGGCTTCAGCGAGCAAGATCGTGCCATTACATTCCATCCTGGCCAACAAAAGTGAAACTCCAGAAAGAGAAAGAGAGAGAGAGAGAGAGGAGAGAGAGAGAGAGGAGACAGAGAGGAGAGAGAGAGAGAGAGAGAGAATAATTGTCTACAGCCTACTGGTGGGACAGGACAAGTCAACCTAGAAGAGAGAGACAGTGGCAGGAAAACCCCCAATGCCTGAATGTTCATTGTGTCCCATGCATCATGCTTCTCGGTAGCAACCCTGATGCCATGGCCAGGCTATCCTTTCTTCCCTCCCAGGAAGAAACCACCTTTAGTAGCAAAGTGGAGACTTCAATTACTCTGGAAGTAAGCCAGAGACAAAAATCCTCCCATGATACTCCCGGGCATGATTTCCACAAAACCAAACCACTCATGGAGAGACAGAGTGTATAGAATTTCTCATTAGGCTCATTATCTGATTCTCATATTTACTCTAGTTCCTTGTAATGTAGGTGGGCTAAATTTATGTCTATAAATTACAGAAATTCAGAGACTGTGAGAACCAGAAGGGGACTGACCATGAGATCATCAAATTTGACCTTTTCACTTTTGAAATGATAAAATGATGTTCCTTGTCCAAAGGAACATCCAACATTTTAGCTGTTATAAAATAACGACTAGGTGGGGTATGGTGGTGCTTGACTATGGTCCCAGCTACTCGGGAGGCTGAAGTGAAAGCATTGCTTGAACCCAGGCTTTCGAGGCTGCAGTGAGCTGTGATCACCCCACTGTACTCCAGCCTTGGCAATAGAGCGAGACCTGTCTCAAAAACGAAGAAGAAGAGGAGAAAGAAGAAGAAGGAGGAGGAGAAGGAAGAAGAAGGAGGAGGAGAAGGAAGAGGAGGAGGAGGAGGAGGAGGAGGAGGAGGAGGAGGAGGAGGAGGGGAGGAGGAAGAGAAGGGGAGGAGGAAGAGGAGGAGGGGAGGAGGAAGAGGAGGAGGGGAGGAGGTGGAGGGGAGGAGGAAGGAGGAGGAGGAGGAAGAGGAGGAGGGGAGGAAGAGGAGGAGGGGAGAAGGAGGAGGAGGGGAGGAGGAAGAAGACGGGAGGAGGAGGAGGAGGAGGGGAGGAGGAAGAGAAGGGGAGGAGGAGGGGAGGAGGTGGAGGGGAGGAGGAAGAGGACAGGAGGAGGAAGAGGAGGAGGGGAGGAGGTGGAGGGGAGGAGGAAGGAGGAGGAGGAAGAGGAGGAGGGGAGAAGGAGGAGGGGAGGAGGAAGAAGACGGGAGGAGGAAGAGGAGGAGGGGAGGAGGAGGAGGATGGGGAGGAGGGGGGATGAGGAGGAGGAGGAAGAGGAGGAAGAAGAAAAGAAGGAGGAAGAGGAGGAAGAAGAAAAGAAGGAGGAAGAGGAGGAGGGGATCTTGAATTTAGGTCTCTGTTGCTCAAAGATGGCAACAGCAGTCCCCTGGACACACGAGGCTAAAAAATCTGTACACGAGCCATGAAGACAGAGCTCATCTTCGAACTCTAGAGAATATGAGTATTCATGTACAAGGGAAAAAAAAACCTAAAATGCATAAATTTCCTCATGTCCCTACAGCTTTTTCTAGCTCCTATATTTAATAGAAAACGGTACAATCATTCTTTTTTTTGCTTTGTTTTTTGTTTTGTTTTGTTTTGTTTTTGAGACAGAGCTTTGCTCTTGTTACCCAGGCTGGAGTGCAATGGCGCGATCTCGGCTCACCACAACCTCCGCCTCTTGGGTTCAGGCAATTCTCCTGCCTCAGCCTCCTGAGTAGCTGGGATTACAGGCATGCACCACCATGCCCAGCTAATTTTTTGTATTTTTAGTAGAGACGGGGTTTCACCATGTTGACCAGGATGGTCTCGATCTCTTGACCTCGTGATCCACCCGCCTCGGCCTCCCAAAGTGCTGGGATTACAGGCTTGAGCCACCGCGCCCGGCCCACAATCATTCTTTTAAGGGAAAAGTATTGTCCAGGCACGGTGGTATAATCGTAGCACTTTGGGAGTCCAAGGCGGGCGGATCATGAGGTCAGGAGATTGAGAACATCCTGGCCAACACAGCGAAACCCTGTCTCTACGAAAATACAAAAAATTAGCTGGGTGTGGTGGCGCATGCTTGTAGGTCTAGCTACGTGGGAGGCTGAGGCAGGAGAAGGACTTGAACCCAGGAGGCAGAGGTTGCAGTGAGCCAAGATCGTGTCGCTGCACTCCAGCCAGGTGACAGAACAAGACTTCGTCTCAAAAATAAATAAATAAAAAGGGAAAATATTTCATGCAATTGAAAGTGTGCTTCAAAATAGTGCTGCTAACACAGGAACTGGGATTAGGAAAGGATAGGTTCCCGGCAGCAAGGTTAGCAAGGTTAGCATCCCAGATGAGACTGTAAATTTTTAAACGAATTCAGCATTTGTATATGTCTAAAACAACAATGCTTTAGTAAATGATTTACTGACAGAGGACATCTGAAAACAAAGAAAAATGTAGTTTTGCAAAACCGAATCCAATTTTGAGTTGTTTGGAATTTACGGTGCTGAAAATATTTAACAGAATTACTTTAAATTATTTGTCTTAAGTTTTTTTTTTCGACTGAGAATGCTGTAGGATCTTTAAAAATGCATCCCACGAGGCGAAAATCTCAAAGTAACTCATAGGTATTTGTCAGAATGCTACCCCAAGCAAAACTGCTTTTAGCTTGATTTACTCACGCAAACGTTTTATCCAAGCTGATCAATAAACCAATAAAATATGTGGACTGTGCATCATTTCTGTTTACCTGAAACATGGAAGTTTACATATAGTTTAACTTCAAATCACACAATCGGCAAGTTCTTAAACAAAACGTACATATTAATGAGGCAGCCTAATCGAAACCTTTTCTGGAAAGGAATTTATGCAGAAATATAGTGCATTCTACATTATGTTCTACCTAGAAATAAAAAAGTAAAAATATGAACACATTTCAATAATTTGAATTTGTAAAGCAGGAGTCTTTTCTTTGATGCATAATCTTATAATCCTGACTGGCTACTTTGTTTTAAAGAATGTCTTCAATAATGTAACTATTGTAGGCATTTAATATTATAGAGAATGATTTAAGGTATTTGCCTTACAAATTCGAGTTATTAAATTGTGTACAAATTTTTCTTACTTATATAAGAATAATCATATACATGATTTATGCTACATCATTATAAATATATATCATTATAATAATAAATATATATCATTATAAATATATGATATATGTAAAATAAATCGATATGTCAAATATATATATTAAAAATAATAACTCTGTGGGACATGGTGGTGCACACCTATAGTCCCAGCTACTCAGGAGGCTGAGGTGAAAAGATTGATATGTATAATATAATATACATTATGCATATATTAATATATTGTATATACATTTATGTATTTATTTTATATATATTATTCAAATATTTATTTTATATATTTTTATGTATAGATTACATATCTATTATAATTTATATCTGTGTATGAGCCAGAAGGATATATCTGTTCTTCAAACTTGGGAGAACATGTATATTCATGAACAAGGAAAGGAACCCCAAAATGTACTAATTTCATTATAATGTACTATTTCACTATATAGATATAGATATATTTGATTTTGATATATATAGGTGCAATATTAGAAAACATCTTGAGAATTTCAAAGCAAGTTATATCCGCAAGACGATGTTAAGTCAGAGTACACTCTAGTACCTTTATAAATCAAATGAATTTTTAGTCTTCCAGGATTGTTGGACTTATTTTTTCCTGAACTCTCTGTTAACCTCCTCTGTGGCAGTGTGGCCATGAAGAATTTTAATCAGAAAGATACTGAGCAAAGCGCTCTGAGAAAAAATATATTATACCTTCAGTGATAGGTGAATCAATGGTATCGCAATTTTGTCACAACCGAGAAAGATGACTATAATAAATAATCGAACTGTGTTATATGTTGGCCAACAATTTGGGCCAAGTAAGCCAGATTTTTAAATTAAAAATTAAGCTGTATGATACACCAAGGGTCCAGGACTGACATATAACAATGAGTTAAGAATTTCAATCTTTGCAAATCAGATTAGTGAACTCAAAGCCATCAAGTATGGATCGTCACAAAATTCAAGCTAAAAAATGGTTCTGGGGCTGGGCACAGTGGCTCAAACCTGTAATCTCAGTAATTTGGGAGGCCGAGGCAGGTGGATCACTTGAGGTCAGGAGTTGGAGATGAACCTGGCCAACATGGTGAAACCCCGTTCCTACTAAAAACAAAATATTAGCTGGGCGTGGTGGCGGGCACCTGTAATCCCAGCTACTTGGAAGGCTGAGGCAGGAGAACTGCTTAAACCTGGGAGGCGGAGGTTGCAGTGAGCAGCAGTCACACCACTGCACTCCAGCCTGGGTGACAGAGTGAGACTCATCTCATTCATATTAAATGATATTGCCCATTCAATATCACAATGACTAGGCAAAAACTGGAAGCATTCCCTTTGAAAATTGGCACAAGATAAGGATGCCCTCTCTCACCACTCCTATTCAACATAGTATTGGAAGTCTAGCCAGCGCAATCAGGCAAGAAAAAGAAATAAAGGGTATTCAGTTAGTAAAAGAGGAAGTCAAATTGTCCCTATTTGCAGACGATATTATTGTATGTTTAGAAGACAATCATGTCGTGTCAGCCCAAAATCTCTTAAGCTGATAAACTTCAGCAAAGTCTCAGGATACAAAATCAATGTGCAAAAATCACAAGCATTCCTATGCACCAATAACAGATAGAGAGCCAAATCATGAGCAAACTCCCATTCACAATTGCCACAAAGAGAATAAAATACCTAGGAATACTACTAACAAGGGATGTGAAGGACCTCTTCAAGGAGAACTACAAACCACTGCTCAAGGAAATAAGAGAGGACACAAACAGATGGAAAAGCATGGATAGGAAGAATCAATATTGTGAAAATGGCCACACTGCCCAAAGTAATTTATAGATTCAATGCTATATAATAATAATAATAATAATAATAATAAAGAATATACATGAAGAAGGCTGGGCACAGTGGCTCATGCCTGTAATCCCAGCACTTTGGGAGGCCAAGGTGGGTGGATCATCTGAGGTCAGAACTTCAAGACCAGCTTTGCCAACATGGTGAAACTCTATCTCTACTAAATATACTGAAGTTAGCCAGGCGTGGTGGCATGCACCTGTAGTCCCAGATACTTTGGAGGCTGAGGCAAGAGAATTGCTTGAACCTGGGAGTCAGAGGTTGCAGTGAGCCGAGATCACACCACTGTATTCCAGCTTGGGCAGCAGAGCAAGACTCCTTCTCAAAAAAACCAAAAAATCAAAAAAGGATATTCTCGAAGTCTTAATCCAGCTACCAACAGGCAATGTCCCAGAAGACTGTAACCTTATAGGGACTTGTGCACTAGGGAATAAATTGTTTGTTGAAACTGAGGGGGAAAAAAGTAACTAATTTTTGGTACTGCCTCAACAATAAAAGACTGAGTTCTGCAATTGTGCACTAAATATTTAAACAATAGAGGGTAACTTCTGTTACAGTCTCCTCGTCCTCCTGCATTCCCATCTTTACCTTGACCTCTGGAGGTGCAAATTCAGCACATAATTAGAAATTGTGCTATGGGGTAGCAATTATAGACACTATGTTTATCATATGTCACTGTTTCAACCTTAAATCAATGATGTTCTATGAAAAAATGCTCAACATCACTAATTATCAGAGAAACACAAATCAAAATCACAATGTGACACCATCTCACTCCTGCAAGAATGACCATAATTAAAATATCAAAAAATTAGATGTTGGCATGGATGTGGTAAAAAGGGAAAACTTTCACACTGCTGGTGGGAATGGAAACTAGTACAACCACTATGGAAAACAATATGAAGATTCCTCAAAGTAGACATATCATTTGATCCAGCAATCCCACTACTGAGTATCTACCCAAAGGCAAAGAAGTCATTATATGAAAAAGACATTTGCACACACAGGTTTACAATATTGTACAATTTGCAATTGCAAAAACATGGAACCAGTCTAAATGTTCATCAGCCAATGAGGAGATAAAGAAAATGTGGTATTGACATACCACGGAATACTACTCAGCCATAAAAAGGAATGAAATAATGACATTCACAGCAACCTGAATGGAGTCAGAGGCCATTATTCTAAGTGACGTAACTCAGGAATGGAAAACCAAACATCATATGTTCTCACTCATAATTGGAAGCTAAGCTATGAGGATGCAAAGGCATAAGAATGATACAGTGGACTTCGGGGACTCGGGGACAGGTAAGAGGGGGTGAGGGATAAAGACCTATACATTCAGTACAGTGTACACTGCTGGGGTGATGGTGGTAACAAATCTCACAAATCACCACTAACAAACTTTTCCATACAACCAAACACTACCTGTTCCCCAAAAACTATTAAAATTTTTTTAAAAGATTACTGATGTTCTTACATATTTCCACAGAAACTTCTTTTCACTTTCACTCTGAATAGAAACAAGATCACCAAAATTCCTCTTGCAAAATGCTCGCGCATTGTCCATGGTTTCCTTTTCTTTGCTGAAATAATACTGGTGGTCTTTGTAAATAACCCACCCATCTTCAGTGACTGGTGGATCTGAAAAGTTAATGACAAAAAGCAAAGAGTTTTCCTTAGACAAATTCAAGCATCTGGTGTGTATAGCACACAAAAGGGAAAGGGATAGAGTAGCTACATCAAGAGGTATCTGCAACTCTGACAGACCAGAATAGCAGAATGTCTACATCAAATACAGACATTTGAACCCTCAGGTCAGGTATCCAGTGTATATCAATTCAGTAAAAATGACCTATTTTGTATTCCCAGCTAAGTTCCATATGTCATTATTGGGTAAAAGAACTCCCAGTGTCACTTTCATCAATACAATAGCATAGCTTGGAGGATTTATATACAATGCACCTAAAATGCTCTAGATCAAAGGAGTGGGAACCATGAGAAAGTGGCTTTTACCCCAGTATACGAAGAAGAGAAAAACTTCTAATAGATGAACTTGGGTGATTCAGGGTAGAAGAAAGGGATTCATGTATCAAGTGGGTGCCTGAAGCTTTTTGCAACCCACAGGATTCCATAATTCTGTGCTACAGTAGGCTGAACAAAAGCCCCCCAAAGATATCTAGTTCCTAATCCCTGGAACCTATGAATGTTAGCTTATGTGGAAAATGGGACTGCATAGGCATAATTAAGTTAGAATCTTGAGATGGGAGAGTTATCTTGGATTGATTAGGTGGGCCTAAATGTAACAACAAGTACCTGTATGGAGTGGGATGGAGGGAGATTTGACTACAAGAGAAGGAGGCAATGTGATCACTGGAACAAGATGCTACATTGCTGGTTTTGGAGGAAGGAGCCATGGGCTGGTGGTTCATATAATGCAGCTCTAGATGCTGGTAAAGGCAAGAAAAGAGATTCTCCTTTTCAGCCCCTACAGGGGGTATGGTCCTGCCAACATCTGGATTTTGGCATGGTGAACCTGATTTCAGATTTCTAACTTCCAGAACTGTAAGAGAGTAACTGTGTGTTATTTTAAGTCACCCAGTTCCTGGTAATTGGTTACAGCAACCACTGGACACTAATATATGTGCTAAAGATGGAGGAACCCAGGACCTTGGAACTGATTCATGAACCCTTGATAAACTGTATTAGCACACCTTATGTTTGTGCATATGAGCTTCTCTCCGAAGAGGAAGACCCAAACTTCCATGATATTCTCACTCAAAGGTATTAAGGACTTCTGCTCTACCTTCCCAGGGCAAGTAACTTTTTCACTGAGAAAGGAGAGAGACAGGGAAAGGGTTATCAGTATAGAGATCAGGAAATAAAACACCTACTGTCTTGAGGAGCTGGCGTTGGCTCAGGTTTTGGCGTTTGTCCTATAAAACAAGAGAAAAGTAGAAATACCGTGTGCTGAAACTTCTGCTCATTACATTTCCTTCCATTTTCTCTATTTTCACTCTTTTCATTAGTCAATATTGTTAAAATCTCGGTTATTCTCTTTTTTCCCCTTCCCTTTCTTTCTCCAATTTGTACATCATGCCACGGAGAGGAGAATGAAGAAAAAGAGAATTAGAAGTCAAGAATTAAACAAACTAGGTACAATAATGGCCACCAGATACCAAAACACAGTTTGCAGGCACAAGTAGCATCATATAAAGGGAAAAAAAGGAACACAAGTTTTGGAATCAGAGGCCTGGCTTTAAATCCCAAGCCTGGGTTTAAATCATTTAGCCTGAATTTTGTTGACTGAACAAAATAGATTGTGAAAATATGTGAGCTATTGGTATGTAATAGGTGCTTAAGAGATGTTAGTTTTCTAGTCATACATCTTATAATTAGCTGTGAAATTATTTATGATTTCATGATTTGAAACGATTAAATGTGAAATATTGATAAAATAGAAAACTTATTTTCTTTAAGCAAATCTGTTTTTCTTAAATGCATGGTTTACTAAAAGTTAAATGAAATGTTTTGCTTTCCAGGTGGTTAATGATATATCTGGATTGTGTTAGAAGCTCATAAAGGGACTCAGGTTACTTAGCTTTTGGGTTGATGAACTTAACATCTGTAAGAGTAGAGCTACAATAATGCAAAAAGGATACTAGCCGTTGGTAGCTAAGAGACCTTTAAAGGACAACTGGCCACCACTGACTTCTTCTATTCTGGAATCTTTGAAAGCAATACTCTAAGCAGGAGGATGGAAAAGAAACAGAGCAGTAAGGCATCTCCAGCCGTGGAGTTGCAATGGTTGCCAAGATTCTCTATCAGCAGGGGGCAACGCAGTCCCATTTATCCATTTACAACAGAGGTGTTGATGTATATTTTGGTTAGAAGGTACGGTTGTTTATTTGCTCATTGGTTTGTTGTTTTCTCTTAATGTTAGAACTCGGATCTTCTGTCTTGACTTGGATATGCAGAACTTTCTGAGTCCCAGATAATGACTGCCAGCATGCATATTGTTTGACCATCAATAACATGGTGGGGCTAATAGCATCAGAGGTCACTCCAGGGTGATTGTTCACTGTGTTGAACACTTATCCGAGAAATCAATACTTAGAATGTTCAGACTTGGGGAAACGTTCACCTATTTGATGATTAACACAGGTCAGAAGGTGAAAATTCCAAAACGGAAATTGCATTTGCATTATTCTGTTTACAGCGTAGGATACCCACAGACTTCCGCTGCTATTGAACCTGGGCCAGGATCAGAGCTGCTCGTGGGAACTATTTGGGAGAACGTGACTCTTGCCCAGAATTCCCGGGTGGCCTTTTGATCTTCTGCGTTCCTTTGGCACATATCTGTGCTTACCGACTTCATCCTTATCCTGTGCAGTGATGGCCCTTGACAGTTCCCTGATTATGTTATTTTGTTTGTTTGCTTCTGCTAATAAAGGAAAGATACTGGGGTGTCAGGAGGTTCGTCTGCCAAGCTGATATAAAGGAGAAAATAGGTGATCGTACCTCTGTGTATCTGGCAAATCCAGTTGTTAAGGTGTTCACAGTTAATATCATTCCAAGTCATACCAGGTTCACCTTTCAGCTCACCACAGTATTCAACATTTTGATAATTATTAGGTTCTCCAAAAGCCCAGTTTTCATATGAAACCTGTATTAGAAAAACCAGACTAGCACAGTTAACCATTTATGTCAGGCCAATGACAATCATTTCATCCAAATAGAAAAGGAAAGATGTTCACACTTATTTTTTTCACAATAACTTTGCCTTTTTTTTTTTTTTTGGAGATGGAATTTCACTGTTGTCACCCAGGCTAAAGTACAGTAGTGTGATCTTGGCTCACTGCAACCTCTGCCTCCTTGGTTCAAGCGATTCTCCTGCCTCAGCCTATCAAGTAGCTGGGATTATAGGCACCCACCACCATGCCCAGCTAATTTTCATATTTTTGGCAGAGACGGAGTTTCACCATGTTGGCCAGGCTGGTCTTGAACTCCTGACCTCAGGTCATATACCCACCTCGGCCTCCCAAAGTGCCGGGATTATAGGTGTGAGCCACTATACCCAGCCAATAGCTTTGCTTTGAAAGCACAGTTTGCAAACATGTGTAGAAAAGAAACAGCTTTCATTACATGGAAACCTGAGATGTTGAATAGAGTACCTAATGATTATTATAAAATTTTCTTTACTCTTATAAATAGAATGGATCCAAGGACCACAAAGGGAGGGTTTACATATAGAAAAACTTGGCAACAAAGTTCCACTTCTCCATGTTGGGAGTTCCTAAATTTACAACCCACAGGAAAGAATAATATTTCAGTGCATTGTTGGAAGTTTCCTCTTTATTAAATGTGTAAGATAAAGAAATATAATTAATTCTTCTTGCAGAAGAAAAAGACTCATAAAATAGTGCTTACAGAACTACTAAACTTTGCCAAATTGAACAGTAGAAACAGAGGCCCTGCATTTAGGTCCTCTATGGAGTTTTCAGTGTGGAATCATAACCCACAGGGTTTTGGTCTAAGCACAGAGAAATGTTTTCCTGAGATTTAAATATAAAATCCAAATGTCAATGAAGTCATCAAATAAAGCCTTGAAAAGTTGCTGGTGGAAGAAACACTGAAATTAAGAGGTAGAACTGAAATTGTCCAAAATCACTTCTTGTGATGACTAGGGCTTCTAGATGTTGCCAGCATGTGCTAGAATCTCTAGCTTCTTCATTCCGGGGAATGAGGAAGTCTGAGGAAGCCTAATCATTGTTAATGAGAATATAAAAAATGTTTCCATTTCTCCTGATCAGTAAGAGGCTATAAAGCACTCAAGTTTTAGGAAGTTTACCTGCACATCAATTTTGCACGGCCAAATAAACATAGTATTTTTTTATAAACTAGTGGAATGAGTTTTCATTTTCTTTCTTTTCTTTTATCCGGTCAATCATCACTATTCTTTGAATGAACAGAACTGAACTGTATCAGGGCAGGATAGTGGCTATCATAACGGCCTGTCTTACTAAAAGTTTGGATTAAATAAAAAGATAACACAAAAATAAATACATGATAAAGTAAGAAAGTAATATAGTAAGGCAAATTACTCACAGGAGAACCATCACTCCAAGTAAAGCCTTCTGAAGGGCTTCCGTATGTCAATCCCAACCAAAACAGTTCATGGTAGCTCCCACTAGCTCTGTGAAATCCAAAACATAAGGAAAGCATACATTGTTACATGAAACAAGTTCAGTAACTTATGAGGGCTAACCACATTTGAAAGTTACCTCCAAAACCTAAATTAGTAGTACCCAAGTAAAGAGATTTAACAGCTAAAGAGAAGACTTATACGATAGATACAAGTTTTGGCAATATATTCCAAGACACCTATGATACCTCAACTTGCTAGACTATAAGATTTTACTTTCTTAAATAAATTTACTATCAACTGAATTTCACCAGTAATTCTCACACCTTGATATTTATAAAGGTGGTCTATATATTTCCAAACAAACCTTAGCCCAAGTACCTCTAAAACCAACTAATTTCTAGTCAAGCACATAATGATTTGTTGAACATCGACCTGGAAATTCTCTCTGCAGAAGCCCCTTTTCACTTCTCAGCTCTGGATAAAACTACTGATTCTCTCAAAAAACTGCAATAAACCTCCACAAATAACTTAAAAACAGGCCACTGCTTGAGAGTAAATAGTTGGATAGCATTGAAAGACAAATATGTATTGAGCATCTTGTACTTTTATAAAGCAAGTCATCGCAGAATTTACACTTATAAAATCAAAGGATTTGAAAGTGAAACCAGATCAAACAGGGCTCACAGATTTGGGAGATGATACAGGTGCCCAAACTAGCATCCTGAGCCAACAATTTTGGAAACAGACAAATTTTCTCAACTTCATAAGCACCAACTAGATAACCAAAAGGCGTAGTCCATAAAAACGACACTTACGTTATTAACCGCCATATTGTTTGCTGTTCCTCTTTGCTACTGATGCTAGCTAGGTCTCCACCCAGAGCTCGACAAAAATCTCGAGATTCAAACCACGTTTTCTTCTCATGTTTTCCTTTTGCAAATAGCTGAAGATGACATGGTTACAAAAATTATTTTATACTTTGTAGTTTCTCAAATTAAGAGAAACTATTATTTACTTTTGATAACAGTTCATTTACAGAAAAGCAAGACATTTCAATGACCCAAAACAATGTAATTCTTTTGCTTTAAAATCAATTTATGAGTGAATATTTGGGTGATATAACCTGGGGGATTATTTTGTTGAGAAAATTTTAGAAAATAAAATTATTTTATGACACAAGAGACATTAGATGAAAGTCTTAGGAGCTTTAGGCACATGGGTTAGGTACACAGCTCTTTCTGGAAGACAGTATTAACTTGGTTAAGTGTAAAAAGTGGCATTGAGATGGGAAAAAATGAAAGAAGCTTTTGATACAGAGAAAGTAAACATGAATAAGAAGAATTGTAAGGAAAGTAACTTTCTTAAAATTGTGCATAGCGTGTTACTGTGTTTAGCTTAAACAATGAATAACGTAGCAATGTTTCAACATTTTCTTGGTAATGTCCTTCAGTACTGCCTTATATTTTTCATATGGCTGTACATTTTAACAACTATTAAAGCACATGCAACCACAGACACCCATCTGGCAGGGAGTTATGAGCTAAATTTAAATTTAAAAGATTATATAATATAGGAATTGTGCCATATTATTCAGAGGACTGCAGAGAGAACAGTGAAATGCAGTCAACCCGTGACCATCTGGGACACACTCACCAGTATGGAAATAGTAAAAGAGGTATTTGTGGCCACTGACTTTTCTAATTCCCATGCATTACCCCTCATGAGTCATGGCCCCCATATCACAGGCTTGTGGGAAGAAGAATTTGCTTCCAACATCCATGGTTGCCCAAGTTGTCATTACGTAGCCGAAGACAACCTTCACCTTGACCCTAATTTGACTCAAGCTATCTGGACAAAGGCGTTTAAGTAAGTATCCACACATCAGTATATTCTAAGACACCTATGATACCTCAACTTGCTAGACTATAAGATTTTACTTTCTTAAATAAATTTACTATCAACTGAATTTCACTAATAATTCTCACACCTTGATATTTATAAAGGTGGTCTACATATTTCCAAACAAACCTTAGCCCAAGTACCTCTAAAACCACCTAATTTCTAGTCAAACACATAATGATTTGTTGAACATAGACCTGGAAATTCTCTCTGCAGAAGCCCCTTTTCACTTCTCAGCTCTGGATAAAACTACTGATTCTCTCAAAAAACTGCAATAAACCTCCACAGCTTAACATCCTCAGATGAAGGCTAGGAATAGGTGAATCTGGCCTTCATGGAGTAACTCAAAAGTTTCCAGAGGTAACAATAAAATACCTGATTTTCTTTGTGTCAGTCCTTAAATAATCCATTTACAAATCTCCTCTGTCTTAACCCAATACATCATCTTCTAGTAAATTATGTTACTAAGTCTGACGGCCAATCTGGATTGAAGATTTCACAGCTTCCTATATCTATTAGTGGGAGTGACCAGCTCAACTAACCACACTCCTCTTGTGTTAGAAAAGACTCCACAGCCTCATCCTGTTGCAAATTCTTCATGAGCCTTGCCAAACTGTCTTACAGGGCATGCCATGACCATACACCATTCAAAGGGATTGGATGGAAGAAGCCCAGAGAGAAGGACTAGTGGAGAACAGTATCACTAAGCAGTAGGCAGGTGATATAGTTTGACTCTGTGTCCCCACCCAAATCTCATCTCAAATTGTAATCCCCACATGTCAGGGAAGGGCCTGTGACCCCCATATTGAGGGAGGGAAGTGACTGGGTTATGAAGGCAGCTTCCCTCATGCTGTCCTTGTGAATGATTTCTCACAAGACCTGACGGTTTCATAAGTGGTAGCTTCTCCGAGGCTCTCAAATGCTCTTCTCTCCTCCACCCTTGTAAAGAAGGTGCCTGCTTCCCCATCTGCCTTAATTGTAAGTTTCCTGAGGCTTCCCCAACCATGTGGAACTGTGAGTCAATTAACTCTTTCTTTTTAAAATTGCCCAGTCCTGGGTAGTATCTTTATAGCAGTGCGAGAATGGACTAATACGGTAGGTACATTTCTGTATTTGGCTAAGTCTAACCTTCTCTAGAAAGGGTGTGACTTACAAAAGACAGAGAGAAAAAGACCCCAATCCTTAATTCACTGTGGTTTTTGTTTGTTAGTTTCTGGGTTTCTTCCTTGTTTTGTTTTGTGAATTTGATTGCATAAGGAGAAAATGGATGGCCCAACCTATGAATGTGTTAAATAGTGGTAGAATATCGAATTGTCATTTAATGGGCACTGAAAAGCCAAGTGCCCCAACCAATCATTTCTTTCCTTAATCCATCATTAAAATCATCAGGGTTTAAATCAGAAAAAGGGAGTATTCTCTTTGGAATACCTATGTGGCATGATTGTAGATTACTTTATCAATTTTGTTAGCTAAAACTTGGGCTCTAAGAGCATGGCAAAAAAAAAAAAAAACGACTTGCAATAGAATAGCATGACAGGAAACAGAAATTTCTCTCAAGACAAAAAGAGGCTGGGTGCAGTGACTCATGTCTATAATCCCAGAGCTTTGGGAGGTCTGTATGGGAGGATCAGTTGATGCCAGGAGCTTAAGCCTAGCCTGGGCAACATAGTAAGACCCCATCTTTACATAAGATTTAAAAACTTAGCTGGGCATGGTGGTTCATACTTGTAGCTACTTGGGAGGCTTAGGTGGGAGGATCACTTGAGCCCAGAACTTTGAGGCTGTAGTGAGCCAGGACTGTGGCACTTTACCCAGCCTAGATGACAGAGCAAGACCCCAGAAGAGAAAGAGAAGGGGAGAGAGATAGAGGGAAGGAGGGAGGAAGGGAGAGAAGGAAGGAGGAAGGGAGGTCTAGAAAGCCTGGGAGACAGGAGGGAAGCAGAGAGGTAATAGTGGCAGAGCGGTGAGAAAAAAATCTTCTGTGAGTTGTGTTTGTGGGTCTAAATGCATCCACCCAAGAAAGTCTTCTAAAACAACTGATGCCCAGGTCAATCAAACCAGAATTTCTAAATGTCTACAGGTGGAGGCTGGGCAGAGCGTTTTGGTTTTTGTTTGTTTGTTTATGTCCTTCGGTGATTCTTTAGACGAAGTATACTCCAAATTCTCTTATCAGCTTCATAATTGATACTCACCTTGAAGCACAAGCTCGTCCTACTGCTGGTGCCCCAATCCTCCGGACATCTGGGTTCGGGAGTTGTTGTGGGCTCCGGTGGGCGGGTTACTCCTTCTGCCCAATGCTTACACACAAATTTTGCCTTTTCATCACATTTCAAAACATCCCATAAGCCCCCTGCAATCCCGGTTCTCATGGCAACACACCCTGGCTTTCGCCCTGTAATAAATACATAAAGGAGAATACACTCAACAGGTACCTGCTGAAGGCCTGCTGTGCTCACAGAAGGCACTCAGAACTGAGCATCACAGATGTGGTGAAGCCTGCAGGTGGATGATGCAGCTGGAGATGCAGCTGGCCGTGTCGGGCATTCAGCAACTGGTCTGTGCTATTTTTCAATCAGTTTGATTTTTATTTGTGTGGTCTATAATTCCAACCTAATTATGATCTCAAATGTAGGAGGGGTTGTAACATTCTATATTTCTAACATCTGACAAAGTGCCCCACACACAGGCATTTAACAATAGGATATTTTTATATTATCACATTCACCATAATGGCAAATACAGTAATTTAATGTTTCTCTCTCTCCTTTCCTCCTTTTGTTCCTTCCTCCCTCCTTTTTTTCCCCCCCTCCTTCCTTCCTTCTTCCCTTCCACCCCTTTCTGGTTTTCTTCCTTCTTTCTGTTTTAATTCTTTTTTTTTTTTTTTTTTTTTTTTTTGAGATGGAGTTTCGCTCTTGTTACCCAGGCTGGAGTGCGATGGCGCGACCTCGGCTCACCGCAACCTCCGCCTCCTGGGTTCAGGCAATTCTCCTGCCTCAGCCTCCTGAGTAGCTGGGATTACAGGCACGTGCCACCATGCCAAGCTAATTTTTTGTATTTTTAGTAGAGACGGGGTTTCACCATGTTGACCAGGATGGTCTCGATCTCTTAACCTCATGATCCGCCCGCCTCGGCCTCCCGAAATGCTGGGATTACAGGCGTGAGCCACCGCGCCCGGCCTGTTTTAATTCTTTAAGATTCTTTTTCTTCCACTAAGATCCACATAGGTTTTCCAGGACCAAAGTTTCTCACAGATTTCAAAATGAGACACGCCTCAACTAGAGATTTTAGGTAAGTTACTCAAACACTCCGAACTTGCTTTCTCCTCTTCAAATGCAAACACTAAGACCTGCCTCATAGAGTTATAAGGAATGCCAGCTTTAATAAGCAAAAAAGTACATAAAACAAAATGAGGATGCACTGAGCTTAAGAGCTTATAATTCTATCTTAGAGTCAAGGTTATTTCCAAATAGCAATTAACTAAGAGCTCTGAAAGCATCAGGAGTCCTTGCTGCTATGATGTGGTTATTTTTTTATTATTAAACTTCTAAAGAACATGAAGTGCTTACAAATCATTCATGAAGGCCAGGCACGGTGGCTCACACCTATAATCCCAGTACTTTGGGAGGCTGAGGTGGGCAGATCACAAAATCAGGAGTTCGAGACCAGCCTGATCAACAAGGCAAAACCCAGTCCCTACTAAAAATACAAAAAATATTAGCCAAGTGTGGTGGCGTGCACCAGTAATCCCAGCTACTCAGGAGACTGAGGCAGGAGAATCACCTGAACCCAGAAGGCAGAGGTTGTAGTGAACCAAGATCACACCACTGCACTTCAGCCTGCTGGACAGAATGAGATGAAAGAAAGAAAGAGACAGAAAGGGGGATAGAGAGAGAGAGAGAGAGAGAGGGAGAAGGAAGGAAGGAAGGAAGGAAGGAAGGAAGGAAGGAAGGAAGGAAGGAAGGAAGGAAGGAGAGAAAGAAGAAAGGGGAAAGAAGAAAGAAAGAGAAAGAAAAGAAAAGAAAAAGAAAGAAAAGAAAAGAAAAAGAAAGTAAGTAAGTAAGTTCTGGGAAGGTACACATTTTTTAGAATATTTTCTCCGAAATCTCTGATTTCCTGACACCTTAAAGGTTTTCTCTGATTCTTGATTGTCTCCTTCTCTTTGCAGCATGGAGTTAAAACCTGGTACCTGTCGGGCAGGTGACTAGAGACTGTGGCATCCCCTAAACCTTCAGAATCTGTTAGTTGACCTGATGCTCAGACTCAGGCTTCAGGATCCTTGCCCACTCTTCCTGAAGCTGTAAAAACTCAGCCAAAGAGTCCAGCCTTAATTTCTATTTTTTTTTTTTTTTTGAGACAGAGTCTTGCTCTGTTGCCCAGGCTGAAGTGCAGTGGGGTGATCTCGGCTCACTGCAACCTCCGCCTCCAGGATTCAGAAATACTCCTGCCTTGGTCTCCTGAGTAGCTGGGATTACAGGCTACTGCCACCACGCCTGGCTAACTTTTGCATTTTTAGTAGAGACAGGGTTTCACCATCTTGGCCAGGCTGGTCTTGAACTCCTGACCTCGTGATCCACCCGCCTTGACCTCCCAAAGTGCTGGGATTACAGGCGTGAGCCACTGCACCCACCCGAGGCCAGCCTTCCTGAAGAGGCACCACCATCCTTCCCTCAAGGATATACCATGACAATGGTTGCAACTGAGTTCTGTTCCAGTTCCTTCCATTGTTATTTCCTGAGGACATTCCAGGGCTAACTCCTCAGAATCCTGCTGCTGGATGACACCACAGGCAAAGTTAAGCAGTTTCACTTACAGAGTAAGACTTATCACTCCTGCCGATATGTTTTTTCAAAGTATGTACTCAGCTGTTAATATACCATCCGGTTATTTTTTAAATCAACTGAAATCTTACCATGTTTCAGAAAGTTCAACAATCCCACAAACAAGAATCACACTATTTAGGTTATTGATCCATTTTCCTTATTGAAAGCTGAGAATGCAAATTATAGAACACTGAAGATTAGGATATATTAGGTCAGGTACTCAATTGATATATTCAAGCTATTATTTCTTTTTTAGCTTTTCACCCAAGCACAATGTAATGTTTGCTATAAACGATGTTGAAATTCCTCTGTGTTGTCATATTAAATAATGTTGTGTGCTGGTGATATTCATGTATAAAAAGTCAAAGAATCTTTCAGAGATGATTTCAGAAATAACTTACATCTTACTAGGGAAGGTAAATAAAAAATATATAGAGAGGCAGGGTGGTGTGAGTCTAAGTAGCACGGACTTGAGGGTGACACAGATTAGTCTAAATCCGTGCCTGAAAGCTTTCTACTCACATAAACTTCCTGAGTCTCAGTTTCTAGTTCCTCTCTTCTGCTCTTGTTGCCCAGGCTTGAGTGCAGTGACACAAGCTCAGCTCACTGCAGCCTCCACCTCCCAGGTTCAAGCGATTCTCCTGCCTCAGCCTCCCAAGCAGCTGGGATTACAGGTGCACAACTGTGCTCAGCTAATTATCGTATTTTATGTAGAGATGGAGTTTCACCATGTGAGCCAGGCAGGTCTCAAACTCCTGACCTCAGGTGATCTGCCTGCCTCCTTCTCCCAAAGAGTTGGGATTACAAGCATGAGCCACCATGCCCTGCCTCCCCTTCTTTTAAATGAAGATATGGAAGCTTACCTGGCATTTATGAGGGGTTTTTTATGAGGACAAAATAAAAATCCAAGGCACATGAAAGATGAAACACAGTAGCACGTGGAAGATACTGATATAATGAGTTCTGCATGAACAATGTCCTTTGCTCCACCACCCAATCACTCTAATATTTCAACACCCAGTGGCGCTGAAAAGCTTTATGTTCATTTAATATAGTTTTAGGTTTTCAGAAATAAATCAACCAGGCCAGGTGCGGTGGCTCACTCCTGTAATCCCAGCACTTTGGGAGGCCGAGGCGGGTGGATCACGAGGTCAAGAGATCGAGACCATCCTGGTCAACATGGTGAAACCCCCTCTCTACCAAAAACAAAAAATTAGCTGGGCATGGTGGCACATGCCTGTAATCCCAGCTACTCAGGAGGCTGAGGCAGGAGAATTGCCTGAACCCAGGAGCGGAGGTTGCGGTGAGCCGAGATCACGCCATTGCACTCCAGCCTGGGTAACAACAGAGAAACTCCGTCTCAAAAAGAAAAAAATTAACCAGGTGTGGTGGCACATGCCTGTGGTCCTAGCTACTCGGGAGGCTGAGGCACGAGAATTGCTTGAACCTGGGAGGCTGAGGTTGCAGTAAGCCAAGATGGTGCCACTGCACTCCAGCCTGGGCAACCAAGTGAGACTCTGTCTCAAAAGAAAAAGAAATAAGTCAACCATGTGAAACATTTGTGACCACTGAGAATTGCATGAATAGGGTTTAAGTAGACCAGTACCAGATAACCTAACAAGATTAACCTAGCAATTTTTTTCTTCCTTGTTCTTTAGAGTACTGTAAACTTATTGGGAAATTTTTTTAAAATAAAGGAAGAAAGGGAAAAACAAAAAGAGAATGAAACATAAACTGTTACTAAAAGCAAGATTAATCTTCCTAGTCTATTTGGAGAGGTAGCCAGAGGAATAACAGACTTAGTCCAATGGATTCATAGGGTGAGGCACTGCCCATACCTGGCATATCTGAATTCCAGTGGGTGAACTGAACTTCCTCCTCAATGGTCCACTGAAAAGTCCCTTTGGTTTGTATATCTGAAAGTCCTGTCCAGAAATATTTTTCAGGCCTTAATCCAATGAAACTCGTCAAGAAGGCTTGTTCATATCTTTAAAAAGAAGAATTAACATTCAATTAAGTTTTTGAAACATTTATGCCAATTTTCAAAATTAGCAACATGAAAAGTATCTCAGTTCTATGTCTGAGATATAATTGAATTGGTAATTCAAATATATCGTGTTATATTTGTATGTCATCTAAATTATACACATTTTCACCAAGGAAACATGAGCTCATGATGAAAAAATACCATACAGCTGAGTATACAAAATCATTCAGAGATATTCAAAACATCTTCCTCTAGCCCTCACCGGTAATGTCAGAGAATTTTAAGAATACAAAGAAGAAAACTACTAAATTTTAAAATACAGTGTTTAAACAAAAAAAATCAGTCCATTCTTCAAATAGTTCTACGCAATTCTTAATTAAGCAAGTTCAAGGTTAATAACATTATCAAGGATAATACTCATAGAATAATCTACATGGATTTCCCCCCTCAATTTTATTCTCTCATATTTTAGCTCTAAAATAAAAGAGAAAATTATCAAGAAATACAGAGAAGCAGAGACTTAATCTCCAGAATGAATGAGAAGCAGAATCATGAATTCCAACACTTTCTCTCCCTTTGGATTCTGGGTCTGTGTATTTGGCATTAATCTGGGAACAATAAAATACAGTTGACAAGGCACCCAAAATGTGTCTAAAATGACATACATAAAACAATGTCAGCGGCAAAATAGGCAAAAATCTGTCTTTTAAGAAAAAGAAAAATGGGTGTCTAAAGTTTCCAGGAACAGAGAGAATAGTAGATGACCTCAGAGAGAGCAAGAAGAGAACATAGAGAAACCTAACAGCAACAGAACATTTTATTTGACCATAGTCTCAATAATTTCATTCCCTAAACAAAACAAACCAAAAAAATTCAAAGTTCCAAACTTGACTTAGTTTTCTTAAATGTCTTGAAACCATATTTAACAAGAGTTAATGAACTCCTGAGTAAACATTACAGAAGATAAAGAAAAATAAATGTAAAATATAATGAAATCATGTACATAATACTCCAATAAACCAAAAAATCGATTATAGTGCAGACCAGAATATGCTCTCATGGTACTTAAAGGTAAACAACTCACCTCCCTCACAAAAGATAAAAAGTACCTACATTCTGAGTTTCAGATGTTAGCATTATATCAGGGTGCTACTACCATATATTAGATATTTAATTATACATGTAAGTTGCATGTGGATAGAAATAAAGTTCTTTTATAAAGACTATGAAATATTATGACAACTCTCATTTTTATCCAAAGATTTTTTGATATCAACAGTATCCCCTTCATTTTATTAGGTCTGCCTCAAAAGTTCAGTAAATGTAACTTTACTATACTAAAACTCCATAATTTTTTTACTTCTTTACTGCAAGTGAAACAGACACTTTTCAATATTTGTAAACTTTTTTCTGTGGCTAATCCAGGGCTTTGCATAGAGTAGGTGAAGAGTAAATAAATAAATCTTAAAAATAGAGGGGACCCCAGAGATAAAAAAAAAAAAAAAACAAAAAACAACGTAAGTTCCTCTATGCCCATGTGATTTTCCTGATCTATGAGTCTGTTAACCTAACAAAGCAAAGCAAAGCAAAGAATGGAAGAATGGAATGAATGAATGATTTTGTAAACTTCTGCCTTCTTTTTTGGTGGAGAGAGTGATAAAGATAATGTGATTTTGAGCTGGCAACTTTTAGTTACTTTCCTGCTTTAAAAAATTCAGCATGTAATGGATCAGAAAAAAGCCCTATAAACTACATTGACTAGATTATTACTTGTAAACTGTTCTGAATGTTGCTTTATATTACTAAATGTAGCAAAAACAGTTTCTAATGTTTGCAATAAAGAATCCAGGCCGGGCGCGGTGGCTCAAGCCTGTAATCCCAGCACTTTGGGAGGCCAAGGCGGGTGGATCACGAGGTCAAGAGATCGAGACCATCCTGGTCAACATGGTGAAACCCCGTCTCTACTAAAAATACAAAAAAATTAGCTGGGCAGGGTGGTGCGTGCCTGTAATCCCAGCTACTCAGGAGGCTGAGGGAGGAGAATTGCCTGAACCCAGGAGACGGAGGTTGTGGTGAGCCGAGATCGCACCATTGCAATCCAGCCTGGGTAATAAGAGCGAAACTCCCTCTCAAAAAAAAAAAAAAAAGAATCCAGGTAAGAATATTATTGTTAATGCTTCTACCTTTACAAAGCATACCTCAAGCATCACACATAATTTACTCAGAAATGTAGAGCATGTTGATACATGGGCTTTTCTGAAACTTTTTCTATTTTACATATTTTTAAATGAAATTAAAATAGTCACATACCTGTCTTCAACAGTTGTTAAGTAAGCTTTCTCATTATTGCAAGTTTGGTTTGCTTCTGCAAATGTTGAAAGTGTATGTCCAATCAAATAGCAGTAAAAGTGATGTCTTTTCCAGCCCTATTAATGTCATCAAGCAAAGAAAAAATGAGTGGAGTTCATGCGTATATATTATAAATTATTATTATTATCATAATTATTATTTGAGACAGAGTGTTGCTCTTGTCGCCCAGGCTAGAGTGCAATGGTGCAATCTTGGCTCACCGCAACCTCCACCTCCCAGTTTCAAGAAATTCTGTCTCAGCCTCCAGAGTAGCTGGGATTACAGGCACATGCCACCACACCCAGCTAAATATTTTTGTCTTTTCAGTAGAGATGGGTTTTCACCATGTTGGCCAGGCAGGTCTCAAACTCCTAACCTCAAGTGATCTGCCTGCCTTGGCCTCCCAAAGTGCTGGGATTACAGGCGTGAGGCACTGCGCTCAGCCTTAGAAAATATTATTTTAATACTTTTTCTATCATAAAACTATTGGATAAACAATAGGAATGTCTAAAGAACACAACTCTGAAGAAACTGAAATGCAATGAAAATTATATACATAAATGAATAAAAGAAACAGGTGTACATCATTCATCTTATGACAAATTATGCTACATAATTGGGGGCAGTCATTCTGTCCACTTTAATGTATCCTGCAACAGAAACTATTTGTGAAATGTTCACTGAGGAAACTGACAGAATGGCTAAGATACCAGTTTTAGAGTAGGTGAGCGCAGGAAAGAATCTGGGGAAGAGCAAGACTAGTTGCCTGTGGAACTCAATACTAGAAGATGGGTGTAAAGCTACATCACTTGGTCATAGGAGAGCACTTTTCAAACTTCAGGCAGCGTGAGTTGGCATGGTTCCTCCTTCTCCCATACTCCGAATACACAAAAATGGCCAGGCATGGTGGCATGTCCCACGCTGGACTCCCAAATCCCAGCACTTTGGGAGTCCAGCGTGGGAGGATGGCTTGAGGCCAGGAGTTCAAGACCAGCTTGGGCAACAGAGTGAGTCCCTGTCTTTACAGAAAATTTTATAAAATTAGCTAGGCATGATAGCATGTGCCTACAGTCCCAGCTACTCAGGAGGCTGAGGCAGGAGGATTGATTAAGTCAAGGAGGTCGACGCTACCGTGAGCCATGATCACACCACTGCACTCGAGCCTGGGTGACAGAGTGAAAACCTCTCAGGAAAAAAAATACACAGAAATGCTAAATAAAAACCTAACAGTAAATGATAAGTCCATACTAGAGTTTGAGAGGAAGAAGGGGGAAATCTCCAGGTACCCAAATTTAGTATAGTACTAAAAGCTACATGGAAAATGCACAAACTAAATTTTTATTGTCCAAGGACATATCAGATCCTAGATTAAGGTCCTAGGCGCAGTGGTGTTACTGTTCATACAGAATGATATTTTGCCTTTGTCCCACTTGAGGCAGGGTGTTGGAACTGAGGTCCTGATATAAAAAGGACACCACTAATCCCTGTAAGCCCTTGGTTAAAGGAGAACTAGAACATTCTGCCCACAGAACCAAGAAATGACGATGTCTTATCATCTACCTGGGGTTCTGAGTACCAGGAAAAATAATTCCTGAGTTCGAAAACAAATACCAAGTTTGTGCTGCAGATGAGTGACGGTTCCAAGTTTACACTATCTACATTGGATGAGAATCCACAGCAAAAAAATTGATCATACTTAATCTATAAAAGGGGAATCTCTTAAGCACTCCAAGAAGTAGAATGCAAAACCAAACATCAGAAATATGCTGCCCACCAACCAGGTCAAGAGACACTGTGACCTTTGGGGAGAAGGATGGGGATGGAGAGGTCACTAATTCACAATCAAAAACTACAAACCTGCCAGGCACAGTGGCTCCCACCTGTAATCCCAGCACTTTGGAAGGCTGAGGTGGGTGGATCACTTGAGGTCAGGAGTTCGAGACCAGCCTGACCAACATGGTGAAATCCTGTCTCTACTGAAAAGGCAATAATTAGCTGAGTGTGATGGTGCATGCCTGTAGTCCCAGCTACCTGGGAGTCTGAGACAGGAGAATTCCCTGAATCCATGTGGTAGAAGCTGCAGTGAGCTGAGATCGTGCCACAGCACTCCAGCCTGAGCAACAGAGCAAGGCTCTGTCCCAAAACAACAACAAACCATATAAGAAAATATCCCATTTTAAGGAAGAGTCAACAACTGAACATAATAAAACACTCTGAAAGTTCTCAAAAAAAAAAAAACAGCACAGTTGAGATGATTTCATAATGGAAGAATAAATCCAATAACAAAAGATCTAAAATGTATGCACAAAAAACAGGAGGATATGAACCAAAGGATGGAAAGTCTATTAAAAAACATAGCAATGAAGTTAAAAACTCAATGATCAGATTAAATACAGTAACCAGGGTTTCATAGAAAATTAGTAAATTGGATGAAAAGATAAAAAGATAGCAAGATAGAAAACATAGTGTAGGGAGAGATGAAAAGAGCATGTTAATGGAAAACATAGACAATAGAATGAGAAGGTTGAACAACCACCTATGATAAGTTTCAGAAGTTTCAGAAGCAGTGAATAAAACTAACGATGGGTCAGTTTCAAGAACTGAAAGATGGCTGTGAAACCTCAAAATAAAGAATCACACTTTTGAGGCCCAGCAAGATGTCTCACACCTACATCCCAGCGCTTTGAGAGGCCGAGGTGGGTGGATCATGAGGTCAGGAGTTTGAGACCAGCCTGGCCAATATGGTGAATACCCAGCCTGGACAAAAGAGGGAGACTCCATCTCTAAAAAAAAAAAAAAAGAAAAAGAATCACACAGAGCAGCAAAGGCAGCAAATAAAATAACTCCAAATCTAGACACATGTAGTAGACCCGCAGAATGCTAAAGACAAGGAGAAGATATTAAAATCAATCAGAGAGAACTTATATCTACTTCAAAACAGAAGAAGAATTGGTGTGATAGCAGGAATTCCAGTAGCAAATATAAGAGCCAGGAGAAAGTATAATAAAATAATATGTAAATCGCTGTCAGGAAACAACTGTCAATCTAGAATTCTAAACTGACCTAGTTAAACTATTATTCAGGGTGAGGATAAATTTAAGATATTCTCAGACAATTTGGTGGCTAATCAATGGTTTCATTTCTATCTTTTTTTGTAAACATTTTAAAACACATTTATTTAAATGTCATATTTATAAATTTTCCCCATACAAGGATCCTGGTGGTGTGTCTTCTAATTTGGGGTTTCAGATTCACCTGTGGGGTTCCCACAGCTTGAATGATGAAACTTCTTTATGATGAGGATTTACATTTCTATATGTCAGGCACCCTGGAATATTAGCAACTCATGACCACTTTAGGTTGATTTCGTGGTTTAGAGTTTCCCACACTAATAGCACTGAATTGAAAATTAAATCCCAGGTCTGTGCAACAACAAGCCTGGGATTCTGAATTCTTAGAAAGATCCCTTGCACCACTACATGCCCAGGCCCAGATAAAAAGTGTCTTATTACCTTCCTTTTTTATGAGTGGATTTTTTTCTTCCCTAGTCTTCCCAGCTCGGTTAGGAAGCCACTGCCCTGAGCAGGTGTTTTTAAAGTGGTCAAATTTCTTAAAGTCTTTGCGTTTCAGTTTCCTCATCATTTTAATCAGGACTATAATATTCACCCTGTAAATCTATTAGAATGTAATAATTGTACTTGATAAAGGACTGTTATTGTTTTATTTTTATTATCCTAGTGATCAAACAGGATTATTGTCAAGACTGTAGATGTGCAGAAAGTAGAAAAAAATAAAACAGATGGATTAAAAGTAATAAAAATTTAAGGTTCGTTATTTTAGAAAATTACAGTAATATACACTCCCTTGTATAAGCGTATGACCAGGCAAAGGATATGTTCATACGCTGGAAATGAAACAAAGGATAGTGGTCCAGGGACAGGAGACCTGGGTTCTTTTTTTTTTTTTTTTTTTTTTTTGAGACAGAGTCTTGTTTTGTTGCCAGGCGCCAGACTGGAGTGCAATGGCGCGATCTCCACTCACTGCAACCTCCGCCTCCCAGGTTCAAGCAATTCTCCCGCCTCAGCCTCCCAAGCAGCTGGGACTACAGACACGTGCCACCACGCCCAGCTAATTTTTCATATTTTAGTAGAGACAGGGTTTCACTATGTTGGCCAGGATGGTCTTGATCTCTTGACCTTGTGATCCGCCCGCCTCAGCCTCCCAAAGTGCTGGGATTACAGGCGTGAGCCACCGTGCCCGGTGGAGACCTGGGATGTAGCCTTGCCTCTGTTGACTATCAGAAAACTACATAGCTTCTCTGAGCTGAAGTTTCCAGAATGCAAAACTTAGAAGAGGAACTGTGAAATCGCCAAGATCCTCCGTGTCTGTTCCATGCTATGATTTTCTGTTATCTGCTCTATTTTTTATGGCTTACTTATGTGGTACCAAACTATCAGCTTTCTGGTATATGTTGTAAGATTATGTGACCACAAAATAATACTCTTGAAAGAAAATTACTTTCTACTTCATTTTTATTCAAAGAAAATGAGAAAGGACAAAAGAAGAAGACACAAGCAAACAGGAAAATGATAACCATAAACCCTGTGTTTTCATAGTTTCTGTGTGCCTTAAAAAGCTATTTCACAGGGGCCACTGAGTTGCCGTGGGTACCAGTTGGAGGCTGGATTTCCTACCTCCTCACTGCAGTGACCTACTGAGAAGAAGCCTCTCCAGGAGACACCTCATCAGAAATATTATAAATGGGAAAAAATGACTAAGAATCATTTGCTATCAGCAACTTGGGGATATCTGCTAGAAACGTTCTTAGCAGCCCATGGCATGACAGACTAGACTATGGATGACACCTTCTCCCAGGGCCTGCCTTCAGCTTAGCCAGGCTCCCTCTGATGGGCCATTTTTAGTTCCTGTTCTCTCTCTTCCACTTCCCATGACATTCTGAAAGGAGCCACCGGCCATATGTACCTCCCTATTAACTATGGAGAATCCCCAAAGAAAACTTCAAGGAGAACAGTGAGATCAAACACTAACAATACACCACTGAAGACCGAGACAGTGGAAACAGTTGGCTACAGCAATAACAAGGCACTTTCACGCTTAAAAATAAAGCCCACGGTGTCAGCTCATCTGTGCCGAGCTTGAGTCACGGTGGACCTGCTGTACTCACTTTCTTGCAGCCTGTTTCCACTTCCACTATTTCTGGACCTTGACTTCGTGATCTCATCTTGCAGATGTAGCCAAGAGGCCACTCACAGGCCCGATCTGCCCAGTACCCATCCTGCAGCGAGCAAAGAGGAAAAAAAAATAAAGAATTATCATTTGGGGACTTTTTTTTTTGGAGATGGAGTCTAACTCTGTTGCCCAGGCTGGAGTGCAGTGGAGCCATCTCGGTCCATGGCAATATCCGCCTCCCAAGTTCAAGTGATTCTCCTGCCTCAGCCTCCCGAGTAGCTGGGATTACAGGCACCTGCCACCATGCCAGCTAATTTTTTGTATTTTTAGTAGAGATGGGGTTTCACCATGTTGGCCAGGCTGGTCTGGAACTCCTGACCTCAGGTGATCTGCCCACCTGGGCCTCCCAAAGTGCTGGGATTACAGGCATGAGCCACTGTGCCCAGCCAATTTTGGACTTTGATGTTATTTTCTTGTAACTGTGCCTCAGAAAAAGATAATTGAGACCCAAGATTATCAAGAGAAAATGTCATCTACCAAAAGGAAAGGTAAATTGACATGTTCGCACGTAAACAGTCATTTTGACTCCGGCTACAAACACACAAAAAGAGACTGGCGCCCCAATATGATTTTATATCTGAGATGTCCAAGCCACTGTTTAGAGGAATCCAAGGAGAAATTTAAAATATCTGTAAGTCTTTAGACAATGGTGCTCACAAGAGGTTTGCATGCAGCCTTTCATCAATCTTTGCATTCAGCTCTGCCTTCAAATTAATCAAGTTCATATAAAACCTCCAGAAAAATCTCCTGCACTCAACACACCAAACTTGAAAACAAACATGAAGCCACAGTCATCTTTCCTCCCTTCGTCCTGTTTCTGCTGATGAGTGTTCTCCTGGATCTGAGGCTCAGCCTTCCGCTGAGTTTCAGATTCCATCCCCTCCCATTTCCTTTGAGATTTTATTTAACAGGACTTCTCTCCTTCCCTCCGCTGCTAACCGTCTCAAAAAAATGTTTTCCATATTGCCTGTCTTTAACTCCTCAACTCCTACTTGGTCTCAGCCCACTGCAATCTACTTAAGCTTTCAGTCTGAGTAATATTTATAGATTGCCACTTTGGTCTTGCCCCTCTGAGGCAGGTTCATGTTTCTTGAACCTCAGTTTCTACGCATTCTTCCGCCTCTAAGTTTGTCAGCCGCTTGACCTTTCACCTCTTCTAAATATGCTGCTTTCTGGTTTCTTCTGTCTATTCCTTGGATAGTTAACACCTAGTATGTTCTCAAACTCCATCACAATAAAAACAACCACAATGACAAAAATAATAGCCACAGTGACAAAAATAAACAATCATAATGACAAAAATTATAGAACAATGAATATGGGCTGGGGAATTGTGTACCATATATGCATTATCTAATACTTGTATCCTGGGCCTGGCACAGCGGCTCATGCCTGTAATCTCAACAGTTTGGGAGGCTGAGGCAGATGGATCTTTTGAGCTTAAGAGTTCAAGACTAGCCTGGGCAACATGGCAAAACCCCATCTCTCCCAAAAACACAAAAAATTAGACAGGTGTTGTGGCGCACACCTATAGTCACAGCTACTTGGGAGGCCTGAACCCAGGAGGTCAAGACTGCAATGAGCTGAGATTGTGCCACTGTACTCCAGCCTGCATGACAGAGCAAGACTCTGTCTTAAAAAACAACCAAAAAAAGACATCTCATAAACACAGGTGAGCCAAGTACAGTTCTTATTCCCATTTTGCAAATAAGAGTCAGTCACACAGCAAAACCCAGCCTCTTAATCACTGTGTTTGTCATCTATTAATAAAGGATAAACTTGATGACATTTTTCAATTACTAAGGTCATATTTAAATCATAGAAGCAAGCATTTCATATGATATTTCCATGTAAACTGAAAAAAAAGGAATGTAGCTCCCCAAGTACAGATTTCAGGCCTAAGCCAGAGTAGTTCTAAGCAGGTCTGCAGCTACGTAAAGCAACCAGTTGAAGGCAGAACTGAAGTTCTCATTTGACCAATCAAGACACATATATATGTATATGTGTGTGTATATCTATATCTATCTATCTAGATATGGCACATATATATGGGGCTACAATCTCTTTTTACATATATATATATACACACACATATATATCTCTGTTTGCATATATGTAATCATATATGGCTTATAATCACTTTTGACATATATACATAATCATATATATATGGCTTGATAGATCAAATAAGAGCTTTGGGGTGTGTGTGTGTGTGTGTTTGTGTGTGTGTATACACATACCATTATATATATGGCACTATATATTGTTCCTATGGCACTATATATATATGGAACATTTTATATATATATATATATAAATATATATAAATACAGCACTCTAGATCTATAGCATCCTAACTAACGTGTTTTCTGCTAAATCATTTGCAAGCTTTCCTGGCTATTATCAGTGCCATGATAAATTTAAGTTAACATTTTATATACATATATATAGTGCCATAGCAACAATATGAATATTAGTTATTGGCCAATTTCATCCTTGAACCAAAAGTTTCTGTCCAGTGCCTCAGTGATCCTCTTGAAAATTTCACTTTCCCAGACAATTGAGAGATATTCAAGAAATCAGATCTGAATTTTGGTTCACCTTTGATCCATGCCAATTCATGTAGAACAAAAACAATCTAAACAAACATATGTAAGTGAGTGGGACAGAAGGAAAAATCCCCCATGGCTTGCATTACAAATACCAGTAATTCAAGTGCCTTTACCTTGCCTTTCATCACCACACAATCCTCCTGTCTGTTGTTTTCATGGCTTGGTTCTCCACGAAGCCATTTGGTAAATGTTACAGGGGTCCCATCACTCCACTCAAAGTACATTTGAATCTTAATGTCATTTAAGCCAATCCACAGTTCATCATTTGGCTCTAAACAGGAAGAAACACACGGTAGTGTATGCAAGGGTTGCTTTCCAAAGGTCAGGCAGGTATCAGGAACGGAAGGCACTCTGCTTTATCAACAGGGCTCTACTTCCCTTGACATGATTACCATCATGAAAGATAGTCCTCGTGAGTGTTCACCTGACCTGTATGCTGTACACTTAGATGCCAACTACATTTTATCTTGTTAGTTTTCAGCTGTGTAATCTACTCTTTACGTTGTGAATATGACTGCATTCTTTTGTGGAAATATTACACATTTTATCTCTTGGGAGTTACAAAAATAAAATTGAGATAGGTCTGTTACTATGCTCTATCTTACAAAGCTGCCTTTACTGTTACAAATAATTCACCATGCCACCTGCATCATATTACTGGAAATATGGTAGCCTATTTATAGACATCTAACAGTGATTAAATTGAATATTTTTAAATGACAAAAATTTTAAACTGCTTCTATTTTACTGGTGTCATCAAGAACATTCTAGGTGCTTCCATTAAAGATCAGTCACTGTACTGGGAGTGAAAATGATCTACATAGTTAAAGAATTACAAATTATAACCAAGAGGTTAGACTTGCTCCTGACATTTGGTACCTGTGTATAATCATTTTCACCATGAAATGTCATGAAATTCCAGCAAAACTTCAATAACAAATGAGGTTAAAACCAAAACAATCAATATAGATTTAAAATGTGATTGGGCCGGGCGCGGTGGCTCACACCTGTAATCCCAGCACTTTGGAAGGCCGAGGCGGGTGGATCACGAGGTCTAGAGATTGAGACCATCCTGGTCAACAAGATGAAACCCCATCTCTACTAAAAATACAAAAAATTAGCTGGGCACGGTGGCGCATGCCTGTAATCCCAGCTACTCAGGAGGCTGAGGCAGGAGAATTGCCTGAACCCAGGAGGTGGAAGTTGCGGTGAGCCGAGATCGCGCCATTGCACTCCAGCCTGGGTAACAAGAGCGAAACTCCGTCTCAAAAAAAAAAAAATGTGATCATTCTGTTCTGAAATTCTATAAAGAGCATTATTGATTTTTTATAAGTATTTGTCATGCTAAAAATCCTAAATCCAAATATCACAACAAAAATGGGACAAAGTTAAAGTCATTGAAGGTTTAAGATGTCATGGCTGAAAAATAAACTTGTCTTAATAAAAAAGAGTTAAAGAATATAGATCAATATCTATCTAATTCACATGACTGGGAGTTCCATCACGAATGCTTGACGTATGATTATTTAGGGGTAAAATAAAATTAGTTGCCAAAGGATTGTGAAGATCCTTTGTGTAGAAAATGAGGGAAATGTCACAACATGTAAGAATCTCCCTAAGTGGTTTAGTCTCTTCCTCCTGAAAGTTGTCATCCAACTTTGCTTTTGGAGAAGTCTCTGGCTGGCCTGATGCCAGCCCCAGCAGATGTTTCCAGTGCCTTGGAGAATGAATGACATTGCCAAGATGATCCTCTTCTCCTTTCACTTGATTTGCAGATTGTGATCTTTTGACCAATAAATACAGGCTTCACAGTGACCTCATGTACCCCTCAAAGACTTCAAGTGAAAAGCAAAGAAAAACTAACCTAAGTCCCACAATTATAAGATAGTGTTAAGAGTTTTCTGTATACATGTTTCTCACTAAACTGTTCTCCCCACAGCTTCTTCAATTCCTAAGCACAATCTTGATCATTGAAAAAAAATAGAACATGTGAGTGTAAAGTTGTTATGCTAATTTTCATCAATCAGTTGGGGAAGTTGTGTTCATTTGTATAATCATAACTTATGAGTATAGGTCTCAATGTATCCACCTGAAACATATTTCCATGATTAATATAAAAGATATCATCTCAATGCAATAGTTAGATAGTTGAGTTGATATCTAACTATCTAAATATCTAAAAGGATATTTTAGGCTTTTGTTTAGCAGCAATAATTTTAACTTTACAGCTTTACTTTGATTAATATTATTTTATTGTTTAAAATAAATCCTTGTCAATAACTTTTAATGGAAGGTTTTCTAATTTATTTATTAATTCTCAAGCTGAATTTCAAAGCAACTTTGGCCATCCAATTTCCCAAAATAATCATAGCAATTAAAATGTCAGTTTTTTTCTATGACTATATTATGTTATAGGAAGTAGAGTTAAATGTCATCAGCACTCTAGTTCTAAAGCATCCTAACTAACCTGTTTTCTGCTAAATCATTTGCAAGCTTTACTGGCTATTATCAGTGCCATGATAAATTTAAGTAACTGCTAGTCAGACATATCAGTTCTGATTCCATTATCTTCTAGAGTGAATTTTCCAGGATAGGTAGACACAGAATAACCAAGAAGTTGTTCATAGGCTGCAGCTGGGCTATTCTCATGGCCTAAGACACTCAATGGGGTCAACACAGGAGGATGGGTACCATTTGGCAGGTGCCAGGAGTAGGAGTGGTTTGGGGTCTTTTAAGTCTTTCTCTGCTACTGCTCTCTCTTTTGTCATCTATTTGTTAGTCACTTTTTCCTCCCCTCCCCCAGCTCCCATGAGTTTCCAGGCACTATGTGTCAGGAAGCTGTCTCCACCATCTCCACCATCCATTTCCTCTTGTTTTGCTGGGGGAAATGAAAAGCAGCTGCAGCTATTCAGCAGCCTCATCAGTGGAAGATGAAAATGATCATCATTTAATCAACAAGCACTGCTGGGTGCCCATTATCAGTATGCTGTTTCTCAAACTGCTCATCTTCGGGACTCATTCCCGACTCATTTGTTTAATCTTTTTTTTTTTTTCTGGTTAGTACATTTTCTATGTATTTTTAAATTATGCACCTAAAATTAAGATATATATTTCTTTTAAAAAACTTTTTTAGTAGAGATGAGGTCTTGCTATATTCCCTGGGCTGGCCTCAAACTCCTGGGCTTAACCTATCCACCCACCTTGGCATATCAAAGTGCTGGAATTACAGGTGTGAGCCACCATAATTTGTCAAAGACATGTATTTCTTTAAAAGTTTTAGGCTGATATCTAACCACTTCAAAAAAAGAAAAAAAAATCCAGCTGGGCATGGTGGCTCACACGTGTAATCCCAGCACTTTGGGAGGCCAAGGTGGATGGATCACCTGAAGTCAGGAGTTTGAGACCAGCCTGGCCAACGTAACCTCATCTCTACTAAAATTTAAAACAATGCTGGGCATGGTGGTGGGTGCCTGTAATCCCAACTACTTGGAAGGCCGAGGCATGAGAATCTCTTGAACCCAAGAGGCAGAGGTTGCAGTGAGCCAGGATTGTGCCACTGCACCAGCCTGGGTGACAGAATGAGAATCTGTCTCATAAAAAAAAAAAAAAAAAATCCTACATTTTTCACTGTTCAGCACCCTCACAGCATCAGCTAAATTCACAAAGAAAAAAGAAATCCAAAGTGCGAGATGGTTCATTTAGAGATCTTTCTTAGGAGATAAAATATGGACCTAAAAAAACAAAATGCACACAAACACACACACACACACAAATAATTCCAAGGAATTAAACACTGTTGACAAGTTTAAGGTAGACTGCTCTGAATCCAGATAATACATGGAAAAATAGTGTTTTAAAACTATCCATAAGTGGATTGCACTTTAAAAGAAAAAGGATTATCTTTCAGTGACAAGAATTCTTTCAATTATTTTACAATTTTCACATTGTGGGCATTTTTAGCATTTGTTATTACATTCATCCATTGTTCATTGAATTATTAATTTACATTTATTAAATTTGATGTTTATAATAAAGTTTTCCAGAGTTTGGTAGAGAGGAGCACTCCCAGGATTAAAGCCAAGCATATGATCACCGTAAGGTTTCTCACCATATCCTAGCTGGGAGATAATAAAGTCAAATTCCTCGATGGTGTGAATGCTTGCTAGGTCACCGCCCTCCTTCCGGCACGCGGTCAGGGCGTCTCTCTGGATTTTCTTCTCCTCTCTGTGAATCTTGTAACAGTAACCTGCATATGGCCACCACTGACTAGGACAGTTAGTTGGCACATCACTTTCTAGAAATAAAAAAGGGGAGTAGAAAAAATTTTTTGAAGACTTGATTCAACTTTGACAATATTTTAATCATTTTACATAATACATGAAACAGTTTGTAGTTATTAGGCAAATAAAGACAATATTTACTTTTTATTTTTGTGGCATATATATTCACAAAAGATAGACTAGCCATATTCCATTGTGTTGGTTTTTAGACAAATTAAAAAAAAAAAAACCTATCTTTTGGTCAAACGGGAAGTCACTTTATCAATTTTCTTTCTTTTTTCAAGAGACAGAGTCTCACTCTTTACCCCAGGCTGGAGTACAGTGGTGTGATCATGGCTCACTACAGCCTCAACCTCCTGGGCTCAAGCAATCCTCCTGCCTCAGCCTCCTGAGTAGCTAGGACTACGGGGCACAAGTAAATATACTTGGCTATGAGAAATCTCTTTTTAGAAAGTTGTACCAGCAGGCGCAGTGACTCACACCTGCAATCCCAGCACTTTGGGAGGCTGAGGAGAGCAGATCATGAGGTCAAGAGATCCATGCCATCCTTGCCATCACAGTGAAACCCCATTCCTACTAAAAATACAAAAAAAATAGCTGGGCACGGTGGCACACGCCTATAGCCCTAGCTACTCAGGAGGCTGAGGCAGGAGAATTACTTGAACCCGGGAGGCAGAGGTTGCAGTGAGCCGAGATCATGCCACTGCACTCCAGCCTGGGTGACAGAGCCAGACTCCGTCTCAAAAAAAAAAAAAAAAAAAAAACAGTTGTACCTACAACAACTCTATAAGATTATCTAAATCTTGTCAACAAACCTGAACTAAGCCTCTGTTATGCACTGTTTAAATGCTGGAGGCCTGAAAGCTTTGGCATATAACACATCCCCTAAAAGACTTGAATTTACTTTATTCTATGGATAGAGAGCCAATCACTCTTAAGAGGCAGATCAGTATTGAAGTAGAGAGTTGGAATGGCTGGGGGTCAGTCCCCAAGGAGCCTCAGCCACCATAGCCACATGAGCCACCAATGTTGCCTCAGAACAGACCCACTACCATTTACTCACTCCCCAAAACTGACATGTGTTCTTGTGACTAGGAGTCAGAACTCATAAAACCTGAATTTGCCGTAAGAGGTGTGATCGTAGGCAAGTCAGCTCACATGAACAGAAGCATCCATATATGTGAAAATTTAAAAATAAGATTAGTACTAACACTAAAATCAAACCACCCTGTGTTCTTCTACCTAGAATAAAGACAGTGTGCTTGTAAATTACAAACACCACACAATTATTATTTAATTAAACCAGTTGTCAACATCCTCATGATTGCTACTAATAGGATCAAATTGTATAATCTTGATTATACACTGCAAACATCTAATAGTAATGAGCTAGGGGAAAGTGATGATAAAGGGGTTTGAAGGCAGAAACTCACTTTATTCATTCCTATTGCCTTGAGCCTGGCACAGTGCCTGGCCCACACAGGTGTATTGGGTACTGGTAGAGAAAAAGAATGGAAGTTATAGCTGACATATGACTACTTGTTATTACTATTCTAGAGGTACTGTTTCCAGCAACTTGGCAACATATCTCACTTAGAGGGTAACCATATCACCAAATGGAAGTGAACTTATATATTATTTAAGCTCATATTAAGTGTTTTCAAATGGCTGCCTTTCTTTACTATTGCTTGAATGAATCAGTCCTATTTTCCCTTAAAGGTGGAGAATATCTGAAACATCATTGTTTAAGCCCAGGATTCTATGCTTATAGTCACACAAGTAACTAATCAGCCATGATGCTGAAAGGCTGGGCAACTGTAATAGAAAAATGCATATTTTAAAAAGTCTATTCCCTCAATACAATTGAGGTTCCGTGCACTTCCAGTGGTTACCAAAAAAAAAAAAGAAAAGAAAAGAAAGAAAGAAAGGTTAGTATACTAACCAAGCTTTGGAGCCCTCTGGTGGGTTATTTTAATTTTACTACGTAGGAAACTGAAAATAGTATCAGCCAATGCTGAGTGCTTCAAAAACTGAATTGATGAACTTTAAAAATATTTGAAAACATGAAAACAACCAACTCCAGTGAACTGAAGGGGAGTTCCCCGGGGCAGCCACAGAAGAGGAGTTGTTACTCTAGCCACAGCTCGTGTGTTCAGTGGCCACACGCAGTTAGTGGCTGCTAAGCCAGACAGTACAGCTCTAGAGACCTGAGGACTGTGGACGGACAGATTGATGCTGCAAGGATTCACAGAGTTTGAGGTTGAATTCCTGCCTGAGGATGTTGCCAATCCTGTACGCCGCATAATTTGATCTCAGATATGCTTTTCCAAGCTCTGCTTTATTTACATTTAGAGATAGAACAATTAATCCAGGAAGTATAGGGATGTTCAGAAATTGATGTCAAGGGCTTAGCAAGTGAAGGAGGAATCATAGAGAAATAAGAATGTACTGAGGGCTTGACGAGATGAACAAAATTTCGTCTCAAAGAAAAGTTATGAATATTTCCATTTTACAGATGGGGGTTCCCACACCAGCAGGTTAAGCAGTAAGGCCTTGTTACAGAATTCTGACTGTTGTGCCAGAGAAATGATAAAATAGATATTCTCCTCTTTCACAACATGGCAATTCCACTTCTTAAGAGAATTACATGAGCGCTTTCAAAGAGGAAAAAAATACACTATTTCTCCTAGAGGGGGAATAGAGGAGGTAAAATGCAAAAAATGATGGGCTTTCCCTGAAGATACCCACAGTCATCATGGAGAGCCTGTAAAGTATAATGAAACCCAATATCCATGACCCTCATCTATATCTAGTTAAGATCTTGGCCAAATCTATATGAATTGAAATTGCAGGCTAGATGTGGTGGTTCACGCCTGTAATCCCAGCACTCTGGGAGGCCGAGGCGGGCGGATCACGAGGTCAACAGATTGAGATCATCCTGGCCAACATGGTGAAACCCCATCTCTACTAAAGATACAAAAATTAGCTGGGCGTGGTCTCAGGTGCCTGTAGTCTCAGCTATTCAGGAGGCTGAGGCAGGAGAATCGCTTGAACCTGGGAGGCAGAAGTTGCAGCGAGCTGAGATTGCGCCACTGCACTCCAGCCTGGGCTACAGAGCAACACTCCGTCTCAAAAAAGGAAAATGCAAACACATCTACTCCCTAATCCAACAAGTTCACTTCCAGGAATTATCACATGCATGAAATGATGTGCATATAATGTATATGTTATTTACTTCAGGACTGTTTGTATTAATAAAAGATTGGGAGTAAATTAAATTAAAAATCCATTAACAGGAGACTGGTCAAAAGATATATGTGCTGTTGCTGTGGTAGGCTTTGGACATTCATAAAAATAAACATAGAAGCTATTTATATTCTATGTGGAATGATATCCAAAATTGCTATTAAGTGGAAAACGTAGGGTAAAAAGATATTATAGTATACTGCCATTTGGATGAAACAATAATTATAAATATATTTGTTTACATATTCACAGAATAACTAAGGATACATACCCAGAAACAATTATTCTTCAGCAAGGCAAACCAGGTGTTACCGGTAAGAAGGAAAACTTTTATTATTTATCATGTTGTACCTTTTGAATCTGTAGCCATGTCAAGCATATTTTAAAATAAATGAAATTGCTTTCAAAACCAATGAGACAAAAAAAAAATCAAGAATGTCACATTGTCAATTTCCTCCAGCAGAAAAACAAATAAATTAAACCATTTAAAGCATTAGTTGTCCCTCCAAAAACAGGTAACAATAAAAATAGTTTGTCTTTCATCAGTTTGAAGAAAGAACTACTTCTTTCCTTAATAGCTTAATTCTCCTATAAATTTCTTTGTAAAAGACAGCAAAATTGCTTTTTTGTTTTTTTTCCTTGAAGTCTAGCTGATACTTAAAATTCAGTTACAGGTCAGGCACAATGGCTCATGCCTGTAATCCCAGCACTTTGGGAGACTGAGGTGGGTAGATCACCTGAGGTCATGAGTTCAAGACCAGCCTGGCCAATGTGAAAAAACGTCTCTGCTAAAAATACAAAAATTAGCTGGGTGTGGTGGCACATATCTGTAATCCCAGCTACTCAGTAGGCTGAAGCAGGAGAATCTCGGAGTTTGCAGTGAGCTGAGATCGTGCCTTTGTTCTCCTGCCTGGGTGACAGAGTGAGACTCTGTCTCAAATAAATAAATAAAATTCAGTTACAACTATTTAGATATTTTATTCTATTCTGTGAAAACTTCAGTGGAAGATGCTACACTGAATAACAGGGAAGCCCAGGTAGAGCCATGAGGACCTAATATACACATCCCTTCCAAGTATTTACTTTCTAGCTTGGATTGTGGTTTTGCCATGTGTGCAGGGTTTCTGTATCCTCTGAATATCTTTTTCCTCATCTATAGCATGTGAATAATGACACCAACCTCAGAGGACTGCTTATGAAGATAAATTTTTTTTTTGTGGGGGGGGATGGAGTTTCACTCTTGTTACCCAGGTGGCGCGATCTCGGCTCACCACAACCTCCACCTCCTGGGTTCAGGCAATTCTCCTGCCTCAGCCTCCTGATTAGCTGGGATTACAGGCACGCGCCACCATGCCCAGCTAATTTTTTGTATTTCTAGTAGTGATGGGGTTTCACCATGTTCACCAGGATGCTCTCGATCTCTTGACCTCATGATCCACCCACCTTGGCCTCCCAAAGTGCTGGGATTACAGGCTTGAGCCACCGCACCCGGCCGATAAAATTTTTATTTAGGTCACAGCATCTGCACAATGCCAGACACCGCAGCACACTCAGGAAATGTTAGCAACCAGCACAAAGAAATATTGCAGTCATATCATTAAGCTTACCCTATAACTATCCATAAAACCTCTGGAGGCATTCCAACAGTTACAAAGTTGTCATGTCACTTATCTTTCAATTCTAATAGTTTAGGCCCTTCAGATCCCATAGATCACTTACCTGAGGGAATAACAAAAGAATTCAAAGTAGTGTTGCCCTTTTTGCAAATATAGCCCAGTTTCTGAACACATTCCAGATTTTCCCACTTAGCATTTTTTCCAGGATTTAGTGACACACAGCTTTTTCCAGGTTCAGCTGATGGACTTCCTTTGAGGAAAAGAAAAAGTTAAAGTAGGATGATTACAGCTATTCCCAGCAGATAGCATCCCTCCCACATATTCTCGTGTCTTCATCCTTGGGATTCAATCGACCTCCATTCTGTCTTTTGCTACACATTCAGAAAAAAAAAAATTTACCGACTGCAGGGCAAAAGACATGATGGGTGTCTATCGTTTTCTTATTGTTGGATCATTCCAATACCTAGAATGTTGATAAAGCAAATATACTTCTTTGAGATAACATTTTTCCCCATTATCAACTAATAAAGCTACACCTTAAAATCTAAACTGTTGTCACACTGGATTTCATTCAGTATCAAAGAGAGGCATCTAATGAAAAGAATACATGATTATGTGGCCCTAAAAAAACCCGAAATCCTCACATCCTTTGCAACAATATGAGTGCAACTAGAGGCCATAATCCTAAGTGAATTTACACAGATCAGCAAACTAAAGAGCCATGTTCTCACTTCTAAGTGGGAGCTAAATGTTGGGTACTCATGAACATAAATATGGCAACAACAGAAACTGGGGACTATGAGATGGGGGAGGAATTGGGGGTAACAAAGTTTGAAAAACTAACTACTGGCTACTATGCTCACTACCTGGGTGATGGGATGTATCATTTATACCCCAAACCTCAGCAGCACACAATTTACCTAGGTATGTAACAAACATATACATGTATCCCTAAATCTAAAATAAAAACAGAAATTATAAAAAACAAAGAATACATGATGTTCCAAACCAGCCATGTTAAACATTATTAGGGCTGGTGTAGTGGCTCATGCCTGTAATCTCAGCACTTTGGAAGGCCAAAGTGGGTAGATCACGAGGTCAGGAGTTCGAGACCAGCCTGGCCCACACGGTGAAACCCCATCTCTACTAAAAATATAAAAATTAGCTGGGTGAGCAAGACTCTGTCTCAAAATGAAACAAAACCTCATGTGAAATGTATCAATGCCCATATTCATCCCATTACCAACGTTGACTTTATCTGATTCTTTAATCAGTTTCCACTAAGAAATGAATAAGACCTAAGTATTCTTCAATAGGCTGAGTTGAAGGTATTGAGAGTTTCAGTTCTGGTAGCACAGCATGTCGCCCTTTTAGCTCTCCCGTTAGCTTTTTCCCCTCCATTTATTTTTATTTTTATTTTTGAGACAGAGTCTCACTCTGTCACTCAGGCTGGAGTGCAGTGGTGCAATCTTGGCTCACTGCAACCTCCGCCTCCTGGATTCACACGATTCTCCTGCCTCAACCTCCCGAGTAGCTGGAATTACAGCTGCCTGCCACTTGCCTGGCTAATTTTTTATATTTTTACTAGAGATGGGTTTAAATATTTGTTGATAGCTGTGACTAAAATAACAAGATACTGAACTAGTGGATAAGGTATCAGCACTAAAAAGAAACTTTCAAGAAACAATAATACATTTTCTAGCTATTAGTTAATTAATGTATTAATTAGTAAATCATGTTACACATCTGTTTATCAATACTACCTCTACCAACTTTGAGACATCAATTAGTGGTTTTAATGTTTGCCATAAGAATTACATACTTGAATTCATACTTGTACATCATTTATGCAAAATATCCTCACTTCAAAAGTGACTATATTTCAATAGATTAATTACTTGGTAATTATTCAATTGAATGCGTCACTGAACAATTTATATAAACCAATTTCTAATTTCCATAGGATTTCTAATTTGCAGTGGAAAAAACTTCTCATAGTATTTCACAAGGTGATTTAATCTGCACCCACTTCTTAGGAATTGAAGTTTAATTTTAAAAAGCATTACTTCGCTTTCTGAATCATATTCTACTTTCATTCTTTACTTCACTCAAAGTTAACCCACAAATTTTCTCCTTGAACTTGTAGGATGTGAGTGGTTAAATATTACAATCATCACCCCCAAATTGAACAATAAATAAAATGACCCCCTAATGTGTATAACAATTTAGTAACACAAAGAAGAATAAATTCTAGTTCCCTAATAAATTTTATTTTCTAATGATTTGATTGAGCCCAACTGGTATTCCCTAATTACATCTGACTGAATGGGGAGATAGACACCTTAAATCTCCACCCACAAAAAAAGGATATTTTATATGTATTCCCTTGCAGTAAGTTTCCCATATTCCAGAAATTTTTACTTCCCATATTCCAGAAAAAAAAAAATTGAACTGATTATTAGTTTGAGACTTGAGTGGCAGACCTGTCACCATCACATGCTGAAGTAATGCTTTGAAACTGGAATTTCATAGTAAAATCTAATACATTCAAACCAAAATATATTCTCTAAAAATTTTCTCCCATGTTTTAGCATCTATTTGAAATGTTATTTTATCAAAGTTTTTCTCTTTTAATACAACAAATTGATATAGAAAATGAAGAGTTTGCTGGGCACAGTGGCTCATGCCCGTAATCCCAGCAATCTGGGAGCCCAAGCAGGCAGATCACCTGAGCTCAGAAGTTTGAGACTAGCCTGGTCAATGTGGGGAAATGCCATCTCTACAAAAAGTACAAAAATTAGCTGGGCATGGTGGTGCATGCTTGTAATCCCAGCTACTTGGGAGGCTGAGGGATGAGAATCACTTGAGCCAGGGAGGCTGAGGTTGCAGTGAGCCAAGATGGTGCCACTACGCTTCAGCCTGGGCAAAAGAGTGAGAACTTGTAAAAAAAAAAAAAAAAAAAAAAGGAGAGTTTAATTTTTTTCTAAGCCAAATGCAAAAACCACTGAATAGCTTTAAAAAAAAAAATAAAAGGCTGACTGTTTGAAGAACACCATGTTATAATAGTATGTCCCATAGGAGAATTGATAAGTAAACATGTGGCCAATATGAAGCTTCTCTCCTTTCCACACCCATGGCAGACATCACTAATCATTAACTGCCCTCTTTCCCAAACAAAATTGGCTCTGGGGTGCGATTGAGGGGTGGGGATTAGGTTCCTACCCAACAGAAGGCCTGGAGCAGCTACTAACACCAATTGGTACTGACAAAAAAGATAAAAAACTTTGTATCATTTTTTTGGTTTGCTCTCTATGTAAACTTACTTTATATTCTGCTACTTTATGTTATGACATGTAGAAATAATTAGTTCACAGCATTTTCTAGCCTCTAAAAAAATTAGAAAACTGTTGTAAGTTTTATCATCCCCAACTCTATTTTTCTACAAACTACAAATTGTCAAGAAACTTGCTAATGAATTTTTATGCTACCATGAAATATCATAAGCTATGACTGAGACAATCATTTTAATCCAATGCTATTAAATCAAAAACAGGAAAAGGGAGTGTTAATGTAGATGGTAAAATCATTGTCACAAGGACAGCAATATTGCAAATACCTCATGACTCAAGACACAGTCAGAAGTTCTCCAACTCCAAATAATTTCAATCTGTTTGTCAAACTTTACAAAGAGATGTTGGCTCATCCTCTCAAGGGTGGTAACCAAGTCCCACAGCAAGTATACATATACTAACAATGCAGTTAGCATACTTGGTAAATCATGTTGAAGAGTAGCCACAACATCTGCTTTTGAATATATTACCCAACAAACCAGGCATACTCTGAGAACTGAGACTTTAAACAGAGACCTTTAATGATTGGTATGATAATCCTGGCAGATAAATCCCTATCCCAGGAAGCTGGTATAATCTTATAGTTTAGCACATGGAAATCTAGGTGGTAGATTTCAAAGCAAGGTGAAAAGAACTGTATTTGATGAAGTCTCCCAATTCTTCTCTTTGAAATCAACAGGTGAAATAATAAAGTTCTTCATGGCATCTCAATGACTTATATTTGGATTAATTCAACAAGCCAGATTTAACCCTACCTGGTAACCAGTTCAAATATCGGAATGGACTGCGGTCACTCCACTGCCAGCCACTATTGAAGCTCAGACTGTTAAGTCCAATCCAGAGTCCTGAGGTCAAGGAACTCGTTAATCCTATATATTAAAAAAGCAAAACAAACAAACAAAAAACTGGCATTCAGAAAACAGTTGAAATTAAATTCAGAATTAAGTGCTTGACTCAAAATGTAACTGAAGGAAGTAACAATAATCATGGCTACCATATATCTCCTTTGAGTCACCTAACAATCTAAGGCATGTAAAATTATTACCTTCATTGACAGGTGGGGAAACTGAGGCAGAGAGCACATAGGTAATGGCGTTTTTATTTTTTTCTTTTTGCTGAAATCACCAAAAACCAGAGATCTGGTAAGATTTTTAAGGTTCTAACCCAGATCTAATGAGGCTTCAAACCCCATCATCTTGACTATTATCTACTTTCTCAAGGATAGTGTAAAGGTTTCTTGTGTGAATATGACTAGATATTACCTCAATTGCATATTTCAAAACTGATTCTAAGAATTTTATGATTTTTCAAAGTCAGTTTCTCTTCTTCCTTAAAATGATTAAATAGGAATCACTAAATACTTATGTTAACACCAAGAATGCTTTGTGTAGGCAGTTAGGAAATCAAAATTACAATGTTTCACATTTGGTACTAGGACTGATATGGAAGTACTAAAACCAGGGCCGGGAGCGGTGGCTCATGCCTGTAATCCCAGCACTTTGGGAGGTCAAGAGATTGAGATCATCCTGGTCAACATGGTGAAACCCCGTCTCTACTAAAAAAAAGAAAAATACAAAAAATTGGCTGGGCATGGTGGCGCATGGCTGTAATCCCAGCTACTCAGGAGGCTGAGGCGGGAGAATTGCCTGAACCCAGGAGGCGGAGGTTGCGGTGAGCCGAGATGGCGCCATTGCACTCCAGCCTGGGTAACAAGAATGAAACTCTGTCTCAAAAAAAAAAAAAAGAAAAACCAGAAACAATGTGGACCTTAGCTCTTCAGGGGGAAACACTCTAACCTCACATCACCTCTATCTTTTTTAAAACCACAGATGAGAATTCTCTGTGCTGAGTTATTTTAATTGAATAAAAGCAATTAATTAAAATGAAAACTATCCTTTGGCTTTAAAAACTTTTTTAAAATTTGTTTTTATTTTTTAGAGATGAAATCTCACATGGTGTCCAGGTTGCTCCCAAACTCCTGGGCCCAAGTTATCCTCCCACCTCAATCTCCTGAGTAACTGGGATTACATGTCACATACCACTATCCTCAGCAACCTTAAAAAAAATATTCTTTAAAAGAATTTTCACAAATTATTTAAAGTTGTACTAACTTGAATAATTATCTCTATACTTGAAGAGATGTATTCTACAGAACATGCTCCTAAAAGTAGCATTTTTAATACTAGCTATTCCCAAAACCAATTATTCTGGGGTTTTTAAAAAACTTAGTTAAGAAAATAAATGTATTTAAGTTTTTAAAATTATAAATAATTTGCTGATTAAAGAAGAATTAAAGTAGATTTGTCTGAGATTGCTAAATTACTATGTTTGGCATGATGAGAAATGATAATGGCTCTTTAAGGGAGTTATTTATCTTTTTGACATTCTTTACCAGCTCTAAGTACTTCTAAACTTGTCCTGTAGAATTGAATTAATTAATACATTTTAAAACAAGGCCTGACATATGGTATATGTCCCATAAACATAAGTTACTACAGTTATTACCATTATTATTATCACCAATAGCCTCATACTGACAATATGAATTGGTAATAGGGTTGGAAAAAATTGTAATTTAGAAACAAAATTCAAACCTTGGGTTAAAATATACCTCTTAAAGCAGATGAGTGCTCTCCATAAATATTTTTCTCTAATTTGCTTTTGTAATTGTCTAAAAGAGCAGACCAAAATATTTTAGTATTTCTGCACAAAGTAACAATTGCACATGCTAATTTTTTTGCTGTTTGTTTCCAGATAATAACTCAAACCGGAATTTTTTTTTGGACAGTTGGGGTCTTGCTGTAGTGCCCAGGCTGCTCTCAAACTCCTGACCTCAAACAATCCTGCCACCTCCACCTCCCAAAGCACTGGGATTACAGGTGTGAGCCACTGCACCCAACCTCACATGCCCAAGGTATAACTTTTCTGCATGTATTGTCTGAAATGGTTATAAACCAACTTTTGAACTTAGATGTGATAGAAGATATATGAATGTCCAATATTACACTGGTATTTTTTTCTTTTTGTATTGAGGTCCAATGTGTTTTCCAGGCAGTACCAAAGGAAATTGGTAAAAACAATCAGGGAAACAAGCCAAATTTCACTTCCTATATCTTATTTCGGTTCTGTAAATCCTCATCCTGTCCATATGGAGTCATAAATCTGATTCAGGACTCAGAGACTCCATAGAATGATCCAGCATTTTTCAGGGTAGAAACAGAAGGGAAGATGATAAAACAGCTGTGATTGGTGTGCAAATCTGTTGCTGGGCAGAAACATTTCACCTGGCAGACAGTATGAAATCCGTCTGCAGTACATTTACTGGAGCCAGAAAACGTTGACAAAATTAAAGGCTCTCATCCATGTGTTGGGAACTAGCAGATCCCTGGGCATTCTGTGCATGAGACACAGGCAGGGTGAAATGGAAGACAGCGCTGAATTCCAGGTCAGCTATTTTCTGAACAGGAGGCATTAAGCAAGTTTCCTAACTTCTCCCTCCTAGTCTATTATCTCATCTACACAGTGGGGCTAATAATATTCATTCAGGAGGTTGCTGTGGGCTTTAGAACTAAAGCCCAGAATCTAGCACATGGTAGCTCTTCAGTAATTGGCAGGTAATTTAATACAGTCATCAAACCAGGTTCTAATTTTTTTTAAATGATACTGACTCCGGCTGGGCACAGTGGCTCACCCCTGTAATCCCAGCATTCTGGGAGGCTGAGGTGGGCAGATCGCCTGAACTCCAGAGTTCGAGACCACCCTGGGCAACATGGTGAAACCCTGTCTCTACTAATATGCAAAACATTAGCTGGTTGTGGTGGCACGTGCCTGTAGTCCCAGCTACTCAGGAGGCTGAGGCACAAGAATCACTTGAGCCCTGGTGCCACAGCACTCCAGCCCGGGTGAGTGAGACTCTGTCTCACAAAACAAAAAAAAATACTGACTGTTCAAAACCTTCACATTAAAAAAAAAAACAAACTTATTTTAAAAGTCAAATATTTTTTTAGGCTGTTTTTTCATTTTAATGGCATATTTTCCAAAGCAGAGTGGATCACAATCAGACATTCACACCGTTGTTTTCTAGATTCTTCCCCAATATCTCTCAATCAACACCGAGTGTTATCCCTTTCTTTCAAATAAACAGTGGGGGGGGGGGCGGGGGGTGGATTTCTTTCCCCTGTTGTTTAAATTCCCTGTGAGACTTTTTCTTGTCCTAATGCCTGATATTGCTGACTTAAAGAAAGGCAGGAAGTACTACAGATCTCATTAGAGATGCCATTCTTAGCCAGATGCCAGTGAAAATTTGCTGACTGAAATTCCGGAGGCTTGGCTAAGATTCAAGTAAGTATCTGAGGTGAACTTAGCCTCTGAATCTCCTGGGGCTTGTTTGGGGTCCTGATGGACACAAGAATAGCCCTGGCTGATTAGGGAAGCATTTCCTGCAGCCCGAGTCTGATAGCAGAGTCCGAGGACCAGGAAATGAGTCTGTGCTTGGGCGAAGCTGCTGCCCACTCAGATCACTTGCTCCTTCTGTGCTGGTGAAGAGAGGACAGAGTAACCTGTCCCTAGGCTTCCTAGAGGCCAGAAAACAAGTGAAGATCTGAAAAGTCAAGATAACACACCCGACAAACAAATTCAAACACAAAAACCAAAAACACACCAACTGAAACTACTTCAACTCTGATACATTTCTTTTCTTTCTCTCTCTTCGCCCCCCCCCGCCCCCCCCCCCCCCCCCCCCCCCCCCCGCCCCGTGATGAGTTTTGCTCTTGTTGCCCAGGCTGGAGGGCAATGGAGCAATCTCAGCTCACTATAACCTCTACCTCCCAGGTTCAAGCAATTCTGCCTCAGCCTCCCAAGTAGCTGGGATTACAGGTGCCTGCCACCATGTCTAGCTAATTGTTTGGGATTTTATCATGTTGACCAGGCTGGTCTCAAACTCCTGACCTCGGTGATACACTCACCTCAGCCTCCCAAAGTGCTGGAATTACAGGCATGATCCACTGCACCCAGACCACCTCTGATATATTTTCTCTTATGCTTCCAAGTCTGTGCAAATAACCACAGAACTGCCTCAAATCATCTTTTCTGTTCCTTAATCATCTACATACATTTACTTTCGTCTATTCTGTACTTTCTCCTCTTCCTATTTTCGTGCATGGTTGTCAACATGAATCACTCCAGTGCTTTGTGTTCCACTATTAGAAGGGTACCAAAGGCCAATGCAAAACAGAGTAATTGAACAGACAGAGGAAGAATCCTATCTCTAAGTTTATGAACACAGTGATGCTACATTACATTTCTATCCTCAGCCTCCTTCATAATAACTTATAGGAGAGATGTGTGATGGTTGGTGATGGGTGTCATCTGAAAATAGCCAGAGAAAGGGAGGTGCTAAGAAATGAGTCAGGTAGGGAGTATGCTTTTGCCCTGGTATTGGTTCACACACATTAGCTCCTTTAACAGACGAGGTCACCAAGACACAGGGGCGTCAGGAAATCCCTACAAGCTCCCCAGTTTCACAGAGCTGGGATCTACACAGTCTGGCTCCAGAATCTTTGCTCTTAGCCCCTCTGCTCTGCTGCCTGGTGTTAGCACCCAGACACAGCAGGCACTAGCACGGTGTTTTGTCAGATGTGGTCTCTCAACCATCTGCCCCAGAATGGCCTGGGATTTTGATAAAAGGCAGATTCCTGAGCCTTGTGTCACACCTACTGATCTAGAATCTTTGGGGTCTCGTCCCAGGCATCCTCACTTTAACAGAGTTCCAAGGTGATGAATAAGCCACTTGACATAGAAGAACCACTGCATTTACTGTCTTCTGGCCATGAACTGTCTAGTTTTCCCAACAGGAGGCTGGATTTCTAAGTATCTTTATTTTGTTTCATGTTCATTTGTCAGTCAGCAAATGTTCAGCAAGACTCTTTCTTGGAAGGCTCTGTGTGAATCTCCTTGAGGGAAGAGGGGGCACAGATATTCACACGACATCCCCCCATCTTCAACTATTTGCCCCTCCAATGCCATCTCCACATGGCCTTCAGTTTGCTTTCTATGTAGGACTTCCTGTTCAAACCAATTCATCAATTTGTTTTCTTGTTTACTCCTGTTTTTTTCCCACTGGACTTTAAGCTGTATGTGGACAAGACAGGGTCAGCTTGGATGTCCCCAGGATCTAGCACAAAGCCTGGCACATGGGTACCAGATATCTTGTAAATGAATGAATGAATGAGTAAATAAATAATAACAAATTAATGTATTTATAGTGTTGTCAAGGAAGAAGGACATATATGTAAGTATTATGTTAATAAAAGTGGTAATAAGAAAATAAGAGAAATACAGATGGAAATAGACTTGCATTTCAGCTGTATACAACTGTGAGAATTTCAGGCAAAAGAAACAACATTGGAAAAGGTGTGAAGGTGACAATGGATGAGGAAACACAAGGAACCCAAGACTTCTCTTTTGTCGGGACTGCAAAATGCAAGACCGGGAACAGTAGAGATGTTGGACAGATGGCAGCCTTGAATGCCAGGCAAAATGTATTTTGCTAATTATTTGATGGGAAATGAGAAGTCATACGAACAGAGATATATTAATATTAAGCTAGCGCTGTGTCCAGAGAAACTGAAGGGAGGAGATGTTGGAGGCAGCAAATCGGGGATGCTTTTGCTCCCACAACTAATTTCTGGTCCTAATCTCTCTGTTTCCCCAGGTGTATATTTTAGAATCTAAAACAGATACTGTCCTTTCAAGCAAACTTTAGCTCCTTTATCTTCACAATCAGATAAGAACAGATGTTTAAAAAACAAATACATTGTGGAAAGGGTATCAATAAAACTTGAAAACCAATAGAGCCTGGGAGTTCAAGAGACAGGAAGCAAAAATAACTCCAGGGTTTCAGAGGAGCCCGCGACTTGTCCCTGCCGGTGATAGCAGTGTTTCGATTTATCATTTTCTACCTCTGTGATGCTAATGGAAGACCTGTGGCTTCAGGTGAGGCCTGAATGATGGATACTTGACCAGCACCATTCCATTGCCCTGTGTCCAAGAACAACATCACTGATCGATTGTGGCATCTTTTCCTGTGATCCCAGAATCCTTCTCAGCACTGGCTCTAGAGACTGTTAGAACCAATAGTTGGCTCAGGAGATAAGAGCTATTTGCCATCCCTGGTGTCATTTTCAGAGTATAGATTTGTCATATCATCTGCATAAACTGCTTAAGAACTGCTTCTTTCAATAAACACCTGTGCTGTTGACATCTAAGTCAAATTATATAAAAATAAAGCAGTCGTGATTTTACGACGTTTCTTTTCATATTACCTGTGAGGTATGTTTGCTCATGTATCTCTGTGATGCTCAGGAGCTCGGCGCTCTGTTGTTGGCAGCTTTTCCTTGCCTGGTGCCACGTTAAAGCGGATTGGGAGTTTATCTGGTAGGAAATGCTGGTCAGCGGGTCTTTATTCCATAGGCTTTCACTTCCCTCAACTGTGAAAGAAATCAGATGGGATTTGGTGCATTACGCATAGAAAGTACTTTTAGTGAATAGTATTGTTTAAACGAGCCTAAGGGCATTTTTGCCTGAAGCACTGTCTTTCTTTCCTTTTTTTCCACTTTTACTTTTTCTTCTTCTTCTTTTTAAGTCAGGGTCTCACTCCTCTGATGCTGGAATGCAGTGCTGTGATTTTGGCTCACTGTACCCTCCAGCTCCTGGGGTTAAGCAATCGTCCCACCTCAGTTTCCCAAGTAGCTTGGACTACAGGCATATGCCACCATGCCTGGCTAATTTTTTTTAAGTTTTGCAGAAATGAGGTCTCTCTATATGGCCCAGGCTAGTCTAAAACTCCTATTCTCAAGTCATTCTCCTGCCTCGGCTTCCCAAAGTGCTGAGATTACAGATGTGAGTCACCATGTCCGGACCGTTGTACTTGTTTTGTTGTTGTTGTTGTGTTTGGTCTTTTGTTTTTGTTGTTTTTGAGACAAAATCTCATTCTGTTGCCAGGCTGGAGTGCAACGGTACAATCTCAGCTCACTGCAACCTCTGCCTCCCAGGTTCAAGTAACTCTCCTGCCTCGGCCTCCTGAGTAGCTAGAACTATAGGCACCCACAACCACACCCAGCTAGTTTCTGTATCTTTAGTAGAGATGGGGTGTCACCATATTGGCCAGCCTGGTCTCAAACTCCTGACCTCATGATCCACCTGCCTTGGCTTCCCAAAGTGCTATGATTACACACGTGAGCCATGGTGCCTGCCTATTTTACTTGTTTTTAAGATGGCTTTGAGATTTTCTTTACTCCTGAAATGAAGTAAGAGGTGGGGGATGAGCTTTCAAAGGATCAACTACATCCAGTCTCTTCCACGTGCCTAAAGAGAGGCAGGCAGGCATCATCTCCCTTTTGAGAGGTGTTGAGTTGGGAAGTGAGGCAAATATAAAGACAGTAGACCTTGGATACTACGGAAGGTGGGAGGGTGGGAGGAGGATGAGGACTAAAATATTATCTGTTGGGTACAACGTTCACAGTTTGGGTGATAGGTACACTAAAAGCCCAGACTTTGCCATGATGTAATATCTGAATGCAAGACATCTGCATGTATACCCCCTAAATATATAAAAATTAAAATAAAAATTTTAAAATTTAGAAAAGAACAGAGATACAAGCCCAACCTCTTCGATCTACAAAAATAAGGCGGGGGAAGCATGGAAAATAAAAATACATCTTCTCAGCAAGTAGATATTTTGCCTTTGCCTGTATATTCTAGTCTGGTCTTTCTGTAAACATAAAGTGTCAGCAGGGAAGGTCACAAACTCCTGCAGACAAAGTGGCCTGAGCCTGCACCTGAGGTCTTATCACTCACTGGACACTTGACTTCAAATGCTGCTTGTAACTTTTTCATTTCTCAGAGTAAAAAAATCACAGGGAAATTACTTTGCTATTATGATTCCTAATAAATTCCATAAACATGAATGTACTCTATAAATAGCCAATAATATATAAATATTATTGATAGCATTTCACATTTAAGAGGTTTGGGAAGCTAGTAAACAAATGAAATATTTTTGCATGCTTTATGTAGTGAATAATATTTCTTTTTCTTTTCTTTTTTTTTTTTTTTTTTTGAGATGGAGTTTCATTCTTGTTGCCCATGCTGGAGTTCAATGGCACCATCTCAACTCACCGCAACCTACTTCTCCCGGATTCAAGGGATTCTCCTGCCTCAGCCTCCCAAGTAGCTGGGATTACAGGCATGGGCCACCATGCCTGGATAAGTTTGAATTTTTAGTAGAGATGGGGTTTCTCCATGTTAGTCAGTCTGGTCTCAAACTCTCAACCTCAGGTGATCTACCTACCTTGGTCTCCTAAAGTGCTGGGATTACAGGTGTGAGCCACTGTCCCTGGCTGGCCTCTTTTTTATTTTTAATAATATAAAATCCTACTTACAAGCCATGTGAAGTAATAATCTTTTCATTTATTTTCAAGGACAAAAGGAGGTATCATATAACTTCTCTGAAAATTTTCTGAGAAATACTCAATTTGCTAAGAAATTAGGCAATTTTCCATAAGCACACAGCCTATGCTGTTGTCTCTGCATCTCATTGCACTTTGTATCTGATGAGGAAGTGATCACAGATCTTTTTGTCAAATGCAAACCACACACCATGATATGAAACTTGTGGTCCCATGACATATTGAAGAGGAAGAAAACATACCAAACTTTGATTCAGGCAATAACGTAGAAATTTTAAAGGTATTTTAATTACAAAATAATTATATGTTTATATAAAAATAAATTTGAATCAGCAATGCTAAACTTAAATTTTAATGATCTGAGGTCTTGCTGGTTTCATGTTTATGTCAGCAAAACCATTCAGATGAGACTAATTTGGGGGTTATTTGAAGATAGAGATGTTTTAAACAACTCATTTTAGAAATGCGGAGGACAGTTTTGTTTATAATATAGTAGAAAATGCCAGGTGCAGTGGCTCACACCTGTAATCCCAGGACTACTGGAGGCTGAGGTGGGGGGACTATGAGGTCAGGAGTTCAAGGCCAGCCTAATCAACATGGTGAAACCCCATCTCTACTAAAAACACAAAAAAATTAGCCAGACGTGGTGATGCATGTCTGTAATCACAGCTATTCAGGAGGCTGAGGCAGGAGAATCGCTTGAACTAGGCAGGCAGAGATTGCAGTGACCCAAGATCACCCCACTGCACTCCAGCCTGGAAGACAGAGCAAGACTCTTTCTAAAAAAAGAGAGAGAGAAAAAAAAAAAAAAAAATATATATATATATGGTAGAAAATATGAGATATAAAAAAGGGGGGTAATTTTCTTTACATGGGAATGGAGGAAAGTGACACAAATGATGTAAGAAAGAAATACAATTGACCTTTCACTTAAAGAAAGTAGATTTTAAACTAAGGGATTTAAACATATTTCTCCATGAATGGGTTTGCTGACTGCATACCATCTCCCCAAAGAATTCAAATTCCCACAGTAAACCAACACACCTGATGTTAGAAGCTAAAGGTGCTATAGAGAATTGAGACAACCAGGACTTTTCCTTCCTGTTCTCATGATACTTGAAAATAAATATCTACATGGAAGGAAAGGATTACAATAAACAATGCAACAGACAATAAGAGCATCTATTAAGTGTTACTAGGTCAATAACTGGTCCCTCATCCTCCTGTACAAAACCTGCCAGTTTTAAGGCTGATATAAAATAAAATGTTCAGCTGGGCATGGCAGCTCACACTTGTAATCCCAGCACTTTGGGAGGCTGAGGTGGGTGGATCATTTGAGGTCAGGAGTTCAATACCAGCCTGAACAACATGGTGAAACTCCGTCTCTACTAAAAATACAAAAATTAGGTGGGCATGATGGCACATTCCTGTAATCCCAGCTACTAGGGAGACTGAGGCAGGAGAATCATTTGGAGCCTGGGAGGCGGAGGTTGCAGTGAGCTGATACCATGCCAATGCACTCCAGTCTGGGCAAGCAAGTGAAACCCTGTCTCAGAAACAAATAAATAAATAAAATAAAATAGCATGCTCTTTGGAAGGAACACAAAATGAAACAGATTGGAAGACTATAAAGCTGTTTAAGAAAGACATTAAATGTGTAAAATGTGCTTTAAAATTTTAATGCACATTAAAATCAAATAATTATTTTCTACAATTATTTTACAGTTAACAGGAAAAATTACATGATTTGACAGTGAAGGCATAAAATACAAGTAATAAGACCAAAAAATTATTCCACTGAACAAACTCAGGATGCTTCTCCAACACACATCCAAGGATCTCCAAGGTTGAGTTTTCTTTGTGATTAGTAATTTACCATTTGTCCTCCACATTTCATTCATGAAATCACACATTCATCTAACTCCTTTGTCAATTTCACTTATGTGGAGGATGCTATAGTTGGACCCCTGAAATATATACCCTTAAGAAACTCCATGAAACAGATTAAGAAAATATCATTTCTATTAAGTAAAGGAGAAAGATTCTTTCAATCTCTTGACAATCAAGTATTGCTTTATCTTAGAAAAAATTGCTCAAAATGTTTCAGACAAAAATATTTCTAATACAAAAATTCAATATCTACAAACCTTGAATACAAATTAAATGTCTTTCTAAAGATTGACATAAAAGAGGCAAATAGAACTACCTTAGTTAAGACTGAGAGAGCAGTGTTGCTATAAACAGAAAAGCTGTGAGCTTTGGGAGTATTTATTCAGAACAGAGACTGCACTCTGAAGACAATTACAATAGTATATGGGGCTCAGAAATTAAATTTACTTTTCCTGGGATGATTAGGGATTATAAATCCAGAGAGATCAATAAGGACAATTCTTAGAATTCTGGCTTTCATTTGTCAAACTCAGATATTTTTGTTAGTTATTCTGTTTTACAATATGCTTGAAATAGTGTGATTACGTGTGGATTTGTGGTCTGGAAAATTGAGTTGTGATTCTATCATGACTCAGGCAGTTTCACAATCATCCCAGACCATATCAGATGCGCTTTGCTCCACCCAGTCCCTTTGCAGGGCAGCAGGAGAAAGAGTTCTAGGTGCTCCAGAAAACAAGAGCTGCTCTGATCTGATCTAAAGGAGCAGGTGAGAGGTTGGGAAGGGTGGAGCAAGCATAGGAAGAGGGTGTCTGGTGATGGGGAACGTGAAGCAAAGAGGAACGCTTCCTTTTCCTCTTTCCTCAAGCCCAGCTCGGTCTCCCAACCTGATGCCCTCTTCCACCCAACCTAAAATTTGCTTTACTGTTTGCTTCCAGATTTTTAAGCGTGGAAGAACACCAAGAATTCACCTGTTCTGCTGCTTTCCCACTAAGATAACGTAATACTACTTATTTTGTGTTCTTGCAATAAAACTTGGATTTTCATTTTAAGAAACCTTCAAACATATAAATTACCCATTTCCATTGATTTCTAGGTGTGTGAAACTAAATGGCACTCTTTAATGTAAACTTAAGAAGAGCATCATGACTGTCATTTTCACTGTGAAGCACGCTTTTCATAATATTGACACAAAATTCAGGACGCTCACATCTTGCTCCATCAAACCACATGCTTGTAGCTTCCTTTTAATTCTGTTTTTGATCACTGGTTTCATAAAGATAAGGCATTTCAGAGAGGAAGGAATAATAGCATGCCTACCTACCTCCCGTGTTAAGTATACATTATATTGTATACAGGATAACTTTCCCCGAATAGCTGATAGTTGGTAAAAATAAAGAGGTTGACCAGGCATTGTGGCTCACGCCTGTAATCCCAGCACTTTGGGAGGCTGAGGGAGGTAGATCACAAGGCCAGGAGATTGAGACCATTCTGGCCAACATGGTGAAACCACGCCTCCACTAACAATACAAAAAACAGCCAGGGGTGGTGGCACATTCCTGTAGTCCCAAGTACTCAACAGGCTGAAGCAGGAGAATCACCTGAACCCAGGAGGTAGAGGTGGCAGTGAGCTGAGATAGTGCCACTGTGCTCCAGCCTGGCAACAAAGTGAGACGCAGTCTCAAAAACTAAATTAATTAATTAATTAATTAATTAAAAATAAATAAAGAGGTCATTTGATGGAAGGAACATTGGCACCACGGGGATGCAGTCTAATCCCCTTAGCACGATCTCAAGGAATGTTGAGATAGTAGCGGTGAGCCTAGCTTTGCTGGCAAGATCAAAATACACATATAAAGCCCAGGGTAGAAAGTTCAAGCTCTGTATTTTAGTCTTCAGCCAATATAGATCATTTTCTCCACTGAAAAATGGAGACAATGACCTCTGTAAAGGGCTCTCTTAGGTACAATGAGGTCATAAATGTGAAATAACTTCGGGGAAAAATGATCTAGATAAATTCAAGGTCTTTCACTGCATTATCAGACTAAACATGCCCAGCTGTTCTTGGTGATACACAGTACTTACATTTCAATGGACAATATCCATATAGCTTGTCTGTGTCATAGTCAGTAGTGGTTCCACACCAGAGCCATCCGTCTGACCGCCCGGCACTCGTGCAATCTGCGTACCACTTGTTTCCAAACTTGAATGGAAATGAGCAGGTTGCTCCATTGGCGTTGCCCCGTAGCGTGTACATGGCTGGAGGAACATAGTGACTTGAACTTGGAATGCGAGTGACATTTCTGAACATTGACTTTCCAGTAAGAAGCCTACTGAAGGAATTGCTTGGTGCACCCGCACAGAGATTTTTTTTCTTTTTCATTATTTTTTTCCCCTCTCCTTCTACCCTAGCCTTTTGCTGGGTGCACACAGCAGTCTGTACTTAACAAATAACTCTTAGTACCACTGCATTTCCACTCTGTTTTGGAACATTTCCAAGTGGTACAACTTAACAAATGAGTACCATTTGAAAATGTTCCAGTGGCACAATTCAAACTGGTACTAACAACAGTGAAAAGTGAAACAGTACTAGTTGGAGTGGTACTGACTCACAGTACCGCTTCAGTTTCCACTGTCTTTTCCTCCTTCCTCTATTGACACCACCTTTAACTTCTGCATTTCCTCTGAAACAAAGAGGTTGTTCTTTCTCTTGATTGGAATCATGGAACTATAGAATCTCTAGATTAAAAAGAACCTAAAGCTGTATAGCTCAAACACACAGTCAACCCTTAAATCCCCTCCAACCACTTCTCCTCAAGTCAGCCTTCTATGAGTCCCTCAACAGCGACCATAAGGAAGGACAGACATTTTGGCACTGTTCTCTAGCCTACATCATAAAAAGAAACCACTCAAAACTTAGATACCGTCTGCAATCAAGGTTTTTCTCTTCAACAAGTGAAGGCCAACAGATTAAGTGGGAAGCTCTGGATTCAGCTAGAAATGTTAATCGAAACAAACATAGAATCACTGTTAATTATGGTTTGGCTTAAGCCAAAAGGGTTACAGAAGCTCATCTCTCCACTAAGAACCAAACAATGCTCATATATACATTGTGGAGCATGGTTCAAGTCTCCATCTTTGTAGAAATAACAGCCTTTTACGTTAAAAAACCTCTTGCCGCCAATTGATACTCAGAATTTATCCTAGGTAGGAATTCTTTATCACGTTTTGTAGATTCTGTGACTTGAAAAACTTCTTAGCTGGGTGCAGTGGCTCACGCCTGTAATTAACATAGTTTTTAATAACTTTAAAATGCTATTCTAGCTTTAGTTCCATGAAGCTATGGGAATGGTCTCTGAATCGTATATTTTATAAGGAACAAGATGTATTCAGGAATAGTTGTGCCATTCTTAGTCACAGGGATAACTATTTCTTCATACGAAGGAAACCAGTTAAGACCACCTTGGGGTTAGTTGTACTGTTCATCATTAGCCAATAAATTTTCAGTGTTGGGGATTTATGGATCCCAATGAGATATAGCTTTATTTACTTATTTTATTTTTGAGACAGGATCTCACTCTGTCACACGGGCTACAGTAGGTGGTACAATTATGGCTTACTGTAGCCTCAATTACCTGGGCTCAAGTAACCCTCCCACCTCAGCCTCCTGAGTACCTGGGCTACAGGTACACACCACAGTGCCAAGCTTATTTTTAAATTTTGTTTAGGTCTCACTGTGTTGCCCAACCTGGTCTTGAACTTCTGAAATCAAGCGATCCTCTCGCGTTAGCCTTCCGAAGTGCTGGGATTATAGGCGTGAGCTACCACAGCTGCCAGCTTTATTAACTAACACTATCTACTAATGACTGAGCCATTCTATGCACTCAACACTGATGAGACCAAAAGAACCCCAACTACCTCACTGACACGTCATGTAATTGCAGTCCATTTATTCTTCTTGCAGTCTAAACTTCCGAACGATCATCAAATCCATCTAAGTCTGCAATTCTCATTCCATTCTTCTAAAAGAATTCCTATTTTTCAAACAGTTCCACCATTCTACCCCTTCCCCCAAGTGCTCATCAGAGATAAAGAGACTCTACCATACATCCCCTGGGCACTGTCTTCAATTCTAATGTGTCTTCCCAATCTCATGGTCACTCTGAGGAGCTAGAACCTCTGGCCGGATTATCTTAAGTGCTGGGAGATCTTTGGAGAGTATGCAAAACCCACTCAATGGATCCTATGCCGCAGAATCACCCACATCTTCACGGAAATCATTGAACAGATTCCTGGGCTTTTCCTCGATCTGTATGTTCAGAATCTAGTAGAAGGAGGAGCTCAGGATCTGTATTTTTAACAAACTCTCCAAGTGATTCTTAAGCATATTAAAGTTGGAGAACTACTAGCCCAAACGCTATGCATATTTGTCTCAAAGTCAGTGGGGAAACAGAAATGGTAGAGGGTGAAAGAAGTATAATAATGTATTTTAAAATAAAATAGAAATTTGATATTTTAGCATCAATCCTCCTCAAGTGAAACTCTTCAATCAGAAACATTTAGAATCCCATGTTGTCAAGGGTTCTGCCGAGATTGAATTTTAGGCAATCCAAATTGGGAAAGAATGTTCTATAGATGGTCTTTCCAGGGAATAACGTAAAGGAAAAAAATATTTAGGTAAATGTATTTATCACTACAACTTTATAATGTTAAATAGGAGGTACTGGGTCAAAGTCCACAAAGAAAATTATTTTCTGAAAAAATGTAGCCCATAGTTAAAAAATAAAACCTCAATTAGCGCAACTGTCCCATCTGTGGAATTTGACTCAGTCAAGTTCACTCCACCCTTATCCTTCCTGTAACTTTCTGCTGAGTTTCTCCTGACAGGTTTTTTGTGTTCACTTACGTTGCCTCTCATATCACTTCTAAACCTATATTATATTTGAAAAATGCTTCAAAACAACTTATTTCTGAGCCCTTCTCTCTCCCTACTTCAATCCCTACTCTCCCCTCTCCTGTGTATAGATGGAAAATAGAAAGCTCACAAATTATCTCCTTACAAAGAACTAAATTGCTACACTCAGTCTTAGCTGAGATAAACTAGGTTTAGCCAATCTTAGTATCCCAGTAACGTAGCAATTTTGGAAACATGTTATCTCTCATCCCCAAAAGCAGGCTCTTTCTCTGACCTGGAGGTTGTTCTAGATAACACTTCACAATGAGCAAGTATCCAAACCTAAAATGTGATTATAACATCATCTGACTCAAGAGACCAGCCTTTGTAAAAAAGGCTTCAAGTTGCCTTGTATTTCGTCTTGTTTTCTGTGCAGCCACCAGATAATGAAATTTGGTCAATATAAGAAAGAACTAAATATTCTGATTTTACTTAACCTTCAAGAGATCAAGAAGCCAACTAGCTATAAGAAGATTCCTCTCATCGCATTAGTGGTATCACCTTCTCTGATGGCTACCTAAACAGACCACATATTAATTTACAAACGAATTCCTCAGATTTTATAATCTTTGGATTATTACAGTCTCTAAAAACCCATAACTTGACAAAATAAATCAAAAACATTTAGAATGCCGTGTTGTCAAAAGATCTGCCAAGATTTAATGTTAGGCAATCTGAATTGGGAAAGAATGTTCTATGGATCATTTTTCCAGGGATAATTTAAAGGAAAAGGAATATTTGGCTGAATTTATTTGTCACTACAATTTTATAATGTTAAATAGGAGGCTTTGGGTCAAAGACTACAATGAAAATTATTTTCTGACAAATGTAGCCCATAGTTAAAAAATAAAACCTCAGAGAAAGTTAATAGAATGCCTTCCCAGCTGGGCACCGTGGCTCATGCCTGTAATACCAGCACTTTGAGAGGCTGAGATGGGAGGATCTTTTGAGGTCAGGAGTTTGAGGCCAGCCTGGCCAACATGGTGAAACCCCGTTTCTACTAAAAATACAAAAATTAGCTGGGCATGGTGGCATGCACCTGTAATCCCAGTTACCCAGGAGGCTGAGGCAGGGGAATCACTGGAACCTGGGAGGAAGAGGCTGCAGTGAGTTGAGGTCATGCCACTGCACTCCAGCCGGGGTGACAGAGCAAGACTCCGTCTCGGAAAAAAAAAAAAAAAAAAAGAATGCCTTCCCATTTATTAAAATAGCTGAAGTATCAGTCAGGACCTTTTACCACAATTATTCACCAGCATGTTCTCAGAATAGTTCTACAGAATAATTGAAAACACAAAGAATGTGATCAATTGATATTTCTAGTACCCACCAAACAAGAACATGTCTATGTTCTTGAATTAGGTTCCAACCAAGAAGATGAGAAAATTTCAACGCAAAGGTAAAAATTCCAAGCATCTTACCTTCATAACCTCTAGAGCATAAATTGTCTGTGGTTCCATAGATCTTCCACCTGCTCCATAAACCTGATCCCTTGTAGAGCATAATGTTCTTTTCTTGTCTATTGCCATAGTTAAAAAATAAATCTTCTCCTTTGATCCCCAAAAGTGTGTCATTTTTGCACTCCCATTTCTGAAATTCACTTTTTGCATCGCAGGCATAAAGAGTGACAGGAACCCAGTCAGTTTTGGATGGCACTCCCAGGCATAATTTAAATGCAACACTCATAATCTGAGACTCGGACACCCATCGGAATTTCTGTGATTCAGCATCCTGGTTGCAAGCCGCAGTTTGGACTGCACTGGGATTTATTGCTTCCACACAGCGCCTGTGATCTTCATTATAGATTAAAAACTGCCTGGTGTCTGTTTAAAAAGAAAGAAGCAGGAAAGGAAGGAGAAACAAGCATGGTTATGTGGATTCATGTAACAAGGACAATACTTTAGGTTAAAAGTTTCCAACTCTGCCATTTCCCTAAAGACTTAGGATCATAGGAGAAAAGGTCACGATGACTGTCCCTGGGCCAGTTTTCTTTGAGGATCACTGAAGCTGGAGGGAAAACCTGGACTGAGGACCCGCTAAGGTGCCAGCACTCAGCTGGATGACCTCAAAATGTCCTTGTTCATCATGAGGAGTCTCACGAAAAGGTCCACCTTAAATGCCCAAGGATTGTCCAGGAGTGAACATGCAAGGCAGATAACAGAAAGTAATAATATCAACTGAGAAAAAGAATATTTGGGTAACATGAATACAATAAACTGTAAAATTAAATGCATGTATGTCCTAGAAAAGGTGTTTCTTTGTTTTTGAAATGGAGTCTCGCTCTGTCACCAGGCTGGAGTGCAGCGGCGTGGTCTCAGCTCACTGCAACCTCCACCTCCCAGGTTCAAGGGATTCTCCTGCCTCAGCCTCCAGAGTAGCCAGGACTATAGGTGCATGCCACCAAGCCCAACTAATTTTTGTATTTTTAGTAGAGATGGGGTTTTACAAAGTTGGCCAGGATGGTCTCGATCTCTTGACCTCGTGATCCGCCCACCTCAGCCTCCCAAGGTGCTGGAATTACAGGCTCGAGCCACTGCACCCAGCCTGTTTGTTGTTTTTAAGGGACAAGGTCTCACTCTGTTGCTCAGGCTGGAGTGTAGTGGTGTAACCATGACTCACTGCAGCTTCTAACTTCTGGGCAACTCCTGCCTCAACTTCCCAAGTAGCTGGGACTACAGGCTTGCACCACCATACCCAACTAATTTTTTATTTTTCGTAGAGATAGAGCCTCACTGTGCTGCTCCGGCTGGTCTCGAATTCCTAGCGTCAAGCAATCCCCCCACTTCAGCCTCTCAAAGAGCTAGGATCACAAGTGAGAGCCACCTCACCAGGACTAGAATAGGATTTTGAAGTGTGATACATCTCAACTGCCTGGTATCTGTTTAAAAGATACAAACAGATCTTTGTATCCTTTATCTTTCTTTTCAAACAGATACCAGGCAGTTTTTAATCTTTGGAGATACAGAGGTGAAACCTATATATAATTACTCTCATTATAAATAACACTAGGAGTTTATTTTTTAATTTAAAGAATATGTTTACTTTAGATAATATTACCATCATTTTATGTCCCACCAATTTTTGAACTAAACGCTTTCTAGTTAGCCCAGGTCAGGTCAATCTGACAAGTTTTTTTGTTTTATTTTGTTTGGCCTTCCAACAATACGTATCTTAGAGATGCACCTAGAGATAAATGAGTATTTATCATATTATGTTAACTTTCATCTCTTTGGCACACTTAATCTAAACTTTGTATAACAATACCAAAATGTGTTTAAAAGTTTAATAGTGAAGCTTGCAATAAAGAATAAATAAATGTAAGTTTTATATCATTGGAGATAATATTTTATGAGTATAACTTTAAAAATAACACTTTTTATATTTGTAATTTGGAACTGGTGATTTAAGTAAATATGCAAAGATGATTTATACTTAACAGCACATAGCTGCTAGCTGGCAAAACGGAACTTCCTCTTGCAAAAGAGGAAAAAAGGATCTGGTAAGCATATTTTTTTTTCCTTTAAATCAAAATTGAATTCATGTAAGTTTTCTCTTTTTTATTTGTAAGGAATATAGAAATGAAAGTAACTGAGTGCTTTAATTTCATGACATAAACATAAATTCAACTAATCTTGTGAAGTTTTCCTCAATTCCATGTACTCACCTTGTTCTTTCCAAATGATATGGTAGCAGTACAGATGTTTGAGGTTCTGACTAAATGAGCTCATTATTTTTAATTAAATAATTCCAGTGAAATCAAACAAAGTTACAATCATGCCACTAGAAGAATCCTTCAATGTTTCCAAAGCATTCTCGCAAGCCATATTCTATTTCCTGTTCTGAATGCCTCAGTGAGGTCAGCACCACTTATACTCTGAGATCAGTTCTAGACCCATAAACTTAAAGCTTATAATAAATGTTTGCCTCAAAAGATTATTTTCTCCTGATATGCTCTTGTCCACACCAGCTCCAGACCCTCTGCCTCTATCCTACCCGCGTTCCTCGTTCTTTGCAACTTCAAACCTCTTTCGCTACAGGGTTTCTCATTCGCACTGCTTTGATTTCTTGGAATTGGAACTCAATAGAGCCTGGACCCAGACACCTGCCTCTGATGGCTTCTGTGAAGTTGACATCTGTCCACTGAACATGCAATACCGGTTCCAATCTCCTCCTGTTTAGCGGAGCTTCCTTCCACACTTGATTTCATCTCGTAACTGCTTGTCCGCTAGTGGGACAAAATGAGTAATTTTCTGCCTTGGCAGTAAAATGAGAATTTTTATAATACAGGGCTTTGCTCACAATGAAACACAGGAAATAGGAAAATAAAAACAATTTTTCAAAAAACAGTGACTATGATCATTCATTTTAAGCAAAGGTAAATTAACTTCTCTAATCTCAAAATATAATGAACTCTGAAAATGTTGCCATAGATATTTGTAAGCTCAACTGTCCCAGCCTCTAAATTTAAGGTAATATGTTTGTGTTATTTCACCTACTTTTTTTTTAACCCTGGACTTATCTTCCGCTTTTCAGATAGCTTTGCTTAGTAATACCTCATTGTTAATAATAATAAACATGTCTTCCACCTTATACATTGGCAATTTTTATCGTATTGTCAAACAACAGTCTTATTAACTGTTTAGTCAAATTCAGTCAGTTCACCAGTTGGTAACCAGTTTTTTAAAAGAAGGCTTTCAAGGCTGGGCTCAGTGGCTCACGTCTATAATCCCAGCACTTTGGGAGGCCGAGGTGGGTGGATCACGAGGTCAGGAGTTCACGACCAGCCTGACCAACATGGTGAAACTCCGTCCCTACTAAAGATACAAAAAATTAGCTGTAATCCCAGCTACTCGGGAGGCTGTGGCAGGAGAATCGCTTCAACCCAGGAGGCAGAGGTTGCAGTGAGCTAAGGTCACACCATTGCACTCCAGCCTGGGCGACAGGGCAAGGTTCCGTCTCAAAAACAAAAAAAAGACGAGGCGTTCAAAATTCTTTATGAATGAATAGTGCTCCTCCTTCCGATGTTTTTATACTTATTTGACTTTTACATGTCCACTTTTTATCTGCAGCCCATCTTACTTTCACTCTAAGTAAGACAGCATTGAATGAGTAACATCCAAACTTCTTTCTCATTCTTAGCACCGCCATCCCCCGAAATCCATAAGCTAAAAACCTTAGGAGTATTCCTGGATTTTCAGCTTATTTTTGCCTCTTAAGACAATAGTGAAATCTACCAGCTCTGCCCAAAAATACACTGCAGCGGTTAATTTTATGTGTCAGCATGGCTGGGTCTTGGCACTCAGATATTTGATCAGGCACCAGACTGGATATTGCTATGAAGGTGATTTGTTTAAAGATAAGATAATCATTTTAATCGGCCAACTTTGAGTAAAGAAGCTCACAGGTCTCAATGTGGGTGGGCCTCATCCAATCAGGTGAAGGTTTTAAGAAAAAAACTGAGCAAGAAGGAGAAGGGGGAATTCCCCCAAAAAGGAATTCTGCCTCTGGACTGTTTTATTTTTGTTTTTGTTTGTTCATTTGTTGTTGAGACAGGATCCTGCTCCGTCGCCCAAGTTGGAGTGAAGCGGTGCAATCATAGCTCACTGCAGCCTTGAATTCCTGGGCTCAAGCGATCCTCCCACCTCAGCCTCCCAAGTAGCTGGGACTACAGACCTGTGCCACCATGCCCAGCTAATATTTTTATTTTTAGTAGAGACAAAATCTCACTTTGTTGCCTAAATTGGTCTCAAACTCCCGGGCGCAAGTGATTCTCCCACCTCAACCTTCCAAAGTGCTGAGATTACAGGCATGGGCCACCTTACCCAGCTCTAGGCTGCTTCAGACTCAAAGTGCAATATCAACTCTCCCCTGAGTTCCCGCCCCCGCACCACCACTTGCCAGCTTCTACAAATGTGTAAGCCAAGTTCTTAAATAACTCTCTCTCACCACCCTCTTCTCTCCCCCTGCTGTGTATACACACACACACACAACTCTAACTCTTACACATACCCTAATTCATTCTCTTTTCACCAACTCCATTTTTACCACCCCAAACCAAGCCACCATGGGCCAGCTCTAGTCTTCCTTTCTTGAAAATGGAATCATCAAAAATGGTAACACCTGATCTCCCAATTTTCTGGGAGGAGCCAGGCCTGATTTATCACCTGAAGCCAAATTGCAAAACCTACCTAATATAATAGGTAGTCTTCACTGAGCTACCTAAAAGAGTGAGTTTTCTTTCTGTTTTCACCACCACTTTTGCAGATTGTCTATGATGTATACCACATTGTGGGTGAATGCTCACTCAATAATAAAATCCTTTTCTTTCTCATCTACCTTTATGGAGAAGTTCTCGGGGTGGGAAGGAGATTGGGTTTCTAACCACAAGTCTGCAACTTAAACTCTGCAAAAGGATACCAGGGTACCCAGGAAAAATACAGGAAGCTTCTATGTTACTGCCTATTAGAAAAGACATGATTGAGACCAGTAACCTGCCTGCCCTCACCACCAACTATATACCTTTCAGGGCCGCAAACCCTCCAGGCTCACTTCCACATTAGTAACTTCGTGTTTTGAGTTCCTTCTTCTTGGGATGCTCACTAAGGTCATAGCTCAAGCGTCAACTTTTCTTTTTGAGACAGAACCTTGCTCTGTCACCCACGTTGGAGTGCAGTGGTACCATTTTGGCTCACTGGAACTTCCGCCTCCTGAGTTCAAACAATTATCCTGCCTCAGCCTCCCAAGTAGCTGGGATTACAGGTGCATACCATCACACCCAGCTAATTTTTGTATTTTTACTAGAGATGGAATTTCACCATGTTGG